GGAGGGGGGCAATGCTCTCGTGTGCTGGCTTCTTTCTTTCCTCTCACCCCAAAGCCGTTTCTTAAAGATTCCCATTTAAATTGGGCACCAGAGCGTAGGCTGAGCAGACCTGTGCAAACAGAGGTGCATAGTTTGAGACTTCCTGGCCAGCTTTAAAACTGAAAATGAGCTGAACAGAAATCCTGAGCAAATCTACCAGGACACTCTCCTCCCTTCTCTGGTAGACACACAGCCCGGTCTGTAAACCTGGGCAAGCACCCCGTCCTAAAGATTGGAATTTCTCTCTTTTCCCAAACCATAAAGGTTTACAGAGAACAGTCAGGGAGGTGTATCTGGTGCAAATAATCAGCAGCATTGCTTGGACTCTGGACCCTGCCAGATGTCCTTTTTATTGTGCAATTGTGATTATTTGTGCTTGTAATTTATTGATTTGTTGTTCTATCTTTATTGGTTTATTTTTGTTCTATCTCACCTTTTTCTCCAAGGAGCTCAAAGCAGTATGCATGGTTCTCCTCCTCCCCATTTAATCCCAACAACCGTGCATGGTAGGAAGTGCTGAGAGGGAGTGGCTGGCCCCTGGTTACCCCGTGAACTTCATGGCTGAGTACGGATTAAAACCCTGGTCTCTGAGGTCCTGGTCCTGGTCCAATACTCTGGCCCCTATGCCAATGCTGGCTTCAGGACAGCTATAGGCAATCCCACTTTCAACAGCTTGCACCTGCAAACATTCATGTGTTGGGCATTCTGCATTGTTTCCAGTCTGTGCATGTCCCGTCGCTTCATGTGGAAATCCTTCACATTTCATACCACACATTACATTGGGGCATTTTGTCCCACCTTTAAGAACATAAGAAGAGGCAGCTGGATTAGGCCAATGCCCCATCTAGTCCAGCATCCTGTTCTTCGCCCAGTGGTCAGCCAGATGTCTATAGGAAGCCTGGGCAGGAGCGAAACAGCAGTCTCCTTACTTGCGATTCCCAAAAGCTGGTATTCAGTGGCACAACACCTCTGACAGTGGAGGGAGAACATGACAGTTGATAGTCCTGTCCTCCATGGATTTGTCTCATCCTCTTTTTAAAGCTATCTAAATTGGTGGCCATCACTACCGTCTGTGGGACAGAGTTCCATAGTTCAACTATATTCTGGGTGAAGGACTCTCTTTAATCTGTCCTGAATTTTCCAACATTCAGCTTTGTTGGATTCATTTCTTGGAAGAGTGGAAGAGCGCACCACCCAGCTGGCAATAACGTAGCAAGCATCCTTGTGGAAGCATCTCAGAACAACTAATAAAGCAGAATGCTGTGGGGACAGCCCACTACTAACACACTACCACCGCATTGGAGGCATGTAGAACATACCTGCAGAAAAAAACCACCCATATGGGGGGGCCCTTTTTGGATCTTAGGAGACTGTAATACTCACCTCAAATAAGAAGTGATCCTTAAGACCGCCCTCCCCTTTCCCCCCAGCTGATATTTCAGTCTATGCCAGAGAAGATTACTGCACCTGCACTCATTCTGTTCCAGGCTCCCAGACCTTCTCTTCTGACCCAGTTCACTGACCAAGCTGAAGGTGCCACTGCCAAGTGACAGGGGAGAGAGAAGGGAAGGAGAAAGGTATCCTGCCCCTCCTCTCCAAGCTGTGATTCTCCAGATGTTCTTGGACTCCCAACTCCCATCAACCTGAGCCAGGATGGCCTATGTCCAGTTGGTAGAGCATGAGACTCTTAATCTCAGGGTTGTGAGTTCAGGGGGTTGGACTAGGTGACCCTCATGGTCACTTCCAACTTCACAATTCTGTGATAACACAGGGAGGCCTACAGGCTCCCCATCACCATCCCTTGTACCTACGGGACCGCCTCTCCCGGTATGCTCCACAGAGAGCCTCAAGGTCCATAAATAGCAACACCCTAGAGGTCCCGGACCCTAAGAAAGTTAGATTAGCCTCAACCAGAGCCAGGGCCTTTTCAACTCTGGCTCCGGCCTGGTGGAACGCTCTGTCTCATGAGACCAGGGCCCTGCAGGATCTGATTTCTTTTCCCAGGGCCTGTAAGACAGAGTTGTTCTGCCTGGCCTTTGGCTTGGAGCCAATTTGATTCCCTTCCCCTCTTTTTTCTCTTCCTTTCTCCTCCTGCGAAGAGGCTACATTTTAATATTTTAATGTTTCAATATTTTAATGTATTTTAATTTTGTTTTTAAGTTGTATTCATTCAACTTGTTTTTATTATTGCTTGTTAGCCACCCTGAGGCTGGGGAGAGCGGGGTATAAATAATAATATAATAATATAATATTATTATTATTATTATTATTATTATTATTATTATTATTATCCCTGTTCTAGATGGGGGGCATGCAGAGAAAGCAGTCTGCCTCCCTTACCCCACCCACCTTTGATGTGGACTGAGATTGTGGCCAAGGAGCAAAGGAGAAGAGAAACTGTGAAAACCATTCCTGGGTATGATCTTCAAGACTTTGTAAATGCAGTGCTTTCCCCTGCCTGAGCTGCCTAGGTGAGAGAGAGCAAGATTCTGCAGCCTGCAGTGTGCCTGCAGTATGCACAAGGTATCCCATTTCCTCTGTTTTACCACTGCTTTCCTTGGCAAACACAGCAGGGAAACATTCTCAGTGATTCTGCCAGCCCTTGGCTGGGAGGCGTCCTCCTCCTGTTGAAACATGCTTCCCAGCCACTTCCGGATTGAAAAACACGTTATAATCTGTGTAACTGTTACTGGAGGGGTTGCTGGGCTCTTTGCTTGTGTCCTGGGCTAGGAAAAGTGGTGTGAGGCTACAGTTAAGAAGCACCCCTTGGGGAGTCCAGGCAAGGTTTTGGTGAGAAAGTGTGTAGCCTGATTGCTAGACTGAAATCTTCCAATCCGTTTTGAGAGGAAAGCAACTCTGCCCAAAAAATGATCTAGGACTGGGATGAACTTTGCAAGAAGTGAGCGGCAAGGTTGGGACCATTTGGGTGGTTTGTAGGGTGCGAAGTGCAGGATCAAACCAGAGCATCTTGCAAGACTTCCTCTGCAAAGCCTTTCTCTTGGATTTGTGTTGTGTCCTCCCTCCCAGGATATCAGAGTGGCATATATGGTTTCTTTATCCCTTCCCTTTGTTGTCACAGTGGGACGCGGGTGGCGCTGTGGGTTAAAGCCTCAGCGCCTAGGACTTGCCGATCGAAAGGTCGACGGTTCGAATCCCCGCGGCGGGGTGCGCTCCCGTTGCTCGGTCCCAGCGCCTGCCAACCTAGCAGTTCGAAAGCACCCCCGGGTGCAAGTAGATAAATAGGGACCGCTTACCAGCGGGAAGGTAAACGGCGTTCCGTGTGCTGCGCTGGCTCGCCAGATGCAGCTTGTCACGCTGGCCACGTGACCCGGAAGTGTCTGCGGACAGCGCTGGCTCCCGGCCTATAGAGTGAGATGGGCGCACAACCCTAGAGTCTGTCAAGACTGGCCCGTATGGGCAGGGGTACCTTTACCTTTACCTTTGTTGTCACAACAACCCTATGAGGTAGCCTAGGCAAAGAGACAATAATGGCACATAAATAACTAGCACATCACACCAACTCTTCGAAGGGATAAAGGCCTTCAGCACAGCAGTGAAAAGAATGCACCAAATCTATCCTCCCACCAGCCTAGCAAACATGGCCAATGGCCAGGGATGATGGGAGTTGAAATTCAGCAGCATCTGTTAAGATCAAAGGTTCTCTACTTCTCTTCCTCTCCTCTCTCATTGTCAGCTAGTATCTTCAAGACCAAAGTCATAACCCCCCTCCCCTGACAATAAATGCCTTCCTTCTTATCTCACAGGGCTCTCCTATCTGAGGTTTAGGACTGCCATGAGTCATTGCTCCTCTTAGAAAGCTCACCAAATTTAGCAATTTAACCCTTTTCCTAGCAAGGCTTTTTTTTTAACATAAAAGAAAACAACTGTCCATTTCTACCTATGAAAAATTAAACATTTCCAACTTAGTTTCTATTTAGAAGCATTGTTATGAGGACCGGGGACGAGGGAGAGAGAAAATGCTATTTTCCCCCAGCTAGAAATCCATTTATTAAAAACGCATAAAAACAAGCATATTGATAGGAAGTAGTACAAATCAAATCTGAATGACTCCTCCTTCTCTGCAGCTTCTCCTCTTCAAACATGATTCCCCCCTTCTTAGAAAGGAGCTTCAGTGACTCTGTGATGCTCTCTAGTGGCTACAAATTAAGTTACTAACAAGATGAACAAACTTTTTTGGTATCTCGTGGAACATGAGGCATTTTGCATCATTAGTGTTCCAGATTCCTCTGGAATTTGTATTAAACAGGGTGAGCATAGGACCCGAAACATAGGACCTTCCTTGTTTATGGAAGACAGTTCTTTATTTGAAGGCATTCTCTTGTTTCAAAAATCCAAATCTACCTGTTTATATAACAAAATTTGAATGCGCCTCGATTGTAATAAAACTGATCACTATATTTCTATTTAAATTATGGTCATTATTCCTAAATTGGCATCTATCCACATATATAAGCAAGGGCAAATTTAGTTCACTCTCTTTGTTTTGTTTTGCGATGCATCCAGGGGCGTAGGAAGGGGTGTGGGGGACTGCAGCCCACCTCGGGTGTCATCCTTGAGGGGGGTGACAAAATGGCACACCGCGCGGGGGGGGGGGCGGCACTTACCGTAGAGCCTGGCCTGCAGTGCACCCGAGCCATGCGTCTCTCCTGGGAGTGACGCAGTGGTTCGGGGCCCTGCACTGCTCAAAACAGCAGCGTGGGGCTTGTGTCTGCTAGGTGGACTACGTGGGCAGCTTGCCACTGCTCCCCCCTGGGCAGCTCACCCCACCCCTGCTGCTCTGGGTGCTGGAGCAGCTAGCTAAGCCCCTGGATACATCCCCTTTGTGATGTGCATCTTAATTGATTGATCTCCTGCATTTGCCTGTTGATGTTCACAATGCACAGTAGCACATAGTCGGATGTTAACATTTCATTCCTCTCCAAAATGAGGGGGGAGAAACACTGGAATGCTTTTGCTTTACAAGGACAAAATGAGGCAGTGGTGGACCAGTTTTTGCAATTGTGTCTTTTCACACAGAGAGGAAAACATGCCTCATGTTTTGCAGTCCTTGAAATAAAATAAAACCCCAAACCAAGTTCTGGAATCCTGCAGTTTTCAAGTTGTTTTAAACCAAGAAAGGTAAACTTCCAGCTGGTCTGATGTGGCCCACCAGGCCTCTCCCTATGCCAGGGAACCTGAGGCACAGGGGACAAATGTGGCCCTCTATACCTCTCTATCTGGCCCTCAGGCATCTCCCTAGGACATGCCCCTCACCAGCCCTGTTTGGTACCCTCCTTGGGTCCTTTTTGCCTGTCTGAAATGCGTCCTTGAACTCTGATAATGCCTCTTGCTTGTCTGGATGGGAGATAGAGATGAGTGTGCGAGTGCATGTAGAAACTAACCTACTGTACTGAATTCAAACACTGAGGGCAAAGGAAAACAGGTCAGCTGACATTACTGTGAATGACCGGTGTGAAGTTCTACCCCATTCCCATCGTAGTTGGCCTTCAGGCTGTGGGAGATATATGGAACTGGCCCGTGGGTTGGATCAAGTTCCTTCCCTCTAATTTAACATGCTAAGTGTTAATGCCTCTCAGAATAGAACACTGCAGATTCATGGGAACAGAGGGATACAGGGTATACAGAACAACAGCAAAGTCACCTTGGACTGACCCCATGAAAGGGACCACAGGTTATTTGTGCAATTCAGCACTTCAAAATAGGACTAATGCTGATTGCATTTAGCTCCACTAAGCTGCATTAATTTACTGGCTGAATTTTACAAATGTAATTAAGGGTTAATATGTTTCTAAAGGCACAACAACTTTAATAGGTACAGACTAGGTTGAAAATCAACAGGTTCAATTTTTCCCCATCACTGCACACTGGAGGAAAGAAATTGCACCAGGATTCTGTGATTGTTAAATATAAAGACCGTAAAAAGAGTACGCAGCCTCCCTCAAGGTCATAGCTGTCAACTTTCCCCTTTTTTAAAGGGAAATTCCCTTATTCCAAATAGGATTCCTCGCGAGAAAAGGGAAATGTTGACAGCTATGCTCAAGGTAACTCAATAACATCTCCACTGTGACTTAAATTAACACCTTTTTATATAGAAATGAGTTGTAAAACAATATCCTTCAGAAGGAATGCAACTTTAGACAAAGAACTCATAAATAGGAACAGTAGCTTTTAAGGGCCACCTTGTTCTGTACAAGATTTTCTCTCTTTTCTCTGAAGTTTTACTTCCACAAGAGGAAAGATGCATTCATTTGTTCAAAGTCAATCTTAGCTGAAGCAAACAGGCCCAACCGTGAACCCGAACTGATGGGAGACGTCCCCATTGTGAAACACAGCAAGGTCACGCACAGGCAAAAGGGTAAGGTCCTCCGTAGAGAAATGGAAGATGGTGTCAATGATAGAAGATTCATTGTCCAGCTGAAATATGCAAGGCAGAATTATTAGGCAAGAGCCAAATCTTTCATTTTGCAACACAAAACCTTCACACATGCAACTTGCTAGACTATATTGTTTTGAAGATAGGCTGAGAAATGTGTGTGAATAATTTCCCATCGTGCTGGCAGGTCAGATCTGTATCTGCCCTACCTGTTGCAAGATAACTTTGACAGGTGGGCATGGCCACTGTAAGGGGAATCAGCCAATTCCCCTTACTCAGACTGCATTAAGGATATTGTTAGAAGAATCAGCTTAATCAAATCAATTAGGAATTTGTTAAGAATGTTTATGCAGGCCAAACCCAGCCTTGAGTGAGTCTGATAGAGAGCAGGCACCCTGTTCTTTTTGCTGAATCTGGCACCCAGTTCAGATAATGCAGGCATGCTTTTCCTCTGAGAAGGTGGCCTCATTTTTATGCATGCATAAAGCTAAGGTGAGGGGATGCCTCCATCTAATTTATAGGCCTGTGGACTCCACTTATGTAGGTTCTCCCAAGCAGCCACTTTTCTGTTTGACCAAGTAAAGGACCCTCCTAGTGTCCTCTTTATTGACTTTCCCCTTAGGCATGAGGAGAAATTACCCATACTTTAGGGTGGACATATAGATGGTGCTTTTCACCCCTGTTCCACTCCATTAAAATTGTACGGAAGGGGGTGTAGCTCAGTGGCAGGGCAACTATCTTGCATGCAGAAGGTCCCAGGCTCAACCCTTGGCATCTCAAGGCATGCCTGGGAGAGACTGAAACCCTGGAGATCTGCTGCCAGTCAGTGTAGACAATATTGTGCAAGATGGGAAGAATGGTTTGACTCAGAGGCAGCTTCCTATGTCAGTCATGCATTTCCTTCCACTTACTGTGCATCCTTCAAGGACAGCCATGTAACTCTGCTCTTGGGAGTCGGTAAGGAACTTGATTTCTTTTTCCAGCTGCAGCTTGCCCCCATCTGGATGGGGTCTGCAGGAATACGACACCTTCTGGGTGGCCAGGCTGCTGTGAAGCTTCAGGAAACGGAGCTGGACAGTGGTTGTATCCTGGTACTCCAGCTACAGCAACCAAGAGAGGACAGAGGGTTAAGAGTTGGCCAAAGCTGGTCAAGCTTGCAGGGCTGAACACTATCTTGTGTGTGTGTTGAGGGGTGGGGGGATATCATCGCACCTCATGTAGAAAGCTTGTGTGTCAGGAGAGAAGGGTTCCAATCAAACACATCATTTCTTTCTACCTGCTTTGGTGCTCCTGCCATTTAGGACTGCATTTTAAAATGCAGATAGAGGGGTTGTATGTGCAAATGCTTTCTCTCACAACTATCTCCATGCACCTGGAAAACTAGGATGTCAGGGGAAAGGCTAAAACTCCTTTCTGCTCAATAAGTTCAAATTCACCAGGTCACTTAGGCAAGCCCCCCCCCCCTTTGTTGAAGTACAGCTCCCATAATTGCTGGTCATTGCCCATGCATGCCGAGGCTGATGGGAGTTGTACTTCAGCACTGTCTGCAGGGCCAGAGGTTTCCTACACCTGATGCAGAGGATTGCATGTATTAATAGGCAAGTCAGGCACCAAGTTATGATGACTAAGTAGGGATGGAGAAGGCATTTGGTTCTGTCTGCATTAGAACTACCTAAGTCACAGTTCTTGAATGAATAGGTAAAGATAAAGGGACTCCTGACCATTAGGTCCAGTCATGGCCGACTCTGGGGTTGTGGCACTCATCTCGCTTTATTGGCCGAGGGAGCCGGCGTACAGCTTCCGGGTCATGTGGCCAGCATGACTAAGCCACTTCTGGCGAACCAGAGCAGTGCACGGAAACGCTGTTTACCTTCCCGCCGGAGCGGTACCTATTTATCTACTTGCACTTGACATGCTTTTGAACTGCTAGGTTGGCAGGATCTGGGACCGAGCAACAGGAGCTCACTCCGTCGCAGGGATTTGAACCGCTGACCTTCTGATCAGCAAGTCCCAGGCTCTGTGGTTTATCCCACAGCGCCACCTGCGTCCCATCTTGAATGAATACACAAAACAAAATACAGCTATCCTTTGAAATTTTTGCTTCTCTGAATTTTGCAATGCAGTTCTCTGAGCAAACATCATGTAGAAAAAAATGCACATATTAGAGAACAGTGTGCATAAAAATGTATTAAAATGAGGGGAAAATTTATTGCATAGGAGTGTGTATTGGCCAAAACTGTAGCCAGAAATGTGCCTGTTACAAGACATTTGTACCAAAATGCTGATGAGCTTTCCGGAGGGGAAATTTTGTGACGGAATCTTCAGTGTTGCTTACAGAGAAGCTTACCATGAAACCACCAGGCAGGGAACTGAACCACTGGAAGGTGTTTTCCAAAGCATATGCCCTCAACCAGGCTTTGATGGGGACCTGATGGTTTAAAAACACACAGAGAGAGTTCATCAAAGATCACAGATTTTTACAGTGATTAGAAACTGCTGTTGGGCACAGAGCAGTAACTCAGAGCAAGGCTTTCTGGGTGGCTGCCCCGATTTGTGGGAACAGCATCCCTGTTGAGATACGACAGGCAGTCCCACTCCACTGTTTGCATTATCTGGAAATAATTGAAGGTCTTTTCATTGTGATGCCAGGCACCTTCATTATGCAGTTTCCATAACGAGCTGAACATGCATCTCTTTATCCTGGCCTTTGACATTGTGTGTGTGTGTGTGCATTGTTTAGTCGTTTAGTCATGTCCGCCATGGACCAGAGCACGCCAGGCACTCCTGTCCTCCACTGCCTCCTGCAGTTTGGTCAAACTCATGTTCGTAGCTTCAAGAACACTGTCCAACCATCTCGTCCTCCGTCGTCCCCTTCTCCTTGCGCCCTCCATCTTTCCCAACATCAGGGTCTTTTCCAGGGAGTCTTCTCTTCTCATGAGGTGGCCAAAGTATGGACGCACCCTATTCTTGTGATGGTAGTTTGTTTTAAACCGCTTTTGATATTGTATTTTTAAATTGCTGCAACCTGACCTAGGACTTTATGGTGAAGGGTTGGTAAGAAATTGTAATAATAGAATCACAGAAATGTAGAGTTGGAAGGGATCCTGAGGATCATCTAATCTGCAGGGAAGAGTATTTTGATATTATTCTTTAAACACACACACACACACAACACAGCCAGCTAAGAAGCACTTTGCAATTAATTGCACAGCAGCACTGTGGCAATGGCACATATGATCATAGCTTTGAAGAATTGGAAGGGACCCTGAGGATCATCTAGTTCAACCTGCAACCTTGGCATTATCACCACTATCCTCTTACCAACTGAGATGATGATGATAACAACAGCAATAACAATTTTAAGCTGTTTTATGGTATGTTTGTAAACCACCTTGAGATGCATGTAAAAGGAGATCAACATGTTTATTAGTAATAACGATGATGTAATCAGTGACTTTAACCTGTTTTCAACTGCTTGTAATATTGTATTTTTTAATGGCTTGAACCTGCCCTGGGATGTTACAGTGAAGGGTGGGTTAATTATTGAAATAATAATAAGCAAAAGGATAATATGTTAGCTGTTTTTATTGCATGCATGTAAAAGGAGAATCATACATTGAATCATACATTTAATAATAATAATAGTAACAGCAACAGCAATGGTGCTGGGTGCATGACTGATCTTTCACCCTGCTCAGAAACCTTAGAATTCTTACTTGGTTTTGCACAGGAGAAATACAAGTCTCTCCCCCAGCCGTGAAGTTGCAAAATGCCACCAAAGAGTCTTGCGGGCTGCCTTGGTTGGGGTCTATGTAGTAATGCCCTGAAATGAAACAAATTTCCTTTATAACTAGCCTGCTAAGAGACTAAGCAGCATCATGCTTTCATGCTGGCCACAGAGGCAGCCCCCTTCTCCCCAGCCAGCATAGAGAGGCAGGTGGCAAGAGTCTCAGCAGACTGATAAAACAAATGGGCCTCCTACCAAACAGGCCTCTGGAGGAGGGTACAGAGCCGAGTCAGCATTGAGAACCAAGCTGATTGGCAGAGGAGCCTGTACACTTGCCTGCATGGAATTTCTGGTAACCCAAGGCTATTAGGAAAGTTGCATTGCAAGATAATGGTAATATTTATTTATTCTTATTTGATTTGTTTTCTAAAGAGCAAACAACCAAACAGCGAAGCGAAGCAATTGTAAAAAGAAAAAACCCAAGCTTTAAAGGACTTCCAAATCAGGATTTCTTAGCTCTAGCTCAGGGGTCAGAAATTTTTTTCATCAGGGGGCTGGTCCACTGTCCCTCAGTCCTTGTGGGGCACTGGACTATATTTTGAAAAATATAAATACCCTGCAAGCCAGTCCCGCAGCTGCCTCCAGATCTGGAGGAGGAACGCACTCTGCATGCGCTCAGGAGCATGTCTTGGTGCTGCCTGCTCACCAGCATTGTTGACAAGCAGCAGCCACTTCATTGGCCCATCTCCGCGGAGCTCCCAGGCGGTGTGCACCACGCGCTGCAGCCTGTCATCCGAGGCCAGGTCAGCGGGCAGGTGGCACACGTGGAGCGCCGGGCAGGCGGTGCACAGCTCGCCCCCCAGCTGCTCCAGTGTGGCTGCCGGGTGCACCACCAGCAGCAGCAGCAGCAGCAGCGCCGAGCCGGGCGTGGGGCCAGCAGGTGTGCCAAGCTCTGGCTGAAGTCCCACGGCATGCCCGTCACGATGCCCATGATACGGCCCATACACACCCACCTCTCCATCCATGGCCATGCCAGGTTTACCACGCGGGTGGTGAGGCTTTGGACTGGCTGCAGGAACTTCCTGCAGCCAATCCGAAGCCTTGCCAGCATTGCGGAAGTCAGTCCACACGCAGCAAGGCCTCCGCAGCTTGTTTTCAAGGAAATGCTGCACCGGTTTAGCTTAGCTCGGGGACTGACTGAGCAGGGAGCAGGGTCCGTGGGCCGGATTTATGAGCCTGGTGGGCCGCATCCGGCCCCCCAGACCGTAGTTTGCCAAGCCCTGCTCTAGCTAGAGTCAGGTGAAAATGTTTGTGGGGATTTTTGGATACAAACTTACCCACTAGTCACATTTTGTTGCTCTCAATGGATACTGTTGCCATTCTACTCCCCCTCCTCCCCTCTCTCCAAATGTCCAGGATGTCAAGCCATTTGCAGGCAATTCTGGTGGAAATAGCAACTTCCTCATGGACAGGCTGGGTTTCTTGCCAGTGTAGGTGGGTTAGATTCACAGAACTATAAAATTATAGAGCTGGAAGAGACCACAAGGGTCTTTAAGTCCAACTCCCTGCAATGAAGGAATCGCAACTAGATCATACATGACAGATCCAACCTCTGCTTAAAAACCTCCAAGGAAGGAAAGTCCACCACCTCCAAGCTTGCTCCATCCGATAATCCTTTATATATTTGAAGATGGCTGTCATATCTCCTCTCAGTCTCCTCTAAACACAACCAACACTCTCAACCGTTCCTCATAAGGCTTGGTTTCCAGACCCTTGATCATCTTGGTTGCACACATTCCAGCTTGTCAATATCCTTCTTAAATTAAGACCCAGTGTGGTGCAATGGTTAGAATGTTAAGACTAGGATTTTGGAGAGCAGGGCTCGAATCTCCACTCAGCTATGAAGCCCTCTGGGTGACCTTGGGCCAGTCACAATCTCTTAGCCTAACCTACCTCACAGGGCCGGGAGGATGAAATAGGGACGATAACCATGTATACCACCTTGAGATCCTTGGAAGATAAAGGTGGTATATTAATGTAATAACTAAATAAACAAGTGGGCTGAGTGATGGATGTAATTTTGTGATGGCCTGGGACTTGGGCTCCACTACCAGTTGGGTCAGGAGAGGCTGAGGCGGCCCCTGGGTCTAGTAACCCACCGACATTTCCGAAGCTGCAGAGACTCAAGTCTGAGAGAAGGAGAGACCTGAGTACTCGCAGGAGGAGTGCTCGCCTTTGGGCGAAACAGGGAGGTGAGTTGCTGGGCGATCAGGACCGGCCGTTACCCCGTCAGAGATAAAAGGCTGTCGGACCCCGCCCCAGGTTGCGGGAGCAACACTGCTGTTTGCTAGAACCTGCCTGAGACCCTGTGCCTGACCTAGCCTAGTTTCCTGCCTTGGCCCTGTTGGACTGACTCCTCATGGAATCCTTGGATTAGGGACCGGACCTGGACCGCGTGGCTCAGGTTAACCCCCGGGCCCAGCACAAATTCTTACTGTTGTTGAATGATTTAGGACAGACAGACAGAAAGAAAGTACTTCATACTGTGCATAGATAGACGATGGAACTTGCTCTCACAGGAGGCAATGATGGCCCTCAGCTTGGATGGCTCTAAAACAGGCCTACACAGAATCATGGAGGATCGGGCTACCAATGGCTACTAGCCATGATGGCTTTGCTCTGCCTCCGTGGTTGAAGGCTGTATGCCTCTGAATACTAGTGGCTGGGAATTGCAGGAGGGAAGAGTGCTGTTGGGCTTGGGTCCTGCTTGTAGGTCAACAGTTGGGGCATCTGGTTGGCCACTGTGAGGATCCTGGACTAGATGGGCCTTTGACTACAATTCAGCGGGGCTCTTCTTCAGTTCTTATGTTCCTACCATCTGGGAGATGGGGTTGTGCCAGCAGAAGCTCTTTGCAAGTGGCAGCTGGGTAGTCTCTGGTCCCATTTGGAGGATCTACCAGGAGCTTCAGTTCTCGTCCCAAGCTGTCCATGAGGCTCCACACGTAGTCATAGTTCAACTTGCTTGCTGAATAAATCAGATGCTAGCAAAATAAAAGGAAATGAAGCAGAAGACAAAGTCAAGCCACTTGCATGTGACTTTTACTGTCAGGTATGGTGTCTCATAGGGACACAGGTGGTGCTGTGGATTAAACCACAGAGCCTAGGGCTTGCCGATCAGAAGGCCGGCAGTTCGAATCCCCGCAACGGGGTGAGCTCCCGTTGCTCGGTCCCTGCTCTTCCCAACCTAGCAGTTTCGAAAGCATATCAAAGTGCAAGTAGATAAATAGGTACCACTCTGGCAGGAAGGTAAACGGCGTTTCCATGCGCTGCTCTGGTTCGCCAGAAGCAGCTTAGTCATGCTGGCCACATGACCCGGAAGCTGTATGCTGGCTCCCTCGGCCAATAAAGCAAGATGAGCGCCGCAACCCCAGAGTTGGCCTTGACTGGGCCTAATGGTCAGGGGTCCCTTTACCTTTACCTTATGGTGTACCATGTCAATATTAATCAAACTATGTAGAATATAATAAAGAATGGGGGTGTGTGGGTGCCCCACAATAAGCTTTGTGCCACTGCAGATCATGCATAGAGGAGATGCATGCTCTCTATCGGAGTGCAAGTTGAATCCTCCAAAAAATGTGGACCCTGTGAGTTATATCCAACTAAGTTCTACTCAAAGCAGACCCACGGAAATTAATGTATGTCATGCCCATAAATTTCAATGGATCTGCTCTGCTTCAATGGCATATAACCCTATCCTTGTGAAATTTGCAGTTCTTTGAATTTTGGTGTGCAGTCCTGTGCTGAACCAAAGGTAAACTGTTCTAGAAGCTCTGCGAACACCATCTTGGTAGTCAATATAAGCCCACAATTAATTGCTAGTTGTTTTCACAATAAGCTCATATATATTTATATTCACTTGCTTCGATATAAGCTAATTGGATTGCTCCGATGCTATCCTTATTTGTGGGCTTGGGATGCTGGGCTCTGAGCCCAGAAAGGGGAACTATCTGTATTTGTCATCTATGCCCTCATCTGTTCAGGTGAAGTGATGGGAAGGCCTGGCCAAAGTGACGTCTGCTGCTTTGTGCATAAAGAATGTACGCATGTTTGCTTGGGTGCAGACCAGCCATCTTCTTGCTGTGGCGTCTGTCCTGCATTTGTAAATGCTGAGAGACCTGGCAGGCTGATTTGCTGTAAGTCTAGACCTTTCTTGAACAAAGCACTAGAACTGATCACTCTTGTGTTTTCGACATGGTATCCTGCACCAAATCACTCCCATGAGCCCTCCTTTGGGCCTCCTTTGGGCTTGCGGTTCAGAGCAACTCCTCTAACTAAAAAATGCACACATATATTAGGGGAAACTATCCATAAACATGCATATATTTGTAAAAGCATAAAAAATGCAATAGATTAAAGTGCTTTGCAAAAATGTGTGTATTCACATTAAAATGCTAATGAACTTTCCTGAGAGCTTTTAAAAAATGATGTCAGAAAGTGGTGCAAAAATATGGCAAACAAAACTTAAGACTGGGAAAATGAGAAAGTGGAAGAAACTGACAGGGCATAACTACCTTCAAGTCTTCCCTTGAGATGTTCAGTGAAGTTCCAGGGGGTCCAGGAACACCAGGCATGCCCTATGAGTAAGAAAGAGTATCATCAATCCTGTTTTGGAAAACTGGTGCTCAGTGCTGTGGTCCTCAGGTAGCTGCTTTAGTACTCCTGGAGTTTGGGAAACAGAGGTTCCGAAACGACATGCATTACACGTGCTTCTGCATTCAATATGCATGCCCTGAAACTTAACACATCCCGAGAAATGCCTGCTTGCATCTGAATGAGGAACTATCTAACTAGCACAACACACAAATACCAAATCCAGGCATGTCCCAAGTCCATTTCGGGTGCCTAATTTGGCCCACCGGTCAGTTTAATCCGGCCTCTGTGGCAGTTTATTTCCTGGGGTAAAATCCTAAAAAAACCTTTGGGTTTGAATAATAAAAAAAAGCTCAAGAACTTCAATCCTAAAAAAAGGTCAACAACAACTTTGGTCAGCCCTTTGGTCAGCCTCCATGGCCCTTCACTTCATCCAATCTGGCTCTCTTTGAAAAAACGTTTGGACACCACTGGCATAAACTGAAACACAAACTATCCTGAGAGATTTGCACTTCTCTGAATTTTGCAGTCCAGTTCTTCAACCAAACAGTATGTAGAAAAACACATATATTAGGGGGAAATGTGACGCGTATGGAATTTTAGGGGAGGGGTAGTACCTCTGGTAGGAGACATGTCATGCTCCTTCCGGGGTAGTTTGCCCACCTTTAGTCCCCCCCCCCCCGCACTCAGCTCTCACCTGTGGCACCTAGAAGCTGTCAGCATGTGACAGTAGCCACACCCCGGGAAATGCCTTCAACTGGCCAGCGAGTAAAAATATCAATGACCATTTCTTTTCTTTTCTTTTTTTTAAAAAAAGAATGCTTGCTGTTTTTAGTACTCATGGAGGAAATCTTGCAAGTACTTGGTTTGAAAGAAAAATACAGAAAGGGCAGCCTTAACTTACAGGCAGGCCTGGTAGACCTTTTGGTCCTGCGTCACCTTCCAAGCCTTTGAGGCCCTGGTGAAAACAAGAGAGAAGAGACAACTAAATAACCACTGAGATTTGGACAGTACTTAACACACAAGGTGGGGCAGGCAGGTTGGGAGGCTGGCTCCCTTACCTTTTGCAGTGCCCTCCATTGGTTTTGGAAATAGGGTCGGGGAGTGTTTTGAGGTGGGTATTGATCTCAGGGAAGGCAAGGGCAGAAGACCAGGGAAGGCTCAGCCTGCGCTATAGGAGAGCAGAGCTTGGATGTTGCTTCAGCAAGCACCAGATCGAAAGTGAGCCCCGCTGCTAGCACTATACTGCCATGTCTAGTCCTGGCCAGACATTGAGTGCTCTGAGGAAGAACCAGATACTCTACTATTTGAGGACTTGGGGGAGCAGGCAAGGGCCCCCTGAATCAAATGCAGAGGATCCCCTTGTGGGGAAGAGCCTCTTGGGATTGTCAGAGGAGGAGGTGGACCTGCCCCCAAGTCCCCAAAAGCTTGGTATGCAGGTTGAAAAGCAAACAGCACAGCTAGGACCCCTGCAGCAGCTCCCTGCCTTTGAAGCTACCACTGCGGTGCAGGGAGTAAGAAACCAGAGATTTGCTGTCAAGAGCCCCTGGCTTGAGATGTCTAAAGGGATAGGCAGGCAGGATTCACATCAATGTCAGTCATTCTTGGGTAGCTGCCAGGGCTCAAGCATCTTAAACCCAGTCTGGCAACCCTAACCCCCAACTCCTACCTGCATCAGGCAGTTGGGGCTAGGAGCCTTTGGTCATTTGGTGTTTCTACTGTTCAGCTATGACCTGGGAGAGCAGGGTTCAAATCTTCACTTGGGTCATGAACCTCACTGGGTGACCTTGTGCCAGTGACTGCCTTTCAGCTAGATCTACCTCACAGGGTTGCTGTGAGGATAAAGTGGGAGGTTAAACCATGTATGCAACCTTCTGTTCCTTGTGATAGATGTGGGATATAAATGGGAGGAATAAATAAACAAATAGATAAATTTCTCATGACATCCTGGAGCCCATGATATGCTGGGGTGGGGTGCTACACAATATCCCAGTGCAAGACTATCTCAGGTACCACTGAGCATAAAATGGCAACTGGGGTCTGTTGATGTGTGTGTGTGTGTGGGGGGGTGCTCTCACTGCCTTGGGGCACTCTCAAATCCAGAAATGAGCAAAAGCTTTGCATAAATTGTTGGAGTGCACCAGCTGATGTGCCTAACTGTGAAATCATGGAAGGTGGTGGCATTAAGGACTGCAGGTGTGCATATAAAGAGAATTGGGTACAGCAATGGCAGTGGGCATGTATGCAGCAGGGACGTGGGGGGGGTAGGATTACTTACTTTTTGTCCAAATGTGCCCTGGGAAGGGGAAGAACAAAGACAATACTAGTGGGGAACAATACTTTTGTCCAAAAGAGGTCCCCCACCCCTAAAATAACAGTTGTTGGAAAATAATCCTAGGAGATAAACTGAACCAGCTATTGCATTTTGGTTTTGGTAAAAGAATGAATGTGATGAATGCGAACTAAGTCTCTCCTTTTTGGACGTGTTGAATTAGAGCTAGTTCCTTTTTTAAAATGAGTTTTTCAAGTTCTGTGTGCCAGGGATTGAGTTTGAGACCTCTGACATGCAAAGCACATGTTCTGCCACTGAGCTATAGTGGTTCACTGAAGTGTGTGGGGGAAGGCCTTGTGGACCCTCCCCTACAACTAGCAAAACCAGCGAATGATGCAGATTTGTAACTTCTGCATGCTTTATACAGGTGACAGAATATAATAGTTCCCAATTGGGGGGGGTGTGATATTGCCTATGTGCAGAATTCTGAATTTATTTAATTTTCCTAATGTGTAAGTAATACATGTCCCATTAAGTCCCTGAAACAAAGAAACAAAGCCCAGCAAATTTATTGCTGTGCAGTTCGAAAAAGGAGGAGGGGAGCTTACTGGAATGCCAGGGTGTCCAGCAGATCCCCATGTACCACTTGGGCCAACAACACCCTGAAAATGAAGGAGAGAGTGTTACAAAGGCAACTTGGGCTTGTGTGAAAGCATCTATTTATCTATAATATCTTATATATTTATAGACCTCTTAATACCAGAGCAGTTGACAAAGAAAGATAACAAGTACTATACACATCTGCATCGACTTGGGCCCTAGACTGTGGGTGCCCAGAAGCATGCATGACATGACATCATGATATGGTGTGACATGCACAGCTTGGTCTCTGCCCTCTGCTGCCACCTTCGAGTGCTGCGGCAGGGCTGGAACCTCTGCCTCTGCTGCAGAGCCTCTGTTGGGTCCACTGTGGCTGCAGGCTCAACCCAGAAGCACATCTGCGGCCACAGTGGGCCCCAACAGAGGCCCAGTTGCCACAGCACCGTAGGAGAGTTGGACTTGAGGCAGCGGGCATCAGTGGCTGGGCACCCACATTGAAAATTTTGTGGGTGCGCAGGCACCCCTGGAATTGGTGCCAGTACACCTTTTTGCGCAGGCTTTCCCTGACACAGAAGATGGGGTCCTGTCCCCCCCCCCAATTATTTGTTTCAGTTCTCTGAGTTTCTGTTCTTATAACAGTTTTACTGTTTTTAACGTCGTGTTTTTACCTGCTCCCCTTTTGGTCCTGGCCTCCCAGGAACGCCCACGGGACCTCGCTTACCCTGAAAGAGAGAAAAAGTAATCACTGAAGACTAGGCCCTTTGTATGTTCAAACTGCTTTTCCCCAATCTCGAAACCTTCACAAACATGGTATGTGCAGCAACAGATTCTCACTGTTGTTTTGTTGGTGTTTAGTTGTTTAGTCATGTCCGACTCTTTTGTGACCCCATGGACCAGAGAACGCCAGGCACTCCTGTTTTCCACTGCCTCCCGCAGTTTGGTCACTCATGTTGGTAGCTTCAAGAACACTGTTCAACCATCTCGCCCTCTGTCGTCCGCTTCTCCTTGTGCCCTCCATCTTTCCCAACATCAGGGTCTTTTCCAGGGAGTCTTCTCTTCTCATGAGGTGGCCAAAGTGTTGGAGCCTCAGCTTCAGGATCTGTCCTTCCAGTGAGCACTCAGGGCTGATTTCCTTCAGAATGGAGAGGTTTGATCTTCTTGCACTCCATGGGACTCTCAAGAGTCTCCTCCAGCACCATAATTCAAAAGCATCAATTCTTCGGCGATCAGCCTTCTTTATGGTCCAGCTTTCACTTCCATACATCACCACTGGGAAAACCATAGCTTTAACTATACGGACCTTTGTCAGCAAGGTGATGTCTCTGCTTTTTAAGATGCTGTCTAGGTTTGTCATTGCTACAGATTCTCATACGTACCTTAAAACCATTATCCCCCGGGGGACCAAGGTAGCCCATCATGCCTTTGATGCCCTACAGAAAGATGCCCAAGAAATGGAAAAGGATTAATGATTCTCAACAATGTAAAAAATCAGTCAATTACAGTAACCTGTGTTACAACAGCCACTCAAACAATAGGGTAGCAAACGCAATGCCTTCCAATGCAATGCCTTCTCCAGAATGGTCAATAGTTACAGGAGCTGCAGTTCAGTATAGAAGGAACCATCTTGGCTACTCTTGTCTTATGCTGTCAATTGTGAATGCAAGTTTAGCTGGTACATTAGCAGGCTGGTAGTATCAAGCTGAGACAGTAGCAATCAGCACCTACTTTTTCTCCTTTGGGCCCCTTGACTCCCTTGCCCCCCCTGAGCCCAGGAACACCCTGTGAATGGAAAAGACAAATAACACAATTATTTATAGTGCTTCATAGTTAGTTACTTCCAGGGTATCCACACCTGGCAGATGGATTTCCCCCCCAAGCCAACCATACAACTGCAAAACACCTCACACATATGTGCCAACTTCCTGGGGCCCCATGAAGTGGCCCAGCTGGCACTCATGTCTCCAAAAGAGGTCCAGAGAGTGGCAACATGAGAACAGGGCCTTTTCTGCAGTGGCTCCCTGTTTGTGGAAAGCTGTCCCCAGGAAGGCCTTCTCTACCAGGCCTTTGGTGAATTAAATGATATATGGCTTTTTAAACTCTATTACTATGCTTCATTATTTATTATTAAGCTGCTATGCATTTTTTGTGTTTTTCTATTGTGAACTGCCCTGTGATGATCAGATGAAGGGCAGTATCAAAATTTAATAAATAAAAATAAAACATAATTGGGCCATGCGTTGGTAAAACTCGATGCCCTTGTTGAAGATTGGGAAGCTACAGCATGAATGCATCAGAAATGGATAGAGCTCCAATATTAACTCCCCTTCACAGTCACACTGCACCACAAACTCAACAAACTCCATGAAAAACATGGAGAAGGAGCCAAGCAAACATGGTCCTGCCTTGGAATCTGTTTCTTAGGCTGCAACCCAGACACACTGAATGCAACAGAGCTTACCTCTGAGTGCATACCTAGGATTGCATTGTTGGTGCAAAAATAACTTTGGCAGAGAAGGAAGGAAAAGTTACAAGAACCTGCAATTATTATTTTTGTTGTCAGAGGAAAAAACTTCCAAACCAAGAGCAAGGCTTCAAGCCAAGCTGTCTTCTAAGCAGAGCATGCTGGATGACACATCTTTATTATGGAAAAATTACACCAGCCTATCCTTGCACTTGTTATGCCGCTGAACATCTATACCAATAGGGAACTCATGCGTTATGACCACTTTGCAGCCCAAAGGAGGCTACCGAGAAACAAGAGGGAAGTATCCACACACAGGCAAATGACCGGTTGATGCATGTGGTCATGGCAACCCGGAAGTGTCGGGAAAGGGGATGGAACATGGTGGAATGGGGGTGGGGGCATAATGAGGCAGAGCAGACATGCATTCTTCCCTGTTGTGTGCAATGACCCAGAACGCAACCCCGACACAAATCAGGGGTTGCCTGTATCCAGGGAGAAACCAGAAGTTTGCAGAAACTCTCTCTATATATACATATGGGGGAAAACCTCTAAGGGCAGCAACTGGTTTATTAGGGTTAATGGGACATTGCCCCACCAACCACAGTCTGCCCGCAGTCAGGCTCCACCTGCCTGTGTTTCTCCTTACAATTGGAGCAGGGAGTGTCACTGAACGCCAACTTCTTCTTCATTAATCTCATTGTTGTGCTTTATACAACTCAGCTGAGAGAAGGATGGGCTGTCATTGGGCTCTGGACCTACCTGTCCTCAGTGCTGCCAACACCTGTCACTGATCTCTCTACCAATCCCAACAGGCTCGGCTCTAAGGGGGCAACCCAATGAGGGCTGAGCATGCTCACTGACCACGGAAAGCTGTAGCTGTGTGTGTGCATGAGTGAATGAATGAAAGAAGCCAAGGAGAAGGAGGAATGGAATGGAGTATCTTGGGAGAAAGCATGGCCGGCTGGCAGACTAGGACCTGCAAGACCAGGGTTCGAATCGCCACTTGGCCATGAAGCTCACTGGGTTATCTTGGGCCGGTCACTGCCTCTTAGCCTAACCTGCCTCACAGGGGTGTTGTAGGGGCTGAATGAGAGTGAGAACCATGTAAACCACCTTGAGTTCCTTGGAGGAAAAGCTGGGCTACAAAGACAAATGTGTCCCAGGAAGGCTCTTAGTGCCTCTCTGTTACCTCTAGACTTCTGAACTTATGCATAACTTAATTGTAACGAGCCACCCTTGTGACCAATACTTACATAAGGGCCTTGGGGTCCCCGGGGACCACGGAGACCATGTTCACCTTGAGAGCCCTGGAAGGGAGAAAATAGGGAAAGGAGGGGGAAATGGCTATAACTATTTGCTTAAGCCCAGCAGCAGCTCCCTCTCTGGCTTAATCCACCATCCTTACTCAACTTGGCACCCTCTTGTTATTTTGGGCCAATGGTCAGGTGTGAACAGAATTACATATAGAAAACACCATGTTGGGAAAGACTGCCATTAAGGGACCAGAGGATGTGGAAGAGGACCCACAACTGCGCTGCAGCTAGACCTAAGGTGGGTCACATCAGTGTCATGGCCACCACAGATATTAATACATATCACCCATCCAACCACTGAAATAAATACAGGGTATAAAAGTGAATAGTGACTATCTCAGAAGAATAAAGGCGACAAAAAGCAGCAATAATCAATAATTATTAAGAGTACAAAGCTTTTTGCCTACCTTGGGGCCTTTGGAGCCTCTTGGAGGTCTGGGTCCAGCTTTACCACGCTTGCCCTGATGGTGGTGGGGTAAACAGGGAAACAGAAAAAAGGTGAGTTGCCAAAGCTCAGGGTCTAACCCTCAGTTTCAGGGTTTCAGTTTTAACAATAAAAACCAAGGATAAAGTATAATTTGTTAACAGATTACTTCTGGGTTTCACCGCTTCTGCACATGCGTGTGATGTCATTTTGCACGTCTGCACATGCGTGAGTGGTGAAACCCGGAAGTAACCCTTTCTGGTACTTCCAGGTCGCTGTGGGGCGCAACCTGAAAATGCGCAACCTGAAGCAAACGTAACATGAGGTATGACTGTACAGGGTGAGTCTTTTTAAAAAAGGCCCTGTGGAACATGTGTACTCTGTATCCACTGGGCCTCTTTTAAAGGACTCGCCCTGTATATCCATGGTAGAGCATTGCTTTGCATGCAGAATGTTCCAGGTTCAAACCCCAGCATCTCCAGGTAGGGTTGGGTAAAACTCCCTGCCTAATAACCTGGAGAGTTGATGACAGTCGGTGTAAACAGTAATGTGGCAGATGGACCAGTGGCCTAACTCCATATAAAGGCAGCTTCTGCTGCCCAGTTTATATAGGCCTAGCAACCTCTTATGCAAAAGCAGGAGCTACAGTGTGATTTCTTACCTTTCTGCCTGGATTGCCAGGGAACCCGGGATGCCCATCATATCCACGCTGCCCCTAAGGGAAGAGATGGAGAGAAAAGAGAGATGGAGGCAAAAAGTGAAGGCAGACTACTCCAGACCAGTGGCGTAGCATGGGTTGTCAGCACCCGGGGCAAGGCAAGTAATTTGCGCCCCCTAACCCGTGGATTTGCGCCCCCTAACCCGTGGATTTGCCCTAACCCCAGATGTTGCGCCCGGTGTGGCCGGCCCCCCCTGCATCCCCCACGCTACGCCACTGCTCCAGACACAACTTTAAAACCAGGTTTAATTCAACATGCACACACCCTTTCCCCGTGCCAAGCTTTGGGAAGGAAAAACCTGTTCTGCAGCTCATAAAAAAGAGTGGTTGGTCCATCATTTGATTCCATTCTCCCCTCGCTTTTGACACCCAGTGTAGGTATTTTCAGGACCCACCCCATTTTTTGCGATTGAATTTTTTTTTTAATTGCAAGTTTTAAAAACTGCCTTTAATGTTGCATTTTAAAATTGCTGCAACTTGCTGCAACTAAACCTTAAGGTGAACTGAAGGTAATACATATTAATAGTAATGATAACAACAACAAAAACAGCTTATCATAAATTACTTCAAACCAATTTCACAGGAAAAGCATCAACAGTAAAAAGTTAAAAGCAATCCCATAGTGTGCCTTGTTTCAATTATTGTACATAATTTCTTATCTTTTGCATTTTTGCATTTTCTGTAATTTTAATGTGTTTTCTTTTGTATTCATTTGTACAATGCTTTGGTGGGGCTTTGGGCAAAAAAAAAAAAAAAAGCATTACACACATAAAGCAATGAATGTATGTCTACAATTAAAACCAAATTGGCAAAAACAATTTCAGATCAATACAGATAAAAGTGTGGTGAGGGGAATAAAATCTGACAGGAGAAAGGTTAGTGGTAGATGGCACTGATTCAATGCTTACGGTATTTTATTCTCTTGCTAATTATGCTGTTTTAAATGTGCATGTAATATTTGATTTCTTTTATTAATGTTTTCTTTTGAAAAGTTTAAGATTCTTTTGGTTAACTCTTCTGTATTAAAGATGAATTCTGTAGTCAACCTTTTGTTGTTTTATTTTGAAATATTTGAGATAATATTTTAGTTTCCTGTTAATTACATTGTGTTGAATGTACACTTTGATTTTTCAGTAATATTCTATTCCGGATTGCTTTATTTGATGTTTTAATGTGTTATAAACTGCTTTTAGATTCCCCCCCTTAAATATATAAAGCAGTGAAGAAATGAAATAAAAAACAACACACAACCACCACCACCACCACAACAATGACTGAGTGGTGCTGGGGGGGGTGTGTCCATCCCCAACACCAGTTTTATGACACATTACACTTTTTAAACCTGAGAAGATGGTGGCAGAGAAAGTGGGCTTAAGCCCCCACCAAAGACAGGCCCACTACAACTGCAGGAGTTTATCTACACTTGTCTATAACTGCGGGCTTGTCTACATTTGCCCTGGTGATTTCCCCCAGGGACACCCACTGTTTACCACTGAATCAGAGCAAACACCAATCGGGTTTTCTCCAGATTAACGTTTGCTCTGATTCAGCACTAAAGAGTGGATTTTCCAGGGGAAAGCAGCAGGGCAAAGGCAAAACCTCTCAGACACATGCCTAGACAAGTAAAAGGCAAAAGATTTATATGATCTGAGGTGAAACCAGTTGAAAAACCCTTAGACCTGTGCTTTCGGGCACAGGAGAAGTGGAAGTGTGACAGGTGGTATACAAATCAGTCAGTCTGTCAAGTCAGTTAGTCAACCAAATAGAATCAAAGTTGGTAGAAAAATAATACCTTTTCTCCTTTACGGCCTTTTTGACCAGCCGGACCTGGTAGACCTAGAGGCCCCTGAAATACACATACAGTGGTACCATGGGTTACATATGCTTCAGGTTACAGACTCCGCTAACCCAGAAATAGTACCTCGGGTTAAGAGCTTTGCTTCAGGATGACAACAGAAATCGGGCTCCGGCAGCGCAGCAGTAGGAGGAGGCCCCATTGACTAAAGTGGTGCTTCAGGTTAAGAACAGTTTCAGGTTAAGAACGGACCTCTGGAACGAATCAAGTACTTAACCCGAGGTACCACTGTACAAAGAAAGAGAATCTGGGGATAGCACAAACCCTTTATCACTTTTTCCTTCATTTCTCTCTATCCCCTGTCTCAGTTGGTACTGAGAACTGTGGGAAGGAAGAGTGGATCTTTCTTCTTACCACGAGTTTTTGTTCACCTATAGCATTTGGTTTTCTTGCCACCAAGTTGGCAAGCACTATCAAGCTTTGGGGGGGGGGGGTTGTCCCACTTGAACTTGGGAGGTGGGGTTTGCAGAGATTCCACCTTACCTTGTATAAGGTAAAAAACCACCCGAGGCTGGTGCTCACTGGGAACTGATAGGCAGGTCAACAGCGGAACCAGAGCAAATGACAGGTGGAGCCATATAAGGCATAGTCAACTAATTCCAGTTCCATTCCCTTCTTCTTCCCTGATGAGTTCTACAAGGGCAGCACTGAGGCTGAGAAGGAGGAGGAAGCTGACAGCCAAGCCTGCCCCTTGTCTGGTTGTTAAGTAAAAAGGAAGAGAAGGTGGGTAGGGGCTGGAGGAGGCCAGACTGAGCTTGGAGGGGCAGTGCCCAGCTAACCCTAGTGGACCAGACTTCACTGTCCCAAACAGCCAAAGGCACCCTGGTTTGACTGGGGGTTCATGCAAAGTGTATGCACACCTGTAATAAGCATGATATATCAAGGCAGGGCGGGGGGGGGGCAGAGCCACAGGAAAGCATCCCGACTGATTCTGCACAAAGCATATAGTTTCAGCAAATATATTGGGATTCTTTTGCAGCATGTAACCCATTTTCTTAGGGTGAACAGAATTCTGGAGGGGAGAGGTCCATGGAAGAAGCTGACTTATATTCTAATACATGGTACTCCACCTGTTGGCCTGATGCCCCTTCCTGTCCCAGATCTCCTTTCTTGCCTGGGGGCCCCTGAAAGAAAGAAGGGAAGGAAGAAAGAGAAAGAAAAAGGGTAATACAAGAGCTGAAAGTTTATTCAATGAATCAGTGAATCAACTAAAAACATTTAGCTTGTCTAAAACAGAGATCCACAGGTTCCCATCTTCAGATGTTGCTTCTAGAGGGTCACAGGTTAGGAAGATAGGAAACTGCCTTATACTGAATCAAATCCATTGGTCCATGTAGCTTAGGGTTGTCAACACTGGCTGGCAGCAGCTCTACAGGATTTCAGATTGTCTTTTCCAGCCCCACCTGGAGTTGCTGGGGGAAATGCAGGTGCTCTAAAGCCTTCCCTTTATCCTGAATGCCCATTGGTGGATCAGAATGTATCTCTAATTAATCCAGTCTTCTATTTTAATACACACATGTATTCAGAGATATATGTCCTATATGAAATCCTTCCCCACTGATCCCCTAAATGAGTAGAAAAAACAGCAAGGAGAACCGACTCACATCAAGACCAACTAGCCCTGCTGCTCCAGTTTTACCAGGGGGACCACAATCGCCCTAAAAATCCAAGGGAGAGAAAACAAACATGTTCAATTGTAAAATCACAAGCGGAGTATGCAACTATTATATCTTGCCAGTAGCATAGCTAGCCAGGGGCAGGGGGGTGGGAGGTAGGGAGTCTGCACTGGGCGGGGAGGCATAGGGCGCCATGGGGGTCTGTAGTGCACACTATGGCTGCTGTGCATTGGGGGGAGGGAATCCGGGTGGCATGGGGGTTGTTGGGCTTTTTGGGCACTGCAGGGGGTGGAGCCACTTCCTGTCCCTGAAATCGGAAGCTACGGAATTTTGGTGGCTGCCCTAAAAATAGCTCAGGTGCCAGCAGAGGTTACTATGTGGCTGTATCATGCCTTCTGCCTGTTAAAAGATGTACAGCCCCATCTATATCAGCTACTGTATTTTTCACTCTATATGACGCACCAGACCACAAGACGCACCCAGTTTTTGGAGGAGGAAAACAAGAACAAAAATATTCTGAATCTCAGAAGCCAGAACAGCAAGAGGGATCGCTGCGCAGTGAAAGCAGCAATCCCTCTTGCTGTTCTGGCTTCTGGGATAGCTGCGCAGCCTGCATTCGCTCCATAAGACGCACACACATTTCCCCTTACTTTTTAGGAGGGAAAAAGTGAGTCTTATAGAGCAAAAAATACGGTATGTTCTACCTCCCCTGTCAGAGGCAGTGTGCCTCTTGTGTCCTGCTGCTGGGAAATGCAAGTAGGGAAAGGTGCTGTTGTGCTTAAGTCCTGCAGGTTTCATTTGGACATCTGGTTGGCCATTGTGAGAACAAGATGCTGGACTAGATGAGCTTTTAGCCTGATCCAGCTGCGCCCTTTTTATGTGCTTATGTTCTTATGCTCTTCAGATCTATGATATGATAAAGCAGATACAGTTTTCTTTCATGGAAAAGGTTCAGCCCTTAAAAAGCAATTGAATGCACCTGAGCACCTAGCTCCACCAGTACGTCAAGCTCCCCATATCTTCTGACACACATGCAGGTCTGAACCTTGATGTTTCTCTTTTTATGCATGAGCTACTGCCAACATATAGCCCCAAGAATTGCTCAAAGGGGTTTGTGAGCTCAAAGTGAGATCATTGCTGCATATTACATATTGCAACTTCCCAAAGCAGAGAAAATTAAGGGCAGTGCTGAAGCACTGTCTTGTTTTTTAGATGAGAGAGAGTATAAGAGACCTAGGTTGTAACATCAGTTTTATTTATACAATCAGAGCAAAGTGGAATCAAAGAGGCTTCTCCTGCAGCAGGTAAATCTGCCATTGGGATTCCCGGAGGGCGGCTGTCTTCCCCTATGCATCCTCGGTTTTAGTTATATCATCCAAAGACAGTGCAGTCTTCTACCCGTCTATTTCGGAGCCCAAAATCAAATGGCAAACTTCTTCCTAAAGCGCTTTTCTGGCAACATCCAACTACAGTGTCATCTCCCAAAGGCTGGAGAGAGATTCTCTGATATCAAGGAACATTACAATTCTTTTGCTTAAGAAACTAAGCCTTTACCAGTTTCCCACTCAAAGTGAATGGTCCATACACTGTAATCAAGATGGCAAGGCTCAACAACATCATCAGCTAAGAGCTAGGTGTTACCTTTGGGCCAGGCTCTCCTTTCCCACCTATATCTCCTTTCGATCCTTCCCGACCATCAAAACCCTGGAGACCTTGAACACCCTTGGTACCCACAGGGCCTGCTGCACCCTAGAGATTGCAAATGAGAGAGATGGCACAATTTTTTACATTTCTTTTTGAAACTGCCAATATGCTGTACATAGAAAGAGCTGCAAGAAGAGATGGTCCCCCGTCCCAGCAGCATAGTGGGAAATGTAGTTTTTCTAGCATTATTTTCTCTTATTTCCACTCCAACAAAAACAAGAATATCAAGCAACTGCTTTATTCATCCTCACTTGCTGCCAGTTGCTTTGGTGGAACACCTAGAGTTTGTGTGAATGTGCGTACACATGCACACACACACTGGAGCTGAAGTCCAACAACATCTAATGCATGGGGGAGGCACACAGGTTCCCCAACCCTGCTAGATAAACTCTTAATTTGAGCAGCTTCACTGCTGAAGCAGCAGCTCCTGAGCTCTGCCTTCCTGAACCATAATAATAGACAAGTACTTACAGAAGGACCTGGCTTGCCCTGATCTCCCTTCCTCCCATCATCTCCTGGGAACCCCTGAAATAAAGAAATAACAACAACACTTTTATTCACAGTCATATTTTATTTATGCAATGCTTGCATGTTCAAAATGTTTCAGTGACTTTTATTTTGTTAAAATGCTTATGAGGAACCATATAAGGTAGGTCAGGATTCTTATCCACATTTTGCTAACATATTGTGTGTGTGTATGTGGCTGAGTATAACCAACTTAAAGGTAAAGTTAAAGGGACCCCTGACCATTAGGTCCAGTTGTGGCCGACTCTGGGGTTGCGGCGCTCATCTCGCTTTATTGGCCGAGGGAGCTGGTGTATAGCTTCCGGGTCATGTGGCCAGCATGACTAAGCTGCTTCTGGCGAACCAGAGCAGCACACGGAAACGCCGTTTACCTTCCCGCTGGAGCGGTACCTATTTATCTACTTGCACTTGATGTGCTTTCGAACTGCTAGGTTGGCAGGAGCAGGGACCAAGCAACGGGAGCTCACTCTGTCACAGGGATTAGAACCGCCGACCTTCTGATCGGCAAGTCCTAGGCTCTGTGGTTTAACCCACAGTGCCACCCGCATCCCTATAACCAACATGCCTAAGTCTAATTAAGGCAAGACAGGGTTAATACTATAGAGTAAGCTGTCCTATCGGGTTTAGCTACATCCACTTCCCTTCCATTGGGAGGAAATGGGTAATCAAGCTTATTGTTCTCCCCCAGTCTACCTAAGAAGCTCAATGTGCGAGGAGGACTGAGGTGATTGTGCCAAACTCAAACCACATGGCTCTCATGAGCCATTTGTTACTACAGTGGTACCTCGGGTTACATACGCTTCTGGTTACATATGCTTCAGGTTACAGACTCCGCTAACCCATAAATAGTGCTTCAGGTTAAGAACTTTGCTTCAGGATGAGAACAGAAATCGTGCTCCGGTGGCGCGGCAGCAGCAGGAGGCCCCATTAGCTAAAGTGGTGCTTCAGGTTAAGAACAGTTTCAGGTTAAGCACGGACCTCCGGAACGAATTAAGTACTTAACCCAAGGTACCACTGTATACCATTAGGAACTTGCACCACTTTGAAATTAAACTAAACTAAGTTTTACAGCCTGTGCAACCTTTCTGACTGATGTATGGAGAGGCACAAGAAGCTGAACTTTGGAGAATTGTAAGTAAACCATTGTAACTTAATAAATGTATGGTCTTTTCCTATGGTGGGGGAAGAGGAGATTATTTTAGAACTCACTTGGAAATATATATTTTAAAGGTCTAACAGCATATACTTCCACACTTTACTTTGCTGAATTTTTTGAGTTTTTAAATCTCTGCTGGTGTTCTCTCACCAAAAAGTACTGGCCTCAAACCTGGATCTTGGCATCCAGGGAGTTCTCCTTTTATACCTACTTGGCTTCCTTGCCACCATCAAATATATGGTGGGCTGGTGAAAGGGCATGGGGAAGGGATTTAGCTCAATGGTACAGTATTTGTTTTGTTTGCACAGGGTCCCTGATTCAATCTCTGGCATCTCCAGGAGGGGCTGGGAGAGACACTTCTTTGCAGCACCAGAGTGCCGCTGCTAGTCAGAGCAGGATATACTGAGCTATACAGGACCAATGGTTTGACAGGCAGCCTCCATATGCTCATGTTTCATTCAGCTCTTTATTCAGAGCCAAGAGGGCTTGGAACATACATTGTTCTTTGATGAAAGACAAAGAGCTGAGTAACAGAACCCACGCTTTCTATGCAAAAGATCTCCAGTTCAGTCTTCAGCATCTCCTGGTAGGCTCTTGACTGAAATCCTGGAAAGCCACTGCCCGTCAGTGCAGACAATACTGAACTAGCTGGAACAGTGGTCTAGTCTGCATGAGGTAATTTCCCACATTTCTATGAAAAACATCTGCCTCTAGCTGGGACGCTGGTGGCGCTGTGGGTTAAACCACAGAGCCTAGGGCTTGCCGATCAGAAGGTCGGCGGTTCGAATCCCCGCAATGGGGTGAGCTCCCGTTGCTCAGTCCCTGCTCCTGCCAACCTAGCAGTTCAAAAGCACGTCAAGTGCAAGTAGATAAATAGGTACCGCTCCGGCAGGAAGGTAAACGGCGTTTCCGTGCGCTGCTCTGGTTCGCCAGAAGCGGCTTAGTCATGCTGGCCACATGACCCGGAAGCTGTACACCGGCTCCCTTGGCCTATAGAGCGAGATGAGCACTGCAACCCAAGTGTCAGTCATGACTGGACCTAATGGTCAGGGGTCCCTTTACCTTTTCTAGCTGGAGTCTCTGCCTGGAGGGCTGTGGTAACACTGGCTGCTAGTGATGGATAAATCTGCTAATGTGGTTCTCTTAATTTCTTCTCTCTGCCCCCCCCCAAGGTCAGCTCTCCACATTTCTCCATTAATTGGTGGTTTTCAAACAAACAAACAAACAAACAAACAAACAAAACAAACAAACAAAAATCCTCTCGAACCTCTGACAGCATTTTAATGTTCTCCTATTTCTAGTGCAAATTTCTTCCCCATGCTTTCATTGTGTTTTTATGTTGCAACCACCCTGAGATCTATGGATGAACAGGCCGGTATACAAATTTAATAAATAATAATAATAGACAGCACCTGGTGCTCCAGATCTTTATGAGGGCAATGTGATCCAGCTATACATCTGATTTACACAACTTTTCGCAAGCAATATTGTTTTACAGCATGCACTGTTGTATGCTATTTCCCCAGCACATGCATTTTTATTTTTTCTTTAAATTTTCTTTATACTTTTCAGATATATACATTTCACTGATTTTACAATCATTTTGACATTTTAAAACTTGACTTCCTTCCCCCTCTTTCTGCGGTTCCTTAAATTTATTTTTAATATCTTCTGCATATCCAAATTAACTAAACTTACTCAGTTATTTCTCTTCTTTAAATATATACTCTTATGTAGTTGCAGGTTATTACTATAATCCCGACAGTGTTTTTATGTGTTTACAATTTATCTGTAAATATTCAATAAACCATTTCCATTCTTTTATAGAAAGTATGTTATCTTGATTTCTTATTCTTCCAGTATCTGCATTTTTCATGCAGGTTTTCCTGTAATATGTCTAGTTTTGCACACATTTATTTTAGTAGCAAAAAAACTCGAGAAGTGTGAATTTTGAAGGATGGCTGTGTTTTGATTTGCATAGCATTCCAGTAAATGCAAATATGATAGCATCCTATTAAAATGTGAATGTTATTATTATTATGAAATTTCTATACCGCCCTTCACCCAAAGACCACAGGGCGGTTTACAGTATCAAAACACCTACTGATGGTATTCCAGACCTATCATTATGAGGGGAGTGTGAGCCACCTATACATATTATTTATATCTCAAGAAGAATGAGATTTGGGTACCAAGTGCCTTGCCCTTACCACCAGTCCTGTAGCACCACTAGGTCCAATCGCACCATGAGGTCCTGGCTTTCCCTGAGAGAAAGAAGAAAAGGAGGGGTGGGAAGAACTGTGAAATAGGAAACACCATTTTGCTACCTGGGAAACAGGTGAGCTGCCTCAGTTAAACTGATGATACTGACTCACTGCACACACATATACTTCTCCCATAATTGTATTTTTGTCCCATATCCCTTACTCTACCAGCAAAGTCATGGGCAAAAAAATGGAGATACCTTCATTCCTTCAGGACCATCCAATCCTGGAAGCCCCCGGACTCCAATTTCACCCTGCAATGCCAAAAAAAGAGCAGAGGTCACTGACAAGACACATCTCTCTGGCTTATGGCTGGATTTGATGGGTGCCATGTTCCCAGCTTGAGGGCCCCAGTGTTGGCCTGAGAAAGGCTCTGATTCATTTGAATGTTGGACTCCACTCTAAATGGGGCATCGGTTCTGGCATGTTTCCTGGAGGTGCAACAGCAGCAGCAGAACACAACAAGAAGTTTCACCAGCATGCAGCAGCAAGTTGACATCAAACCACTGTTTATTTTGGAGGGCCACAAGTACCGCCACCTCTAATTCTTGCCATGCTGGCTGGGGGTTGATAGGAGTTGTTGCTCAACAACATCTAGAGGGCCATAGGCCCTCCTATTCTTCTTTAGGATCCAGGGGTACCACTGAACAGCTCAGCTCAGCAGTCCAAGGTGTCATGCCTCCTGTATCCTGCAATGATCTGGACACAGAGTTAGAGGCAGCAGGGGGCATCAGATGAGGAGCCAGGGCTGGGGCTGGGTTTAGAGCTGCCTGTGGAAGATAGAGAGACCATTGTGACAAAGGTGGTTGGGCTCCCACCAGGTGGGAGACTATGGAAAGGAAAAGTGCCCATCTTCAGGCCAGAGGGTTGACCCTTTAAGGCTCTCAAGGGGGTGAAGCCTGGAAGAAATAGTCTGGAGACAGAAACATAAAAGGCCTCCGTCTGCCCCCAATTGTTGTCTGTACAAGTTGGATGTGCCTCACTACTAGGCTCTGTTGCTTTCCCTATGGGTTTCGGCATTGACCAGAACACAGCTCAAGGACCTTGGCCAATGCCTAAACCTTGCCAAGGTGGCATCACTTGCAGGTCCAGCATGACCTCTGTGAGGCCACAGCTATGAAATGTGACCTACCTGTGCTCCTCTTGCTCCTCCAGGTCCTGCAGTTCCAGCTATGCCTGCTTGGCCCTTTATGGAAAAACAGAGGAGAGAAAATGAGGCACAGGATGAATTCAATTGATTCTCCCGATGGAAACTCTGGAGACAGAATCTGCCCTAGCTTCTTCCCCACTAGAAAAAAAAATCATTTACAACATCTTTTGGGGGGACAGTAGCAGTTGGCAGAGTGAGGCTGTGCTACTTACCTGACTTCCTATTTACTGGGAGGGGGAGGGACGAGGCAGCAGTGGGGTCGGCGCGGTGCAAACGCACCAGTAGAGACAATCTGCTGCTTCTGCTGGTGCGTTTGCACCGTGCTGATCTTGTTGCTGCCTTATCCCTCCTGCTGCCTCCCAATAAACTGCAGCTACTCAAAAGCTGGCAGGTCAGGGTAGCCCTACAACACCAACTACTGCTCCTGGAAGCTGCTGTGTTGGGTAGGCCCTTGATTAGGGATTCTTAGAGGCTAATCATTTAATATGCATTCATATACATCAACCCCATCTAAGCGCTGCTCCCTTCCTTGCCTTATCTTTCCTCCCCCAACCATGTTTTTTTACCAAGTAACATACCCTCTGGAATTTTGTTTTTACTATTTTTCCATGTAGCTTAGTTATTTGTATATAAATGACTGGGGAAATATACGCTGTATGATAAGACAGAGTTACCTAGTTTTGTACCTATTGTGTAATAACTGATGTGAGCTCAGAGACAAGATATCGTCTCTATTTTGATCTTTGTGATGTTATACTGCTCTGCGGAAAAAAGCAAATCATTTTACAAGACCAGGCATGCTTTTTAGGCACATAGACAATGCTTTGGAGTGACAGCACTCATCAAAAGGCAGGGAAATCCACCTGCTTTATCAGTTTGATGTTTTTGTCACTTCTCTGTTTTATTGTTACAAAGGATGTTGTTATATTACTGGAATGTTTTATTCCTGTTTCTTTTGGTAAAGAAATATTGTATGGTGCCCTGGAATTCATCAGGATGGAGGGTGGCCTAGAAATCTGAAAACAAATAAATTCTGTAGGTCCAGGTTCACCAACTAGATAAATCCCAGGAGAACAGTGGTGGGATGACTTGTGGGTCTCAACTCCCTCTCCTATTGTCCATGACTGGGGCTGATGGGGGTTGTGGTCCCCATCCCTGCACCATTAGTTGGAATGCTGTTAGTGTACTTGCCAAGAAACCTTCTTGTCCCTTTTCTCCTCTGCGACCCTTTCCGCCAACTGGCCCCATAGTGCCACGTGGCCCAGGCAGCCCTGAAGGTCCTCTGCTGCCAGCGCTGCCCTGTTCCAGAAGAAAAAGGAGAAGGAGGAAGATTATTATTATTACTCCATTGGTTCTTAGTCTTTAACCCACCGGTGTGCCATGTCTTGGAGGGGGTCATCTGCTAATCACCTTCTAAGGATCACCTGCTGATTCAGGGGCTGGGTTCCACTCTGGGCAACTTTCTGGTGGGCATATACCAGTGGTGGGCAGGGACAGAGGCAAAAATAGGTGGAGCAATAAATATAAATTTGACATCCGTACAGTAGGCTAGTTTCCACACACACACACACACACACACACACCTACCCCTATCCTTCCTCCAGGCAAGCGAGTGGCATTACCAGAGCTTGAGAATAAATTCAAGCCAGGCAAAAACAGTTAAGGAGAGTGCCAAGGGCATGTGATTGGAGAGAGTTATGAGCATAGCTGTCAACTTTCAGATTTGAAAATAAGGGATCAGCAGCCTCACCTGTCCCGGGGACAGTCTACAGGATATCTAACAATCCAGGATAGCAGCGGGAAACGGCGCTGGAATAAGGGAATTTCCCGCAAAAAAAGGGAAGGTTGACAGCTATGGTCATGAGGGATGCAGAGAGAGAGAATCCAGTGGACCAGGTCTGAGGTTCCTCACCCATGTCATAAAACTCTCCTTCTGCTGGTTGTCTGAAGCCACTGCAACATTTTGTTTTATTTTAACTGTTGGCCACTGTGAGAATAGGAAGCTGGACCAGATGGGCCATTGGCCTGGTTCACTTAGGGATCTCCTTATGTTTTTCATCCCTGACTATCATCCCTGATAATCGGTCGTGCTGACTGGAGCTAATGGGAGTTGCAGCCCAACCTCTGGACAGGTTCTCTATTTTTGTCCTATGTTAGAATCCTAGGACTGTTGAGTTGGAAGGGACCCCCTGGGTCATCTAGTCCATGCTCTGCAATACAGTATATGCTGTTGCTGTTTTATTTATTTATTTATTTATTTATTTATTTATTTATTTATTTAATGTATTACCTATTTGTGTTGCAACAAATTTTAGATCAGTATTAAACGTAGCCGAAACAAATTGCAGCCACAGGAATACTCTAGGAATCAACATAGTGCAAAGTGTCAGACCAGGACCTGAGAGCCCAGGGTTTGAATCCCTACTCATTCATGAAACTTGCTGGGTGACCTTGGACCAGTCCATCCTTACCCTACCTCACAGAGCTGTTGTGGGGGGTTAAATGAAGAAGGGGAGAACTATGTAGGCCAGATTGAGCTCTTTGGAAATAAAAGTTGGGATATAAATGCAATAAATATTTAATAATAATAAATAAATTGTTTTCCAAGTTTGGAATTTTTAAAAAACAAACAAACAAAGCAGTGTTCATGACACTCCCTGGGTGACCTTAGGCAATTCACACACTCTCAGTCTAACCTACCTCACAAAGATAACACAGAATGGGAAGAGAACTATGTATACCACCTTGAATTCCTTGAAGGAAAGATGGAATATAAATGCTATAAACATGCAAATGTGGTCAAAATGGAACACTCTATGCTTTAAATGACTGCTTTCAATAAATATATATATATATTTATAAATCTGCCTCCCACTTCTCAATTTTGCCTCAGCTCTTCATCATACCCAGTTCTGCTCAAGCTGGTTCATGATATTGTTTTAAGTACTATATTTTTCTAGGTTTTTTTCCTTAAAAAATAAGGTGAAAAATGAGGGGGCATCTTATACACGGAGCCATCTCCCCCGTTTTCTTAAATCTGAGTCCCCCATGGGAGCATCTTATAGATGGAAAAATACGGTATATTCTAAGGAGAGAATATACCCTCAAGCCACTCAAACATTCTGAGAGATTAGGGAGATAGACAGGGGAAAATCAGGACAGATCTACTACACCTTTTTTCCCTTTGGCCCTGGATCTCCCGGATTTCCAGGGTCTCCATCGTCACCCTGTGGAAGAGAAGCACATCTCTTTAGGAAAGGGGCTTTGCACCATAACATCAAACCCTGTGCTCAGAATTCCCCACAGCAACCCCATGCATGAATCCAGCTCCCTGGATACTGAGTCCAATGACACTGGCCAATGGCGTCTGTTTTTTGTGCCACACCATGCCCATTGATGTGAATTAAATTTAGTGTGGCATGTCCAAAAGCCACAGTTCCATAGTGCGACAGGCCCTGCAATATGAAAGAAGTACTGAAGAACAGAGCAGAAAGTCTAGCATTACAATCAGGAAAAAAATCCTTTTAACATCCCCCACATCTGAATGCACCCTTGCTGTTGATAACCTGGCCTGAGAAACCCACTTCAAAGGAATTGTGTGCAGATTACCTCCTTTCCCAGCTCTCCATATCCACCAGGCTGCCCTTCTGTGCCCTTCTCTCCGGTCTCTCCAATGTCACCCTGAACACCTGCGGCCCCTGGGGCTCCTTTGTTACCCTGGAAAGCAATAATAAAAGAAAGAATGACATTGGAACGAGCTGCACTTGAGTCTGGATTTACTCACAGTATACTGATGGTGGTCGCAGCTGCAAACCACAAAGGGTTCTTCCTCCAGACAGATTAAATAAAGTACTTCTTCATGCATCACATGATTAATCTATGGAGCTTATTCTCACATTGGCCACCTGATGCCCATGAAAAAACTGCTAGCAGGAAGCAAGCGCAGCAGCACTCTCCCTTCCTGTGGCTTCCAGCAACCGGTATTCAGAAGCATTACTGCCTCTGACTGTGGAGGCAGAGCAGAGCCACTGTGGCTACTACCATAGATAGTATGGTATTTGTCCAGTCCTCTTTTAGAGCCATCCAAGTTGGTGGCCAACACTGCCTCCTGTGGGAGTGAGTTCCATTGTTTAACTATGAGCTGTATGAAAAGGAAGAAGAAGAGGAGTTTGGATTTGATATCCTGCTTTATCACTACTCTAATGAGTCTCAAGAGGGATGCGGGTGGCGCTGTGGGTTAAACCACAGAGCCTAGGGCTTGCCGATCAGAAGGTCGGTGGTTCGAATCCCCGCGATGGGGTGAGCTCCCGTTGCTCGGTCCCTGCTCCTGCCAACCTAGCAGTTCAAAAGCACATCAAAGTGCAAGTAGATAAATAGGTACCGCTCCGGCGGGAAGGTAAACAGCGTTTCCTTGTGCTGCTCTGGTTCGCCAGAAGCGGCTTAGTCCTGCTGGCCACATGACCCAGAAGCTGTACGCCGGCTCCCTCGGCCAATAAAGCAAGATGAGCACCGCAACCCCAGAGTCGGTCACAACTGGACCTAATGGTCAGGGGTCCCTTTACCTTTACCTAATGAGTCTCAAAGTGGCTAACAATCTCCTTTCCCTTCCTCCCCCACAACAAACACTCTGTGAGGTGAGTGAGGCTGAGAGACTTCAGAGAAGTGTGACTGGCCCAAGGTCACCCAGCAGCTGCATGTGGAGGATTGGGGAAGCAAACCCGGTTCACCAGATTACGAGTCCACCGCTCTGAACTACTACACCACGCTGGTTTCACCACTGAAGAGGTCCTTTGTTTTATCTGTCCTGAATCTTCCAATATTCAGCTTCATTGGATGTCCACAAGTAATAGTGTTATGAGAGAGGGAAGAATGTGCTTCTCTGTCCACTTTCTCCATGCCATGCATAATTCTATAAACTTCTACCATGTCATTAGTTCTCTAAACTAAAAAGTCCCAAATGCTGCAACCTTTTCTCAACTGTAGCCACAAGAACCTTTGAGCAGATGAATGAATTTGGCAAATAGGAGTCCCACGGGTGGAAGAATGCTAATCAAGCTTCTTCCTATAGAACAAGAGCAACATCCTCTGAATTCTAAGATTCTCAAAACCCAGGTGGTTCAAGAGAAAACCTGTTAGCACTCACCTGTTCCCCTTTTAACCCAGGTTGACCTTCCACTCCAGGTATGCCTGGGACACCCTAGAGGGAAAAGAAACACACAATAATAACCCTGCACTCTGTACATGCACATAGAAAAAGGGGAGCACAAATATCACAGGCTGGTGGATTTCACAAGGTTTCGGTATGGATTAAGAATAGGGGATAAATTTATTCCCCAGATAGTCCCGGATTTGCACCTTGCAAACAAGACACAGTTCTCATTTGAAATTCACACTCCTGCATTTTGCAACACAGAATTTTCCTCTAGAAGATATGTACAAAAATGTGTGTCAAATATATAAAAGTGAGAAACTTTTGGCTAGTGTAACCATTTTGACAAGCAGTGCAGAGTGCAGTCACATATATGAAATTGCATTCTGAAAGAGGGGAAATTGCTTGTCAGAATGCTTATACTAGCCAAAACTATGTACAAAAAAAAAATACTCACATTAGGAGAAAGCTGCATGAAAATGGATACAAATTTTCATGCAGGCTCTTTTGCAATGGGAGAACTGAATTTAATGTGTTTGCATGTTTGTGCATAGAATAACGAGGCCCTATCTGCACCACTGTAGTTTAAGGGTGCGTTACCAGCATTCCTCTCACAGAGTTCCAATTCCCAGAGTTCTCTTTAGAGTTCAGCACCTGATAGAAACCAAAAAAGAGAGGGAAAGAGGATGCATTCTACTATATTTCCATACCATACCTGCTCTCCATCGAGCCCACTGACACCAGCTGCACCAGGGCCTCCGGAGGCACCCTAAAGAAAAAAGGGTATTCAACAATATAGGCTGCAAAAGATGGGTTTACACAGAGCAGTGCTGCTCAGACTGGGGAAGCCCACAGTTTAGTGGTAGAGTATCTAGTTGGCACGCAGAAAACTCCAGGTTCAATCCCAGGCATTTCCAGGCAAGCAATTCAAATCCAACACTGACACCTACTGGTATAAATATTTCAGAAGGTATATATAGAAAGTGGGATGTATTTAGCAGGTGCCAAAAGGGCAACAGAGAAGGTGCCTGTCTGATATGCAATGGGAGGGAGTTCTAAGTTCTAGCATGACACCAAAAGTCCAACATTGTGTGGAAAGGACCTCCTGAAAGGATAGCATTTGCAGAGTATGCTCTCCTACAGAACACAGGGATCAGTTGTGTACACAGGGGATGAGAAGATCTTTCAGTATTCCAGCTCTTATGAGAACAAAAGAATGCCTTTAGCTCTTTGACATGTAGCAACCTTGGAAGACCAGTGTGTGGGTGAGATCCTCTTACTTCCACCCTTAACTTACTTTTTCTCCTTTCACTCCAATGGGCCCCCTTAGACCTGCTGGCCCATCTCTTCCCTGTAAAGACAGTACACAGTTTACAATTAAGGACAAGGACAAGTTGTACATTAGGATTGTTTCGTATGATGATAATCTGCTGCTCCACCTACCTACCAGGATAAACTCAGGAAAAAGTCTAAAATTAAATCATGGAAATAGCGGATGAATTTCTTGTTGTTATTTTAATTGTGCTTCCTTCTCATGCTCCCCACCCCCCTTTACAGGTTATCGATGGTAATAGTTAAATCAGGAAAACCTGAGGCAATCACTTAAATCAATGCACTAGTGCAGAAGGCTAATTTCTAGTAATACATTCACTCATCACTTCTTCCATCCAGGCATTATCAAGGGTGCCCATTATCAAGAGTGTTAAAACACTCAAGTAGGATGTGAAGTAGGGCTGGTGAGGGGTGCAGTCTGGGGAGAATCTCAAGAGGCTTGGGGACTGCTTTTGGCCCCCAAACCAGGGCTTTCCGTCCTTGGCATACGTAACAGTGAAACTGTCCTTCATTCACAGCACAGAGAGACCGGCGATTATTTTCTCTATGGGACAAAGGGGCTGGCTTGTTTACACAAGCCATCTGGGCACTCCTTGATGCTGATATCCCTTCAGTCCTGCCTGGCTAAGAAGACTCTCTTACCCCCATGGAACCTGGAGCTGTCACCAAGCTCCAAAACACGTAGCATCCAGGCACAGATACGTATGTGTACATACCGGGCACCCTGGTGGACCAGTTACTCCCACTGGACCAATGGACCCCGCCTCTCCTGCTAGTCCTGGCTTTCCTGGGGTGCCATTTTGTCCATGTAGACCAGGAAGTCCCTATGGAGTAGGAAAAAACATTTCTAGGTGGGAAAAATCAGGGTGCACAAGTGCATTTCATAAAGGACGAAAAGAACATTTTCATTTGCAAGCTCATAAAGAGATGAGAATGGCAGAAATCCCCTTCTTTCTTGCCAAGACTGTGGGAAGGGGCATGGCAGGATCAGGGCTAAGTGAGCCCCTGCCCATGCTCAGGTAACCATATGCTTACCAAGGTTCCAGGAAATCCCCTGGGGCCCACATCTCCCATTCTGCCCTGAAAGAAATGAGAAGGTTATTCCTGCAGAGGACAGACACCATCTTTTCATACTCTAGCCTCTAGTTTTCATGTTCATCTTTGAGTAGGGTGGGGTACTGCAGGATGAGCATTTTTAGCAGGATAATGTGGTGGTCTCCTTCATGGATCACTGCCTTGCCGTGGCGAAGGGGCTTGAATAACTCAGAGAAGCTATGAGCTATGAGCTATGCCGTGCAGGGCCACCCAAGATGGACAGGAGAGTTTTCACCAAATGTGACCCACCTGGAGCAGGAACCAGCAAGCCACTCCAGTATCCCTGCCAACAAAACTCCACGGACAAAGACAACAGGCATATAAAAGTGCCTGGCTTGCTCTGGTCCATGGGGTCATGAAGAGTCGGACATGACTAAACGACTAAAGAACAACAACAACAATAAGGTGGTGGTGTTTATTTTTTAGTAGGGTGGAATAAGTTTTTTTGCTTTTATAATATTGCACAATGAATACTTTTACTAAAATAATGTAGTTGTGCTCTTTTGATGCTGGTTTAGATTTTGCATTTGTATGGTTGTTGTTTTTTAAACTAATTGCAGGCTGCTTTGAGGCATATTCTGCAGTAAGTGATGAATGACTGTCAATAATAATAATGTGACTGATCAGTAGAAATTGGCATGTTGATATGGACAGCGGCAGGGAGAGTAAAGTGGGAACTTTTCTGCTGGTCTATTCTTGCCCCCCAAGGTGCCACAGCTCTGACTCTGCCCCACCCCACCCCACCCACACTGCTGAAAGAAAGGCAGAAACTCCATTGAAAGATCAAGTCACTTACCTGCCATGTTAGGTCTGTTTTGGTCACAAGAAATAAAAAGAAATGATTTCATTCTCCTTTATTAAAACTACAACTGTGGGGGCTGGTATGTGGCTCTCCATATGTTTTAGGACTCCAATTGCCATCAGCCCCGGCATGGCCAATGGCCAAGGACTATGGGAGTCATAGTTCAGTTGCACCTGGAAGGCCATAGTTTAGCCACCCTTAGTGTAAAAGACATGCTCTCACCCACGGCTATGACTTCACACCAAGGCACACACTATGCAGGCCCAGGTGATCAATATTAGTGTAAGGGTGAGCAGGTCAACTTATGTATGATGGAATGGAATAAAATAATAATAAATAAAATAAAATAAAATAGGTGATGTTACTTTTTTTTAAAAAAGGAGATGAAAACTTTGTGCGGAGGGGAACATACCTGTGGGCCAGGGAGGCCTTTCACGCCAGATGGCCCTGGTGGACCCTATGCAGGGAAGAAAGCCAAACAAGGTAAAAAAAACCTCTGCTGCCAAGTGACCACTCAGAACTCTCAGACCCTCCAAGTGTCCTTATTTTCCAGGGACGTCCCTGATTTAGAGCAGGGGTCGGCAAGATTTATCTTGCCTGGGCTGGATCAGTCCCGTGGAGATCCCTCTGTGCATGCGCCTGCGATTTTCGGCATCTGCGCAGATGCGATTTCCGGCACCGCGGAAGCGAGGCCCCCTAGTGTGCAAGCCTAGTGTGCAAGCGGGTAACTCGGTTCGGGGGCGGTTCGTAGGCTGGTCAAACGACCTCCGCGGGCCACTTCCGGCCCATGGGCCTTAGGTTGCTGACCCGATTTAGAGAAACCATCCCAGTTTCTGATTTGATACTGGAATGTCCCACTTTTCCTTAGGATGTCCCTATTTTCATTGCAGAAATGTTGGAGGGTATGGAGTTATCCGATCCCCAAGCCATCTGAAGGCAATCCTGTATAGGGAAAGTGTTGCTTTTTTAAAAAAATGTTTAATGTCTTATTATGTTTTTATATACAGTATTTTTCGCTCTATAGGACGCACTTTTTCCCCTCCAAAAATTAAGGGGAAATGTTTGTGAGTCCTATGGAGCGAATGCAGGCTCCTTGGCTTCAGCGAAAGCAACATGAAGCCTCCAAAGCGCAGAGGGAGCGCTCCCTCCGCGCTCTGGAGGCTACGTGTTGCTTTCGCTGAAGCCTGGAGAGCGAGAGGGGTCGGTGCGCACCGACCCCTCTCAGTCTCCAGGCTTCAGGGATAGCTGCCTGAAGCCTTTGGAGTGCAGCGGAACCTCACGCTGCGCTCCAAAGGCTTCGGGGTAAGCTGCGGAAAGCCTCTGCAGGGCAGCAGGGTACCTTTACCCCGCTGCCCTGTGGAGGCTTCAAAGGCTGCCCCAGAAGCCAGAACAGTGAGGCGGAGCACTGCGCAGCGCTCCGTCTCGCTATTCTAGCTTCGGGGTTAGTTGCGCAAAGCCTCCCCAGAGGCTTCGCAGGCTCCCCCAGAAGCCTCCACAGGGCAAGGGGATGAAGGCTCCCCATGCCCTGCGGAGGCTTCGCGCAAAGCTAGAGCAGCTAGAGGGAGCACTGCATAGCGCTCCCTCTAGCTATTCTGGCTTTTGGATGGCCCCGTGAAACCTCCGCAGGGCACAGGGATGAAGGCTCCCCGTGCCCTGCGGAGGCTTTGCGCCAAGCTATCCCAGCTATCCCAGCGGCTATCCCAGAAGCCAGAACAGCAAGAGGCTATCCCAGAAGCCAGATCCCTCTTGTTGTTCTGGCTTCTGGCATTCAGATTTTTTTTTTCTTGTTTCCTCCCCCCCCCCAGGTGCGTCCTATCGTCTGGTGCGTCTTATAGAGTGAAAAATACGGTATGTTGGAAGATGCCCAGAGTGGCTGGGGCAACCCAGTAAGATGTGTGGGGTATAAATAGTAAAATTATCATTCTGGAATGGGACATCTCTATTTTCATCGGGAAAATATTGGAGGGAATGGGCTCTCTAACCCTGCAAATGAACTCTGTCTCCCATTTGATCCCAATGTAGCCCAATAGAATTGGGGAAGTTAAGAACATAAGTAGAACCTTGCTGGATCAGGCCAATGGCCCATCAGCATCCTGTCCTCATACTGTCCAACCAGATGCCTGTGGGGAAACCCACAAGCAGAACCCGAGCACAAGAGTCCTCTCCCCTTGTCTGGCTTCCCCAAAACTGGTTTTCAGGAGAATGACTGGTCCCCACATCAAATGGGGGGCGCCTTTTTGCGTGGTCTCGCACGCACCCCCCCCAAATCCCAGTGTGGCTCTCGGTAGTTTGGGCTGGCTTCACCCTCCCCAGGCTGGATACGTGGAGATCTCCACCTGCCTCAGCTAATTGCCCAATCCCACCTGGGGAGGCATTGCCAGGGCATTGGCCAGGTAAGGGGAGGGACCACCGTTTAGGAGTAAGGGAGCATAGCAGAAAATGACACTCACTTTGGAACCAGATTTTCCTGGAAATCCAGTGGGGCCTCGGATTCCAGGCTCTCCCTGCAAAGATGGCGAAAGGCAGGGGGAGTTGAGAGAAGAGAGGACAGGAAGGCATGGTTTACTATGAGATCACTTCCTTACATATAGTAGCAGCACCATCAGTGGTATTATGGTCCTCCCATATGGTTAGTGCATGCACAAATAAAAACAGATCTCACTAATACCTGCTCACAATAGATGGACCGTATTTTTCTGTGTATAAGACGCCCCCATGTATATTTTGGGGGACTCCAAATTAAGAAAACACCCCTCAGCACCAGTGGCGGAGCTTCATGCTCCGGCACTGGGGGAGGGGCTGGGGCATGTCCTGGGGGCCTGGCAAGCTGCCTGCAGGGGCGTGGAGCCCAGCACGGGCAGGGGGGCAGCCGCGATGGCACCCCACTGGGGTCTTGTTGCCGGGGGAGGTGCGCTCCCCCCTACTCCTCTTCCTCCGCCAGTGCTCAGCACCACCTGTGTACAAGACAAACCCCAACTTTAAACCTAAGTTTTTGGTTTAAAAAAACCTAGCCTTATACACGGAAAAATACGTAGGTTTTTTTGTGAGCAAATAGCATGCTGGGGAAGAGGGATAGCTCATTAGGAAATTTCCATAGTGTCACAACCTGGGATCTAAGTCCCCTTCATTAGGAGATGAGATTGTAGACTCTCGCTTAGAAGAATTGCACACAATGCTACAAAAAACACTTCCAGAAGTGGTGCCCCTGGTACCAATGCCCCCGTCAGGCCCAAGGAAATCACACTGTTATTCCCCCTGACTCAGAGGATGCCATCACAGAGGTACCAGTACAACCAGAGTCTCCCCCACTCTATTAGAGTGAAAGAGTGTTGGAGAAGGCTGAGCAAAGGCCCAATTTAGTATTGGTAGCTCTTATGACTGAGACAGAACTATTTGCTCCTATATTGGGCTCAGTCTACGGTTAGCTGTTGCTGAAGCAACACTGGAGCACTGCTCCTCTTCATCATTCAGCCTGAGCCCTGCACAAGGCTTGCCTCGAATGAGGTCAGTGTTTGCATATGACACATAGGGAACAATCTCCCCATGTTCCAGCGCAGATCCCACACTCTCCACAGCTGCTTATGGTTAAGAAAGAGAGGTGATATGTCTTAATCACATTTTCAAATAGTACGCATAATGCTATTTAATGTTGCAGCTCTAGCCCTCTGGAATAAGCTACCAGCTGAGATTAAGATAGGTACTTAGCATCTTAATCACTAAGCAGTAGCCGGCGACGTATTTGTTTAAGACCACACAATCATTTACGGAATATTAATTGAACAATTTTTTAAAAATGGTTTTATTGCTTGTAGATACCATACTTTTCTGTGTATAAGACTAGTATATTTTCTGCAAAAATCCTGCTAAAAATGGTGGTCGTCTTATACATGGGTAGTGCATAGGGTGGACGTTTATTTGGTTGTTGCCACGGCTGCCAGTGGCTATTGTGTGTGTTATTGGTCGCTGTGTCAATGGGTGATTTTGATGCTGTGAGAATTGGGCTAGCGATTGGCAGCTTCTGCCAGTGAGGGGACAGATGAGAAGCGGATTTTGTGATGCTTGCAGGTGAGCGATTTTTGGCATTCCCCCCTAAAAAAAGCCGAACAATTCTGGGCAATTCTGGGCAACCTTCCACAAAAAAGCTCAACAACTTTGTGCCATCTCTCCCCATTTTCTTAATAGGGGGTGTCTTATAGGGGTGTCTTTCCTAATAGGAGGCAAGAGCCAGTGTGGTGTAGTGGTTAAGAGCGGTGGACTCGTAATCTGGGGAACCGGGTTCGCGTCTCCGCTCCTCCACATGCAGCTGCTGGGTGACCTTGGGCCAGTCACACTTCTCTGAAGTCTCTCAGCCCCACTCACCTCACAGAGTGTTTGTTGTGGGGGAGGAAGAGAAAGGAGAATGTTAGCCGCTTTGAGACTCCTGAGGGTAGTGATAAAGTGGGATATCAAATCCAAACAACCCTTCTTCTTCTTCTTCTTCTTCTTCTTCTTCTTCTTCTTCTTCTTCTTCTTCTTCTTCTACATGGGGGCGTCTTATACACGGAAAAGTACGGCACTTTGTATCTTTGTATTTCATATTGTTATTAAGAATCTGTGTCTTTAAAATTTTATCTCATTTTTAGGGTCTGCATCTTTTGTATCATATCCCATGTTGCTTGGCCCTGGAAAACATTTAATCTCCGGATGCCAAATCTTCTGACAGCCCCTACCTTTTTGCCCCTGGGACCAGGCTTTCCTCTGTCACCAAATGATCCTGGATAGCCCTGGAATATAAGGGTTTAACAACACTTGCCAAGTTAATAAGCCCTCCATTACATGTGAAAATGATCTGGGGATCTTAGTATACCAAAAGCTTAACACACAGTCAACAGTGTGATGCATTAGCAGAAAAAGCTAATGAAACCCTAGGCTGCATTAACAGAAGTATAGTGTCCAGAGACCAAGAGAGGTGATACTACTGCTCTATTCTGCCTTGGTCAGGCCCCACCTGGAGTCCTGTGTCCAATTCTGGGCACCACAATTTAAGAAGGATGTTGATAAGCTGGAACGCATGCAGAGGAGGACAACGAAAATGATCAAGGGTCTGGCAACCAAGCCTTGTGAGGAATGGCTGAGGTGACATGACAGCCATCTTCAGATATCTGAAGGACTATCACATGGAAGAAGTAGCAAAGCTTGTTTTCTGCTGTGCCAGAGGGTGGCACCCGGACCAATGGATTCAAGTTACAAAAAAAGAGAGATTCCAACTAAACATCAGGAAAAACTTTCTAATGGTAAGAGCTGTTCAACAGCAGAACAGACTCCTACAGAAGGTGGTGGACTCTCCTTCATTAGATGTTTTTAAACAGGTTGGATGGTCATCTGTCAGGGGTTCTGAAGCTGTGATTCCTGTATTGCAGAGGGTTGGACTATATAGCGTTTAGGGTTGCTCACAATTCAGCAATTCTTTGATCCTATGATTCCTAATACTATGGGCTCCACAAAAGGTGCTCTAAGAATTGATGGCAAGGGAATGTCCCAGGTGGCCCACCTCACTTTTCACAGGTCAGGTCTCCTCCTTTCTGAGGATGAAGCAGAACTTCTTTTGGTCCACAACCTAAAGGGAACTCCTCGTCTGCTGGTCTTGGGCACAGGAGGACTGGAGGTTGACTAACAACTGACTTCTCTGAAGTTTGTGGTACAGTTTTTTAAATAGTTTTTTAAACTAATGCTTACACAAATGCATGCCTAGGAGAAATTGCACTCGGGAGCATACCGAGGAATGTATTAAAGTGGTACCTCTAGATACGAACGGGATCTGTTCCGGAGCCCCGTTTGCATCTAGAGGTAAACATAACTAGCGATGGCACATTTGCGCATGCGCACGTCGCTTTTTGCCACTTTTGCGCATGCGCAAGTGGCAAAACCCGGAAGTAACACGCTCCGCTACTTCCAGGTTTCCGCGGAGCGCAACTCGAACACGCTCAACTCGAAGCGTCTTCAACCCGTGGTATGACTGTATAGGAAAAGAATGCATAACAAAAAGTGTGCTTTAAGAAGAAGTGCGAATGTCTTAAACATGATTTTGTGTGTACACATACAATTTACAAAAGAAACAGGCATACAGCGGGAAAGGAGGCCATGACTGAGTACATGCAGAACTAAGTCAGAAGGGAAATGGGTTGATCCATCTTCCCCACTCTGGAGTAAGTATGGGCAAATATATCAATTTCAGTTTCTCGTTTCTCCAATCGTAAGTTCAGCGTGCCACCATTTTATATCAGCTTGTGATATAAAAAGGCCTCACAAAAATTCATCAGCCTTCCAGTGCAGTTTTCTCCTAATAAACACTTTTTAGTGTATGCAGTTTTGCTCTGCAAGGCTATGTATATTAAGCAATTTCCCCTAATATTATAGGTTGTATCCAGTGCAACCCAACACAGTGGACCTAACTTAGGTCCATTGATTTTAGCAGGCTTACTCTCAGTAAAATGTAGTTGGGCATAACCTGGTGTGCTTTTTAAAGTTATTTTTGCTTGATTTATGCATGCTTTACTCCCAATACATACATTTTCCTGCCCATTACTTGGCTAGAGAACTGCACCACAAAATTCAGAGAAGGGTGAATTTCGAAGAATGGCTGTGGTTCAGCTGGTGGAAGTGCAAATTAGGTAATAATAATAATAATAATAATAATAATAGTAATAATAATAATATAAAAATAATATTTTTTTTATTTATATCCCGCCCTCCCCAGCCGAAGCCGGGCTCAGGGCGGCTAACAACAATAAAACAGTAGAAAAGTACAGCACAAACAACACTCTAAAATCATTCATTATAAAATTAATTCAAATCAAGCCACTGGCAACCATTGGGCCAGGTAAGCTCCCATTTAAATGTGAATTGAACTGAATGTCTCTCATCCCTTCTCTGGATAAGAGCCATCACTTACGTTGACGCCAACAATCCCTTGCAGCCCCTCTAGACCAGGTTTGCCAGGAAGGCCCTGGAATGGGAGGGGGGGGAGAAAAGAAAAGATAAACCCAGAAACTCAAATCATTGTCTTGAATCATAGTTAGTTTCTGCATTAATATCTTTCATAGAAAGAATTTTAAAACATCCCTATTTGTCCAGGCATTTTGAAAAATAAAAGGTACTGCTCATGACAGCCCTGAAATTATTAGATTTGAGAGAAAGTGATTGCTTTTAGAAGTTATCAACTGGTGTTTAACTACTTTCAGAAAGCTACTGTTAACTGTTTTTACCTGGTCTAATTGCATTGTCCTTTGGGATGAAGGGTGTGATATGCATTTAATAAACAAAATAACACAGAGAGAATAAAATCTGAATAGATTTAACCTATTTTTATCAGCTCTTACCCTCAGTCCTGGTGAACCTGGTTCTCCGTTGACCCCTGTTTTTCCAGGACAGCCCTGTTCAGAAAGAGAAGTCATCAAAACAAGTGCTAGGTTGGATAATTAATAGATGGAAGTTTTTCTCCAGAGGGCATAATCTGGGGCTTACCCAAGCAATCAGGCCTTCCAAGCAATGAAAAACTACCTACTGACTTTGGTGATGCATAACACTGGGAGCACCAATGAATTGTCACCGGTGCCAGCTCTAGTTTTGCAGGATTCTTGGGCAACACATTCACCACTCTGCACAGTAACAACAGTGGAGAGAAGACTACTCAAACAAAGGCCTGGGTAAAGAGGTCCATCTTCTGACCAATCATTGTACAGCAGTGTTTCCCAACCTTTTTTGGGCAAAGGCACACTTGTTTGATGAAAAAAATCTCGAGGCACACCACCATTACAGCCCCGTGACGTCAGCGCGCAGCGTCACGCCGGGAGGGATGCACGAAAGTGTAAGTTTCAATTTTTTCCCCTCCCCCTTGCCGGGGAACCTCCAAGCTTTGGGGGTGGGGGGGGAGGAGGCAGCAAAGCGAGGGACTGAGGGACTCCTCCAACGACAAGGGTTGGGGAAGAAGAGAAAGGGCTATTCCGCTCCAGTCCTTTCTGAAGGAGCTGAGGGTGGGGGTCCTCCGGCGCCTTCGGCGAAACGGCGCCGGCCCAGAGCGCTTCTAGGAGGCTGCCTTTGTGCGCGACGTAAAGCCCTCTTTCCCTCCCTCCAGCCCCGTGTCACCTGTGGAAAAGGGGGCTGGATCCAGTGACGCAACTCGGAAAACTGTTAGGGAAGCCAGAGCAGGAAAGTGAGTGGGGGGCGGCGGCGCCGCTTTAACCCACGTTTCCTTTTTGAAAGAGAAACTTAAGACCCTTGGGACCCCTGCCAACTCTACAGTTCTATGGCCCTTTGTGGAGGGGGGGCAGCACCTGGAAAGACGGGCTAGGGGATAATTGGGGCGGCCGCCTTAGGCACACCAGAAGCGAAGCACGTCCTGAGCTACAAAAACAAACCCAATTCCTGCCTCGTTTTTTGCAGTTTCTGCAAAGCGAGGGAGTCTCCCCCGCCTCCATTCCTCGGTGCCTCCTCCTCCCCCTGCTCCCCACTACGGGTCTCCCCTGCACTTGGCCAGGCCGCCTCGCCCTCCTTCCTTTCCCAGAGCAGTGGCTCAGAGCGCCTCCTTGCACCGCAAGTACACTCCGTGGAGAGGGAAGGGAGCGGAAGCCCAGACCAGCCCCCAACCCGCTTAGTCCGACCCCTCAAACCTTCCCAAAATAAGAACTCTGCGTTCTACAACGTCACCCCCCAGCGGGGCCCCCTTTATTCCCGGTGAGAGGGGGGCGGCGGAGGGAAAAAGCTGCTTCCCACACTTACCTGCCGCCATCTTGACTTCCCGCAATGAGCCGGATGCGGCGCCTAAGCTCCCTGCCGTCGCTTCTCCGCCTCCTCTACTTTGCACAAGGCTTCAGGGTCGCCGGCCGATTCATCCATCGGCCGCCCTTTCAAGCCCACTCGGAGGAGGAATGAGTCGAAAGAGCCAGAGACGCAGCCGCAGTGGAAGCCCTGCCCCTCCCTTCCAGTCTCGGGGTGGGGCAGAGGCCACCAGGCTGGCAAGCAGAGCGCCGAGAGCGAGGAAGCTGATGCAACGCGGAGGCAGACCCCGGCTGGCGTGTGTTAGAGCAGTGTTTCCCAACCTTTTTTGGACTCGCCCGCCTCCCTCCAGGCAACACCTCGCGGCACACCAGGCAACACCTCGCGGCACACTACTGTGCCGCGGAACACCGGTTGGGAAACACTGTTGTACAGCATGCAAATGATGGCGCAAAATACACTACAGAGGAGAGATCATACCACCATGTGGGGGCCACTGAAAATAGGGCCTTCTTGTGTGCCACCATCCTTCGAAGCAAAGAACATGGCAAAACTACAAATGGAACTGTCAGGGAACTGCCATCGGAAGGACAGGAGGTGGAAGGGCTCACAGAGGTTGAGAGAGACTTAGCAGCTGAAGAGGGAACCAGCAGGGGGAGAGAAAGAGCTCCAAGGGAAAGTGAGTCGGAGGGATGGCTCAGGGACACTTCCAGCGAAAATAGTGGGGAGGTTTCAGGACCTCCTATAGGGACACCCACTCCTCGCCGGAAACTGTCGCGCAGAGAGTCCAGAAGACGTGTTTCCGTTAAGGAGCTTTTATGCTGGAAGAGATTCCGTAAGCGCCCACTGTCGGACTCTGCTAGCGACTGACGGAGCCATGCTTGAGGGGCTCCGTCGTAGGCAGAGGTTTGCGGACTTGGCCAAACTCTGAGGGACTAGGATTTCACGCACAAGCAGCTCATCATCCCATCACAGGAACCCACTCTGCTGATCCTAACACCTGGGCAGTTTGAGATGAGAGGAGGGGTTCCTTCTGCCATTTGAGGCCAAATGTGTTTCTTTAAGTCAGTGTTAACACATTAAATTGGGAGTGGTACTGGAAACAAAGCTAATGGAGCAGCTTCATTTCCTTCTATAGAGATGGAAACCTTCTGGGGTACCATTGAAGAGTGGAGAAGAGGGTCCATCCCCTGAAGAGAGCCAGCAAAGTTGGGGAGGTCCCCTCTACAACCCTCAGATTTTGACTTTGCACAGTTCCCCCCTCCAGTACAAAGCTCATCACACTTTTAGGGATCATGGGCACATTGAAAACAGAAAAGCTGTTGGGACACCATACAAAAACTGCAACCAAGCACACACCACAATCTCTTCTATTGACTACAGTGTGGCATAGTGGTTAGGATGTTGGGCTAGGACACTGGAGACCTGAATTCAAATCTCTGTTCAGCCATGAAGCTCAATGGGTGACCTTGGGCCAGTCACCGTCTCTTAACCTAACCTACTTTACAGGTTCTGGTGAAGGTAAAATTGAGGGGGGAGGGAAGCACCATGTATACCACCTTGAGCTCCTTGGAGGAAAGGTGGTATATAATAATAATAATAATAATAATAATAATAATAATAATAATAATAATAAAAACAACTTAATGCTTCATTTCCCACAGGCAAACTTCAGAGAGCGTTTGCGCATTTCTGTATCCACACACAGTAGGAGACTCCATTTACCATTGATCCAGGAGGTCCATCATGTCCCCTGTCACCTTGAAATCCCACAAAGCCCTGAAAATAGGAGGAGAACAAATAAAAACACTGCAGGCATTACTAACAGCAGGAGAGAAGTTTTGTTACAGATGGACAAAGGGCAGAAAGGATGGCTGGCAGCTAGCTGTGGATTCATTGCATGCAATACCAATTTAGGTGATGGGGATGAAGCAGTGATCACTATGTCCTGCCCTTGTGACAACTGAAGTAGAACAGAATAAGCAATGTTAACATATGAAAATGTCACGGGGCAGTTGATGGTAGATCACACTGGGGCAGGGTGGGGGGGGTGATAAGTCAAGCTGGAGCAGTGCCCGGGGGTGGTCTTTTCCTCCCTCCCTCTCAGGATGGTTGATCCATTTAGCATTCCCACCAGACAGTAGCAAGCCTGCCTGCACCAACAAAAAACAGCCTTTGGCAAGTGATTTCTGATCCGGCAAGGCAATTACTGCCCCCCAGGGAGACTGCAGGGCAAATGACACCTGGAGTTTTGATAGTATATAGCCAAACAATGTACTACGACTGTTACAGCTTGGGAGGACCAGGTAACTCTGTTTGGTGTTGGTGGAAAAGCTCGGAATCACTACACACACACACACACACACACACACACACACACACACACTTCTACTCACAGTCAGACCGTGTTGATCAGAGCTCCCCATGGCACCAACAACACCCTGCAGGATAAGTTAAAACAACGTTAAGGATAGGAACATAGGCAGGGGCGGATCTACTATGAAACTAATGAAGGGCCCCTAATCTCAGAGGGCCCCGGATTTTTTTAAAAAAATGGGTCTAGTGCAGGCTTCCTCAACCTCGGCCCTCCAGATGTTTTTGGCCTACAACTCCCATGATCCCTAGCTAGCAGACCCAGTGGTCAGGGATGATGGGAATTGTAGCCTCAAAACATCTGGAGGGCCGAGGTTGTGGAAGCCTGAGTGTTATTTGAGTTGCATGACTGAAAATTGATTGTTTTGTGTGTGTGTGCAGTCAGTAGCCCAGATGTTGTAAAGACTGTTGCAAACAAACCCATTGAAGAAGATAATGATGGTTACCCAGACCTTGTTGCTGGTTGCGAAGGGGCCCCCATAACAGTTCAAGCTTCAGGGCTCCCAAAGCGTAGGTCTGCCACTGAACATAGGAATCTGCCTTAGGCTGAATCATGCCACGAGTCTATCTAGCTCAATATTGTCTACATCTGCTCTCCAGGGTTTCCGGAAGGGGTCATTCCCAGTCCTATCTGGATATGATGCCAGGGACTGAACCTGGGACTTTCTGTATGCAGAGAGATGCTCTGCTGCTAAGATGGCATGAAGACTTCAATTCCACATTCCGACCTACCACCCAAGGGCAGAAGCTATGCAGGGATGCTTAAGAACAGCAACAGCGCTTTATATTTCATTTATTAATGGTTTCTCATGCGGCACCCCGAAGCAATTTAAAATGTACTGTAACTAGATGTAAGTTCCAAAATTACTGGGGAAAATGCACTGCTGCTAGAGGTGTGAGCAGGAGGTAGGGAATCTTTTTCATTCCCTGATGGACAGCCTTCCAAGGGTCATATGCTAGTGGCAGGCAGGGCCAGAGGCAAAAAGTGGGTGGAGCTACTCTTACCATACAAAAATGTGTATTTTGTGGGGGAAATGCTTTCTTTAAAAATGGGTTACATTCGGTACTAGTCATAGACAGAGAAACCCACTTAAGTTAATGGGCATGACTAACTTAGGTGCATTAATTCAAATGGATTTACTACTTTGAGTATACCTGGGCTGGAACCCCCCCCCCCCCAATGTAACTTTCTTTACTTTTTTTCAAAGTGCAGATTGATACAGAATGGACTTACGAATGAATACGCATGGAATTGACTTGGGCTGGATACAGACCATCCACCCTTATTCAAGCAAATGAACCCCAGATCCTGCCTAGCACAGCAAGGGCCAGATCAAGTCAAAAGGATAGCAAAGTAGGTAGTATAGAATGGGAACCTGTGTACCAGGCTTTCCTTCTGGACCATCAATCCCAGGAACGCCTCGTAAGCCCTGGAAGAAATGTATGGAAGGGAGCAGAGTATAACAATATTACTTAAGTTTTGCAGAGTGCTTAAAGCAAATCAATCTATCAATCAAATATTTATTTACAGCCAGCCAACCATTAAAGGGAAGTACAAAACACACAGACACACAAACACACTACTACTACTACTACTACTACTACTACTACTACTAATTTATTATTTATACCCCGCCCATCTGGCTGAGTTTCCCCAGCCATTCTGGGCAGCTTCCAATCGAGTGTTAAAAACAATACAGCATTAAATATTAACAACTTCCCTAAACAGGGCTGCCTTAAGATGTCTTGTAAAGATAAGATAGCTGCTTATTTCCATCACATCTGAAGGGAGGGCGTTCCACAGGGTGGGTGCCACTACCAAGAAGACCCTCTGTCTGGTTCCCTGTAACCTCACTTCTCGCAATGAGGGAACCGCCAGAAGGCATATCAAATTGAGTAGCTAGAAGAATTGCTAAAAAGGTAAACTTGATGTAATATGGTAGCCATTTACATCATATGTTAACAAAGATGGACATTTACTAATGTTTATTTATTAATGTTTATTTATTAATTTTTATTAATAAATAGCTTTTATTAATTAATATTTTATTTATTAAAATATTAAAATATTATTTATTATTTATTTTACATTTATTTTACATTTATACATTAATAAATATTACATTTATTAATATTTTAATGTTCCATTATTTTAATGTCGTATTTTATTTTTGTTTTTAAGTTGTAATCATTCATCTTGTTTTTATTATTGCTTGTAGGCCGCTCTGAGCCCGGCCTTGGCTGGGGAGGGCGGGGTATAAATAAATAAATAAATAAATAAATAAATAAATAAATAATAATAATAATAATTTACTGCAACCTCCATCAAGCCATAAAATGATGGGGAGGAGTTATATACATACTAGTTAAAGATAACTGTTTATAATTTTACTCCACCCTGAGGTGTACCTGTGTTTTGTGATAGCTTGCCTATTGCACATGCTGTCACTATAAGTACTATGTTATGGTACCAAATCAGTTCTGTTCCTTTTTTTTTTTACTTTACAAAATTTCAATTAAAAAAACCATACGTACTAAAAACACACAAATAATCACTGTCTTAGATTAACAAAGGTGACAAGAGCTAACTGTTAGAAAAACACTGGGGCCTAATTTGAATAGTAGAATGTCTGGCATCTGGTGGGTGGGGCTTGTGTATTATGCTCTGGAATTGGCCCCTCCCTTCGGGTGTTCAGTTAGAGAGATCAACTGTCACTCTTGCTTCATTCTTGCCTCATGATGCTGTTTTAATTTCTCTCAGACAGTATGCTATTGTTTTCTTTATTATTAAAGCTTTGTTTGACATATACATTAGCCACTTACTTTGCTGAATGAAAAGAACCTCTGCTGAAGAATGCAGGAATCTCCTAAACTGTGAGTGAAGGGATATTGCCAGTCTGGCTGGAGGATTGATTTTTTAAATCACCCCACCCTTCACAACACTTACAAACACTGCAAGTCTAAGAGATATTATGACATTCAGATATTTTGCCACCTAGTGCCAAAAGAAGGACAAATGTTGGCACCAGGCAGTCCTCTATGGGGAGAGCATTCCACAAATGGGGAGCCACCACTGAAAAGCTTTCTCCCTTGTCACTCACTGTTTTCTGAACCTCAGTAGCAAAGTTGGCATGATTGAGGCTAGTCACAATAGGAATCCTATTACTTACTGGGGGTCCTGGCATTCCAACAAGCCCATGCTGGCCCATCCGGCCCTGGAGAGAAACCAAAAGTGGTCTGAAGAAAGTCTTTTTCCTCATTAATCAGTCAACATACCCAGGGAGCTTCTGATTCCATGTGCTCTTGAGCCACCAATGCATTGCTGTTTGGGTATTAGTCAACACAAAATGTTCCACCAAACACAAGAATGCTGGTGTTGGTATTTGATTGTTATCTCAGTTTCTTTCTTTGGTGGGAACATCACATATCTGGAGTACTTTGTCAAGACATGGGCACCACATTTTTAAGAAGGACATTGACCATTGAGAGCATGTCAAGAGGAGGACAACCAGGATGGTGATCAGAGTCCAAGGGCATATTCTTGTCAGAAATAAAAACACTAAAGGTGGGTTCAAAGGAGGGCCCGTGTGGGGTGTTAACTAGGGAGAATCCTGAAAGCTACAAAGAGGCCTGGAGGACTGCAGTCAACCCACTCCCGCTGCCCGCACCAGGTCCTCTGGTCCCCTCACCCCTGCCCATAGCTGTCAACGTTTCCCTTTTTTAAAGGGAAATTCCCTTATTCCGAATAGGATTCCTCGCAAGAAAAGGGAAAAGTTGACAGTTATGCCCCTGCCATAAATTCTCAAGGCTGATTTGGTGGAGAAAGCTTCTGTGCTGTGTAGGGCACATTACTTGTAAAACCAGAGTGAAAGCAATACCTGAAATCCCTCACATATTTTCAACATTCCCACTAACCCTTTGTGTGAAACCCTCCCTCCCCTTGAGGAAAAATTAGGTACTTCAGGCATGAGACATACCCGCTTTCCTCGTTGTCCTGCCCTTCCTTTTGCACCATCTGGACCCCGACTGCCCTGCGGATTAGAGAGAAAATTCTGTTATTTCATGCAAAGTTGAATTCCTTACAGACACCCCCCTCCCCTTTTAAGTCAGGACTAAATCCCAGGTTAGAGCCAGAAGATCAACACTCAGATCTCTTGATTTAAAAGATATATATCATTAGTATTAAAAAGAAGAATGGGAACCTTTTACAAAGTATTTAAAGAAACAAGAAAATGAACTGGAATCCTTGGCAGGTTTTGAATAAACTTTCACAAATTCATTATTAACAACATATAGACAGATAGGTTAAGGATTTTTACAATTTTATAATATGCAGAGAATTAGAAGTATGGAAAAATCAGAGAGAGGAACCGAGGGAAGCCTGGGGAGGGGTGTGTGGAAGGGTGGGGTTTTTATATTTTGGGGAGGGGGAGGGGAAAATGGAGGGGGTGGAAGTTTTATTGATAAAATGTTATGTTGTAATTCCTAATAAAAAAATTATTAAAAAAAGAAAGAATGGGCCTTTTCTGCCATGGCTCCCAGCTTCTGGAGTGCTTTCCCTGGTGCGGCTCATTGTTATGTAGATGTGTTGGGGGGGGGGGAGCGCCATCACCTCCCCCAAATATTGAAGGGTAGTCCGGTAAAGGATTCCAGGGGGCATGGCCTCGTTCGAAGCCTATGGAAGTCAGGACCAATGCCTAAGCCAATACCGCTCTTAACCTGTAACCAATAAAGTTGTGGCCAATTTTAGCCCATTAACCTAAAATAATTGTGTCATGCGTCTTTATTCCTACTGGTGGGAGGCGAGAACTCGCCACGCAAAACAGATCAAGGGTCAAACCTGCTCAAGACCACACACTTGAGTCCATGGCAAGGGTCCAATTCCAGCAAGCAGTCTCAGGAACCTGCTAAGGAAGGATTTATTATAACTATTATGCAAGAGCACAGATAACAACAGAGGTTTAGACTAACCTTTGCACCTTCTGTGCCGTTTTGACCAGGGGGACCAAGTTGCCCTTCCTCTCCCTGGAATGGCAAAAAGATTCAGTCAACATTCATCACTGCAAAGCATATTGGAACAGCCTATTTGGCCTGGGTGGAAAGTAGCTCAGACTAAGAATGGGCAAACCTGCCCATTTTGACTTCTCCCAATTTCTCTCCCCTCACCCCCGTCTTAAGTTCAGTTCTCTACATATTGATTTGCACTAAAAAAAAAAAAAAGTCCCTAGGAAAATTCACTAGCCTTTGAGTGGAAAATTTCTCTCAAACATATTTTTGTATGATTTTTTCCTAATAGACGCATTTACTAACTATAACACATTTAAATGCATGCTTTACACTAGCAAATTCATTTGTCGGTACATGTTACTTTGCTGGAGAACCGAACTGCAAAATTCAGAGAAGTGCAAATTTCATGGGTGTGATTGGTGCATTGTTTTTGGAAGTGAACATTAAGTAGGCTTGCCTTTAAATGGCTGGCTTGCAGATTGGTCAGGATCCAAAACATTAGCATCCCTATTAGGACGTTAGAATACACTGCAACGTTTTGTTGCAGGACTCTCTTGTTCTTCCAGTTATGAATATGTGAATATATTGATTTTGCAAATTGGGGACCAAACATTTTAGCTCAGGTATGTGGAAGCAGTAAGGCTGTGTGTATGTCTGTGTGTCTACCTTGATTTCTTGAATCCCCTGAAAGTCACCAGTAGGGGGACCTCTTATGTCATTGTTATTCTCTGTGAATATATGGGAGATGCATGGGAGAAAGCAGAGGATTGAGCACCACGTAGCAACTAAAGCTAAAGCTAAACCTGACTCCACTTACCTGGCAGTAAGCCCCACTTAAGTCCACTAGGACTTACCCTTAAGATTGAGTTAGGATTGTGCTGAAAGTAAGGATGAGTGAATCTGTCAATTTCAGTTTCTATCATTTGCTCATTTATTCGAGTCTTAACTTTAGTTCTCTGTGTTTCTCCCTCAGCCCTAGATGTAAAGGTAAATGTAAAGGAACCCCTAACCATTAGGTCCAGTCGTGGCCGACTCTGGGGTTGCGGCGCTCATCTTGCTTTATTGGCCGAGGGAGCCGGCATACAGCTTCCGGGTCATGTGGCCAGCATGACTAAGCCGCTTCTGGTGAACCAGAGCAGCGCACGGAAACGCCATTTACCTTCCCGCCAGAGCGGTACCTATTTATCTACTTGCACTTTGACATGCTTTCAAACTGCTAGGTTGGCAGGAGCAGGGACCGAGCAATGGGAGCTCACCCCATCGCGGGGATTCGAACCGCCAACCTTCTGATCGGCAAGTCCTAGGCTCTGTGGTTTAACCCACAGCATCACCCGCGTCCCTAGCCCTAGATGTAGGTCTGCATTAATAAACACTGATCTAGCCACTCTAGCAAAATGGTCTCTAGACCACGCAAGCTTCTGTGGCAAATGAATCCCTGGGAATCTTAAGCAGGTGTGGAGGAACCCATGGTCCTCCAGATGTTGCTGAACTACAACTCCCATCAGCTCCCACCAGCATGGCCAATGGCAGGGCAAAATACATATATATATATATAATACAATACTCTTGTCTGGTTTTGCTGCAAGTAGATGAGTATGGCTCCCCTTCCAGAACTTCTTAAATAGGTTTGGCTGTTACTGAAATATAGTGTTCCTTGCAATCTTGATTAGCTGTGGAGATATATTAGATTGCTTTTAAGCATGTTCAGTGGTTTTTAAATGCTTTTCTTAAAAAATAAAAATGAAATGATTTTGCTGCTTTGTTGTTTGCTGCCCTGGGAGGGTTAAAAACTTAATAAAACCAAACAAAAAACCCTTCCTTACTTCAGGTCCCTGAGGTCCAGCTGCTCCTTTGGGCCCTGGAAACCCTGGAAGCCCTGAAGCACCTCGAACACCGGGAAGTCCCCTGGTCCCTTGGAGGCCAAACGTACCCTGAAAAAGAGGAAAGACCTAAATCATTTGTGGAGGTTTAGGAACATCAGGATTATATCTAACTATACAGTGCCAGATTTAGGGCAGTGTAGGCAGTCCCCTCCCCACAGGGTGCTGAGCTGAGAGGATGCAAAATAATAGCAGCTGTACCAAAAGGAATTGTGAAAATAAGAAATAGGGGAGGGGGGCAATTCTGTCCCTGCTCACGGTGCCATATTACTAAAGTCCGCCTCTGAACTATACCATTCCTTTGCTTCATCCTAAATGTATGGCTCATGTGCAAAACATCCATGCTGTATTGGTAGCAGCAGCAGCAGCAGTAATCATAATGCTGCCTTTGGAGGCATACCTAGGCTTCCTTGCGCCCTTGGCAAGGAGCTTCATCAGCACCAGTGAAGCCGGGGAGACCATAGACCAGAAACTCAAAAAGTTAGCTTTTGTTGCCTTTTTCACTCCACCAGTGACTTCCTCTGTGACCATCAGGGTTGGGTCTGCTCTGATCCGTGTTCCTCTTCCATATTCTCCACTTCCTCCTCCTCTGTTGGTCCATCTGTCTGCCTATCTCCCTCCCTCCCTCCACTCGCTGCTTTCCCTTCTGCCTCCCCGTTCCCTCCCTTCCTTTTTTCTCTTTCTGCAACTCTCAGCCACTCTCTCAGTCATTCTTCCCTCTGAGCCCTGCTGGGCACTCCGCTTACACTTCTAATAGCACTGCCGGCCAACTGGGGAGGGCCTCCTGCTGTTGCAACAGCCCACGGCAGTGACCAGATTCCTCTGCTGAGGCGCCCAGAGGATTCTGTGTGCCTTGACTGGCCACCCAGAGCAACAGAGGAGTGGCCTGGGGAACACACAGATGGGTGGATGGGCTGCTAGCCACTCTGAACAAGGGGGGAGAGATGTAATTTTTCTTTGCCCTTGGGCCTGCACCATTGGGGGGGGGCAACTTACACAACTCCTAGGTATGCCCCTGCCTGCCTTACATCAGGTCATATAATTTTTGTCTACCTAGCCCAGGATTGGAGACTCTTCAGTAGAGGCTGGCAAAGCCCTACCATCCTCAGTCTGCTCTCACCTGCCTGGCACTTACAACTAGTGAAGCGGTGGTTCTGCCAATCATTGGCTCTGGCACCACCTACTGTTGGTCTCCTGCCTGCCATCCTACCAGTCCCAATGGGCACCAGCCACCACTGTGACTTATAGCTGTTCTCCAGGGACCCAAGCAGAGGCCTTTCTTCAGCTGGCTGAGGACAGGAATCGGATACTTTCAGCATACAATGCATTTGTTTCTTGCTCAGGGGAGCAGGGAGCATGCAACAATATCAAAAAGGGAAACTTGCACTGGAATAACTGCTACACATCCCCGGGCACGAGATGTTACCATACCTGGTCACCTTTGGGTCCCAGATCCCCTTTTATTCCCTTTGGTCCTTTGCTCCCCTGGAAGAGTAAAGGTTAAAATGAGAGGGTCGTTGAGAACAGGCAGTAGCATGACCTGGTCATCCTTTAGTGCAAGAGTGGGGAGCCCTTTTCCAACCCAAGGACTCCAGCCCCTTGGGGTAAACTTTCCAGGCCAGTGGTGGAAGGGGCAAGAGTAAAAAATGGGTGGAATAGCAACTGCAACTCATACTTTTGTACATTCCAGTCACAGAAAAGTCAGTAGCATCCATGTGTGCACACACCTCTATCCAGGCTTCATCCAGACAAGCAAGCAAGAGGCACCACCAGGGTTCAAGAACACATTCCAGCTGACAGACTGAAGTATCATGAAGGGTGTTGGGCAGATCTCATGAGGACATGGGTGTGAAATATAGGGAGAGGCCTGAGGGCCTGGCTGAGAGGCCCCATTCATGCCTCGGCAAATCCATCTTTTGAATTGCACTCTCCTCTCTTCTTTGTTTATTCCAGGCATAGGCAAACTTGGCCCTCCAGATGTTTTGGGACTACAACTCCCATCATCCCTGACCACTGGTCCTGTTAGCTAGTGATGATGGGAGTTGTAGTCCCAAAAACATATGGAGGGCTGAGTTTGCCTATGCCTGATCTATTCCTCAGTGGGGCTGAATTTTCAACCAAGCCATTTCTTTGGGGTTAAGATGGAACTTTTCAAATACTGACAAAATTTAGTGGGGGGGGCGGCGGGGCCACCAAATTGCATACTGATGCTGAAATGTAGGAAGTTGAATTGAAGATTGGAAAAACAGGGATCTGAGAAAAAATTAAATTGACAGAGTCCTGCCTCCCTATCCCAGACGAATCAGAATGATATCATTGCTCCTTGGCTTCAATAAAATGAATATTTTAGGATAAAATTATGTGTGTATAAATGCATATTTTAGGGATAACGTATACAAAAATTAATATCTTGTGATGGGTAGGGAAGTTGATAAAAGTTGATGCCAATTTTCATGTCTTTTGTTTTAAAAAAGAAGACTGAGGTGGAAACAGGACAGGATGGATTTAGCACTGAGCACATGTGACACCGACATTAATCAGAAACAGAGTGCTCTGTCCATTGCTATTACTTTCATTTCACTGAACATTTATTTCAGGTGGGGAAAGCAAAGCCACTTACATGGTCCCCAGGGGGTCCTTGAGGGCCCTGGCTCCCGGTCAACCCCTTAAATAGAGACAAAAGGTATTTTTTTTATTTAAAAAAGCCAAAGAAACTTTAAGACACGGAATCTTGCCCTCACTTTCCCTCCACTCCCTCCTTTCCACAATAAAACACATGAAAGCTATAAGACTGAGCTGGAAATTATCCAAGAAGATTTAAATGATCTGAAATTTGGGGGATACCCCTCATCCTGTTACCATATATTGTGTTGGAAACTGTGTTCTCTGGGGGTGGCAGCCTCCCTTCCCCCTCCCCAAAGACACCTGAGAATGACCAATATTAGCTGTCAGCTGTGGAGAGAACAGTCTTACCTCCCTATGAATAGTTCAGCAGGACCACAAAAAATGATTACCCTCAGGAACTTTGCCACCTGCTAATGCACTGGTTCTCAAAAGGTGTGGTGTGCCATATTGTTGTGGCAGGAGAGGATGGCAATGTGGTGGGAAGATTCATTGACAATCAAAGAAACATTTAAACATTTCAGTATAGCATAGCATAGTTTTTCAATTTATTTATTTTTGCCGAATATGGATAGATATCTTTTCTTTTTTCTTTTTTTAAAATGATATTTATTAGAAGTTTAATAGTTACATAAAAAAGAAAAAAGAGACAATAAAAAGTTACAAATAAAATAAGTAAAAAAATAAAAAAGTCAAAAATAAAAATAAAAAATAAAAAACAATACAGCAAAACAATAAGAAAAACAAAAACATTTAAAAACACATCCAGTATTTCCATATCTTTGTCTTTCATTTACTTGTTTCATCGACCTCCTCACACCTCCCTTTTTTGTATTCCAATTCAATTAGCTATTTCAGCAAATCCTTTCCATCTTTCTCAATTTTTGTTCTATAATTTATCTTAACACAATCTGACCTTAAATTTTACACTTTGGCCCATTGACAATCTATTTTTACTTAGTTCTTTATAACATAGATATATATATATAATATAGATAGATATCTTTTCAAAATCAAGCACTGCTAGGAGTTGCTTCTTTTTGCTTTCCAGTGTATTTCTTATCAATAAAAAACTGAGTAAATTATTATTCTGAAAGTGTGGCCCAGAGAAAGAAGCTTGAGAGCTACTGCACTAATGGCACAGGAAAATTAATAGAATCTGAGAGTTAGAAGGGACCCCGAGGGTCTTCTAGTCCAACCCCCTGCAGTACAGGAATCTCAGCTAAAGCATCCCTGACAGATGACCATCCAATCTCTGCTTCTAAACCTCCAAGGAAGGAGAGTCCACCACCTCTCGGGGGAGTCTGTTCCACTGCTGAACAGTTTTACTGTCAGAATTCCCCCCCCACCCCCGAATGTTTAGTTGGAATCTCCTTCCTTGCAACTTGAAGCCATTGGTTCGAGTCCTACCAACCAGAGCAGTAGAAAACAAGCATGTTCCCTCTTTCATGTGACAGCCCTTAAGATATTTAACTGGGGAAACATTTCGGCTCACTGCTAGAAATCAGCACATACAAAACAGGTAGATCATCACCGTCTCTCCATCTGAGGGAAAACTGGTGGGGGGGCGTGGCATGGGCATCACCAGGATTTTTGCTATGGGTGCAGGCTTTTGTTAGAGGGGGCAGAACCTCTGATTAGTACAGTGGTGCCCCGCAAGACGAATGCCTCGCAAGACAGAAAACCCGCTAGACGAAAGGGTTTTCCGTCGCGGAGGCGCTTCGCAAGACGAAGTTCCCTATGGGCTTGCTTCGGAAGACGAAAACGTCTTGCGAGTCTCGCCATTTCCCCCCCGCTCCCCCCCCTTTTCAAAGCGGCTAAGCTGTTAATAGCCTTTTAACAGCTTAGCCGCTAAGCCCGCTAAGCCGCTAATAGCGCTAAATCACTAATAGCGCTAATCCGCTTAGCCGCCAATGGGGTTGCTTTGCAAGACGAAAAAAACCGCTAGAAGAAAAGAATTGCGGAACGGATTCTTTTCGTCTTGCGAGGCACCACTGTATTGATTTGTATCAGCATCAAACTTTATTTTGGGAATTTCAAGTTTGGTTATACAGTGGTACCTCGGGTTACATAGGCTTCAGGTTACATACGCTTCAGGTTACAGACTCCACTAACACAGAAATAGTACCTCGGATTAAGAACTTCTTCTTATTTCACTGATTAAAAATTTCAGGGGCCTAGCTAAATTTGCTTGGTGTTCTGTATCTTCCATATGCTGTTTGATGGGGGGTTTTTTTTGGCTTGTTAATACCCCATGTTGAGTAGGATCTGTGGGGTGAGGCCTAGAGTTGTTATTACAGTCATACCTCGGGTTGAATGTGCTTCAAGTTGAGCGCTTTCGGGTTGCTCTCCGCGGCAACCCAGAAGTAACGGAGCACATTACTTCCGGGTTTCGCTGCTCGTGCATGTGCAGACGCTCAAAATGACCTCACACAAATGCGCGGAAGCGGCAAAACGTGACCCGTGACCCGTGCCGTGAACAGATCCCGTTCACATCCCGAGGTACCACTGTACATTTATCACTGCACATTTCCATGTCATTTTGGAAACTGTCCTTAACAGTTAAGGGAGCAAGGCCACGTGGGAGGAAGAATAGTCTCAGCCAGTAATGTGATCATGTCTCCTGCAATGAAGGTGCCATGGTCTGATCACTACGCACTGAAAGCCAGGATTGATTTTCCACCCCCACCCTGCTTAGGTGGTGAGCCAATTTGGGCTCGCCCGCAGAGGCTGATGGACCCTGATAGATTCCGTCAGGCCTTGCGGGACCTTGCTCCCCCTGGCGACTCATTGACTGAGCTTGTTGAGGGCTGGAATACCCAGCTCCTAGCAGCCATCGATGAGATCGCACCTAGGTGCCCTCTGCGACCCCGCAGAAACAGGGCTCCCTGGTTTACCGAGGAGCTTCGGAAAATGAAGCGGGACCTCAGACGGCTAGAGCGAGTATGGCGGGGTGCCCGTGACGGAGCCTCAAGAACATCTTATAGGGTTTTTATGAAAACCTACGAGATGGCAGTGAAGGCCGCTAAGAAGTCCTACTTCTCGGCCTCCATTGCCTCCGCTAGCTCTCGCCCGGCGCAATTATTTAGTATAATTAGGTCTTTAACGTCCCTCGAAGGACAGCCAAATTTAAATAACAATTTGACACACAGCTGTGAGGCATTTGCGAGCTTTTTTGCGGAGAAGGTCCTGTTGCTCCGCCATGATCTCCCTGCCAATTTGGATACAATAAAGGAACTGGAGGCCCCTCGACTGTCCTCGGGTCCAGTATTGGACCACTTTGACCGGATATCCCCAGCCGATGTGGACAGACTCCTCCAAGCTGGAAAGCCCACCACCTGTCCTCTGGACCCGTGCCCGTCTTGGCTGATTAGAGTGTGTCCAGACGAGGTGCGGGCCCCCCTGGGTGATATCATGAATTTGTCCCTTGGCACCGGGATATTCCCAGGGGAACTGAAGGAGGCAGTGGTGCGTCCACTCTTAAAGAAAACATCATTAGATCCTCTAGATCTATCCAATTGCCGCCCGGTTTCAAATCTTCCATTCCTGGGTAAGGTGATTGAGAGAGCGGTTGCTGAACAGCTTGGTAGGTTTCTGGATGAAACATCGGCTCTCGATCCATTCCAGTCCGGCTTCCGCGCTGGTCATGGGACCGAGACGGCTCTGGTCGCCCTAACAGATGATCTCCGTAGGCAGCTGGATCGAGGCGGGTCGGGGCTGCTGATTCTTCTAGACCTGTCAGCAGCCTTCGACATGGTCGATCATGAACTCCTGGACCACCGCCTTGCCGACGTGGGGATCCAGGGCACAGTCCTTCAATGGCTGCGCTCGTTTCTCTCTGGTTGGGGACAGAGGGTGGCGCTTGGAGGGGAATTGTCATCGCGCCACTCCTTGGTGTGTGGAGTACCTCAGGGTGCGATTCTCTCCCCGATGCTTTTTAACATCTTTATGCGCCCCCTTGCCCAGCTTGTCCGGAGTTTTGGGCTGGGCTGCCATCAGTATGCCGATGACACCCAACTCTATCTGTTGATGGACGGCCACCCTGACTCGGCCCCAGATACACTGACCAGATGTCTGGAAGCTGTGGCTGGATGGTTACGTGGGAGCCGGTTGAAGTTAAATCCTTCGAAGACAGAGGTCCTTTGGCTGGGACGGAGCGATATGGGATTGAGGGGGCAACTCCCATCTCTTGCGGGGGTGCAATTAGTGCCAACATCATCCGTTAAGAGTTTGGGTGTAATCTTCGATACCTCCCTCTCTATGGAGGCGCAGATTACAGCTATAACAAAGGCGGCATTTTTTCATGTCCGCCAAGCTAAGCAGTTGGCTCCTTATCTCTCTCGCCCTGACCTAGCCACTGTGATCCACGCGACGGTCACCTCCAGACTGAATTATTGTAACTCGCTCTACGTGGGGCTGCCCTTGAGACTGACCCAGAAACTCCAGCGGGTGCAGAATGCCGCGGCGAGACTCATTATGGGGTCTTCGCTGCGAGATCATATCCATCCGGTATTATACCAGCTGCACTGGCTCCCGGTGGAGTACAGGATCAGGTTTAAGGTGCTGGTTTTAACCTTTAAAGCCCTATACAGCCTAGGACCCTCGTACCTACGGGACCGCCTCTCCTGGTATGTCCCACAGAGAAATCTACGGTCTGCAAATAAAAACATCCTAAAGATCCCAGGCCACAAAGAGGTTAGGCTGGCCTCAACTAGAGCCAGGGCCTTCTCGGTCGCGGCTCCAATCTGGTGGAACACTCCGTCACAAGAGACTAGGGCCCTGCAGGACCTGACATCCTTTCGCAGGGCCTGCAAGACAGAGCTGTTCCACCAGGCCTTTGGTCAGGGCACAGCCTGACCCCCTCCTCTGGCAATCGGCAATCTGCACAGAATTTGGCTTGATGGTTGCCATTAATTTGATTTTAATTTAATTTGATTTAATTAATTTTATAATGTTTTAGAATGTCGGATTATTTTGATTGTTGTTAGCCGCCCTGAGCCCAGCTTCGGCTGGGGAGGGCGGGATATAAATAAAATTTATTTATTATTTATATTTAATTTAGTCTGGCAAACCATACTCTAGCCTCAATTCTTACGAATCCAGTTTCGAGACGTATTGTAGCACTGGAAATGTGTTTGGGCACTTGTCCAGCTGATCTTAACAGTTTAGATTGTACCAGTTCTAATGGTGCACAATTGGCAAAGGGGCCTAACTGGGCACCATATACAAGCTGTGCAGTGGATTTGGCCTCAAACCGTTTGAGGGCTGCAAGTATATATTGTCCAGCTTTAGTCCAGCTTAGGTACCTAAGTTTTGCATTTACACTTCTCTGGACATACCCTGCAACATAATCCCCAGTGCTACTTGAAGATGCTGGGGACTGAACTTGTGGCCTTATGCATGCAGACCAGATGCTAAAACACTGAGCTGCTGAACCACTGAGCTCCAGGGGCCCCTTCTGTGCAGGAGGAAATGCCTGGAGGGGATGTGAAGATGAATCGCCAGAAGGCCAGGAAAATTGTTACCACATTCAAGCCACCAGTTTGTGCGAGTGAGATGGGGCAGCCTCATTTCTCAATGTCAAGCATCTGTCACCTTGGGGCTTTGATCAGCTGATGGACAAGAGAAGAAGCAGAAACAGAGGAAGAAAGGGTTCAAAAACAGAGAACACTCCTGAGGAACCTGATCTGAGTTAGAACATCATCAGACCCAATCTGGAAGGAAGGGTGGGTGAGGAATAACACCCAAAATCTACACCTAATCAATCACACTTAAGTCTCCTGATGGTGATGCAAAACTCCTAAGGGAACTCATTTCTAGCCTGGGGGAGGGAGTCTAGCTGGAGGCAGAAAAAAGTTTTTTTCTGGAACTTTTTGCATATGCTCTATCAGTGAGCTCCAGTCCCTCATCCGTATCTACTTAGTGTAACTTTTGCTTTTTGCAAATGAATTTTGCATGCCTGTTACATTGTTTAAGAAACTTGTTTAACCCGAGGCAACCAGTTGCGGAGAAGGTGGGCAACAGAAAGTATATACTGTGGAAATCAAATACTTTCTCAAATAGTTTTCAGTAAAAACAACAACAACATAAGAACCCCACATTGTTTGTCTCTCACTTATTTTGATTAGGTGGAATGAAAGGGAGTATTCCATTCTGCTTCAGCGACTGGCACAGAGCCCCAAACCTGCCTTTATGTACTAGAAGAGGGCCCTTCCAGATGGGAATAATGCAACAACACTGGGGAAGCATTATGAAACAACTAATAAAGCAGAATGTTGTGTTGACAGTCAAGTATAAATGCACTATTGCTGCATCAATGATATACTGTAGGATATACTCAAAAACCACCCTTACCCAGTCTCACTGCATAAGCTTTGCAGAATTAAGTCAGAATGAATGCTGAATAAACAGGTTATCCAGAAGACCCTGTGTCTCTGTCTACTTCTATGAACAAGAAACTAGGCCTTTAGTGTCATCAGCCCAGTCCTGCAGGATACTCTGCCAACAGAGATTCAGCAAACACCTTCTGTTTCAATGTTTACAATGCCTGCTGAAAACTTTTTATTTTACTGGGCCAATGCAGGCAACTGAGAATATACCTTTCCCACAATAGTTAATTGATGTCAGTTTTTAACCTTTGATATGGTTTTTATTAGGGACGCGGGTGGCACTGTGGGTAAAAGCCTCAGCGCCTAGGGCTTGCCGATCGAAAGGTCGGCGGTTCGAATCCCCGTGGCGGGGTGCGCTCCCGTTGCTCGGTCCCAGCGCCTGCCAACCTAGCAGTTCGAAAGCACCCCCGGGTGCAAGTAGATAAATAGGGACCGCTCTGGCGGGAAGGTAAACGGCGTTTCCGTGTGCTGCGCTGGCTCGCAAGATGCAGCTTTGTCACGCTGGCCATGTGACCCGGAAGTGTCTCCGGACAGCGCTGGCCCCTGGCCTCTTAAGTGAGATGGGCGCAGAACCCTAGAGTCTGTCAAGACTGGCCCGTACGGGCAGGGGTACCTTTACCTTTACCTTTATGGTTTTTATTCTATTGTTTTATGTGCTACTGTTGTAAACAGTTTTTGATATTTCCTTTTTATGAAAAAGCAGTACATGAATAATTTTATAAGCAAGTAAAAGGAGAATAGCTAGTACGCTTGGAGCACACCATCCCCCTCCGTGCAGATTTCAACACATACCATTAGGCCATCTCGTCCATGCACCCCTCTTAGGCCAGAAAGACCACTTTCTCCCTGAAACATGACAAAGGAAGCATAATGTTAGGGATTACAATCATGGAGAAAACAGGACACACAAACACAAGAAGCTATCTTAAGATGTCAGACCACTGACCTAAATAGTTCAGTTTTGTCTACGCTGGAAGTTCCCCTGGTCTTTTCCATGCCTTACACAGAGATGCCAGGAATTGAACCCAAGACCTCCTGCATGCAAAGCCCTTTGCATCGGCTGCACATCTGTTTTATTTCTCATTCCTTTGGCACTGGGATTTAATTATTTATACCAGGAGTGGAGAATCTGTGGCCTTCCAGACGTTGCTGGACTTTACCGCCCACCATCCCTGACTACTCACCATGCTTGGCAGGAGCTGGTGGGGATTATAGTCCAACCACATCTGGATGGCTACAGGTTCCCTGCTGCTGATACATGCCTCTGGATACCAGTTTCAGGGAATCATGAGTGTGTTCTTGCATTTACACATGCCTTGCAGGCTTCTGGCAGGCATCTGGTAGGCCACTAGGAGATGTGGATACTGGACCAAATCTAGCTGGACTCTTATGTTTTTGGCTTTAAAAACACAACCATCCAAACTTGTTTTACACAGCTATGTAATTTACTCCTACAAGGTGTAGTGACTGTGACTGATGTAGACCATCTTTAAAAGAGGATTAGACAAATTCATGGATAATATGGCTATCAAAGGGCTAATAGTTATGCTAGCTATTGTGCTACCTCCACTGTCAGACATGATATGCCTCCCAAAACCAGTTGCTGGAAATCATGGGGATGGCGACCTGCTGTCACACTGAAATCCAGCTTGTGGGCTTCCTACGGGGCATCTGGTTCACCACAGTGAGAACAGAATGCTGTAATAGATGGGCTTTTCACCTGATCCAACAGTGCCCTTTTTATGTGCTTGTTGTTGTTTAGTCGTTTAGTCGTGCCCGACTCTTTGTGACCCCATGGACCATAGCACACCAGGCACTCCTGTCTTCCACTGCCTCCCACAGTTTGGTCAAACTCATGCTGGTAGCTTCAAAAACACTGTCCAACCATCTCATGCTCTGTCGTCCCCTTCTCCTTGTGCCCTCCATCTTTCCCAACATCAGGGTCTTTTCCAGGAAGTCTTCTCTTCTCATGAGGTGGCCAAAGTATTGGAGCCTCAGCTTCAGGATCTGTCCTTCCAGTGAGCACTCAGGGCTGATTTCCTTAAGAATGGAGAGGTTTGATCTTCTTGCAGTCCATGGGACTCTCAAGAGTCTCCTCCAGCACTATAATTCAAAAGCATCAATTTTTTGGCGATCAGCCTTCTTTATGGTCCAGCTCCCACTTCCATACACCAGTACTGGGAAAACCATAGCTTTTACTATACGGACCTTTGTTGGCAAGGTGACGTCTCTACTTCTCAAGATGCTGTCTAGGCCTGTCATTGCCCTTCTCCCAAGAAGCAGGCATCTTTTAATTTCGTGGCTGCTGTCACCATCTGCAGTGATCATGGAGCCCAAGAAAGTAAAATCTCTCACTGCCTCCATTTCTTCCCCTTCTGTTTGCCAGGAGGTGATGGGCCCAGTGGCCATGATCTTCATTTTTTTTGATGTTGAGCTTCAAACCATATTTTGCGCTCTCCTCTTTCACCCTCATTAAAAGGTTCTTATGTTCTTATAAATTTAGTAAAAATAATAAAAGAACAGAAGGAGAGTCAGGCCAATGGTGAATCTATTCCAGCATCCTATTCTCACAGTAGCTTCAACAGAAAGAAAAATGGACAAAAAGGGTTCCCATAAGATCTTGGTTAGGCAGAAGATACTGTGCCTCAGGGCAGTGGGGATGGACTATATTACGGTAACCATTGGTGGTTCTTCTTTTGTTTCCTCACTGATGATTTTTGTGAAGATGGAAAAAGGTGCCAATCAGTTATTGGGACAAAGAGCAACTCTTTGGTTGTTTAAAAGGCAAGAGGCAAAAGAAAAAGATATTATGCTTACTGGGTGTCCTTTGGCTCCAGGGGGTCCTTCTCTCCCAAAGCGACCCTAAAAGGAAAATGATTATTTTACCGTGACATGAGGATGAGCAAATGGACAGTAAAAGTGGATTCTGCAAGCTGTTACAAAACCACATACTACCTGGCTGGAAGGATAAACACTGACCATACACTTTTCAGTGAAGATCTCACTGTGTTTTCTACACTTGAACATGTAGCTTGTAATCAACAATCTTGTTTGCACATCTGTTTGGATATAAGGACTGTTTATATTAATATAGATGATTAAATTAGGATGGATGGATTATCCTCATTGTTAATGTGAGCTGATGCTGCTTTTAAATTTCTATTATATTTGCAATGGGGGGGGGGGTTGTTTCAAAGGATCACCAGGCATCTGGAGGATCGTGTCCCTAAGGAAGGTATGGACGACTCACTTGTAATCCCCTGAATCCTGTGGGCCCATGCCTCCCTTCCAAGCCTTGTGGGCCCTAAAGAGAGTGAAAGGAAGTCCCAGATGTGGTACAAGACGAGATGAAGGGTATGCAAAAGAAAGAGAGAGAAATTGTTGTTTAGTTCCTCCATTCATGCACTTTTTTATTCTTTTCAAAAATGATTTGGAAGCAGTTCATTCATTTTCTTTATCCCTATTAATTTTAATTCCCCACAGATTTCAATGGGAAACCCACCCACTCTTCTGCTGCCTGTGTTTTCTATCCCAATGATTTAGTTCATGATTAAGTATTTTCTTTCTGAAGAAACAGGGGGCAGGGTGTATTTTGCTTTTTCTGCCTCAGGAAACCAACATCCCTTGTGCATCTCAGCTCTGTTGCCATAGCAATTCCAGAAATGAGTACATACCTGAGGGCCTGGTGGGCCTGGCAGGCCTGAAGGCCCCGTTTCTCCCTGAAGGAGACAAAAAATAAATAAATAAACAACAACTTTCTGTCACACACAGTCACATTATAATACATAGATACATATACTTTTAGGTTGAGTAACCTTCTCTTGGTGGGAGTGGTGTATTCATCCTTTAAAAAAAATTATAAACCTTTTAAACTAGGGATGGGGATCCTGTGCCCCCCTCCCCTATTGTTGGTGGACTACCAAGTCATCCTGGCCATTAGCCATGCTGATTGGGACTACTGGCAGTTGGGAGTCCAACCACAACTGAAGGGGCCACAGTTTCTGCACCCCACCCCTCTTCTTACATGGAAATATTTCACAGCCCATTCCCTTTTTCAGAGGACAGCACCAGTTGTGTTGATGTTTTTCAACATTTGCAGAGTGCTGGTTGCTACTTTAGAACCCAAGAACTGGTAAGCAGAGCTGAAACTACGTTCTAGTTTCATTGCTTTTAACAAAGAAATCTAGTTGTGGATATTCAACACGTACAGAGAGACAGAGAGAGGGAGGGAGGGAGAGGAGTTATGAATGTTTTTGCAATGTGCCAAAGGGCAGACGAACGTAGGCAACTTAGGTTGCAGATCAGGAGTGCAGAACCTTAATGGTTTATTAACACTTGTCAAAATGTGGAATTTTTAATTGGACGCAGTAATGCTTCTGAAAACCAGCTTCTGGAAAGCACAGGAGGGGAGAGTGCTCTTGTGCTCAGGTCCTGTTTACAAGTCTACCACTGAGGAATATGGTTGTGGATATGAGAACAGGATGCTGGAAGAGATGACCCATTGGTCTGGTCCAGCATGTTGTTCTTCTGTTAATCTTACATCAACTTACCCCTCCCCTCCCTCCCTCCTGACTTCTATTCAAATAATTTCTCTGAGGATGGAATTTTTCATTTTGCATTTGCACCCCTCAATATCCCCAGAACACTTACCTGGGAGCCATTAACTCCTTGCACTCCAGTCAGTCCTGGTTGCCCAAGCTCACCCTATAAACACCAACACAGATAAGGTGACTGAATTTGTTGTTGTGCAATAAAAAAAAAATTATTGACAGGTGCTATTTGACTGCAAATATCTCCTGAGGCAAAATCTGAGGCAAATTTGGAGGACTCTGCTAAAGGGAAACTTTGTGGGGAGCATTTTTTTACATGTATGAAATGAAACAAAATAAAAAGCATTAACATACAGCTATGAGGAGCATTATTGTCATGTTCTGAAACGATGCTGGGACCCCATGATGAAAGTAGTGAAAGGCCTGAGGCAAGGCTGGGCAAAAGTTAGTGGACTGGAGATAGCTCTGAGTGAGCAATTTGCTGCAACAAAGTTTGGGAGGAAATGGAACCTTTTATGCCTCTGTCTCCATACTTCCTACCTCCTGCCTTGAGGGACATCTTTGGGACAAGAAAAGGCTAAGGAGTAAATCCTGTGCAAATCCAGAGTGCAGTCCCTAAGTGTCAGGGACTGGGCAGAGAAGAAATGGTGGAAACTGTTGATATTTTCAAACCCCTCCCATTGCGAGAATCTCCTGATATGATGTTTTCAGAAAGGCGGGGGCGGAAACTGCTCTTCGCTTCTTCCGTTCCTGCCTGACTGTGTGTGGAGTCTCTGTGTTATCTATGTAGTGATTAGATGGCTGAGTGAGAGCTGTAACACTCACGCAAGCCAGTAGTTTTTAGTTGCAGTAGCTATTAGAAATAAAAGAAGTTATGCTTCACAGCTTTCTTCTGTGTTGTTTATACAAATGCACAGTTGTGAGTCCAGTCACTGAGACCTGTTTTCCAGAACTGGAAGGCCTTTGGAAGTTCTCCAGTCACCTAGCCCAGTTGGGGCAGTACCAGTTATTGAGCCCAGTCGCTGACATCGGTTGAAAGGCATACTAACAGAAACTGCCTCCCCATCCTGACCTTTCCAGGGAGGAGGAAGAGGAAGACAGTGTAGCTTTACAACAGGGGTTTGAGGGAGGTAGCAGCTCAGAGGCAGATGAGGAGAAAAGCTGGGAAATCCTGGGAGAGCCGGAACAACACCCAGCTGACACATTGTCATTAGAAAGCATTCCAGACCCTCCATCTCCCAGAACCCAGTGAGCCTTAAAAGTAGGAGAGCAAAGAGCTCAAAGACAGAAACATTTCCTTGTCTTTATACTTTCCTGGGCAACCAGCTGGGAGTTGCTGACAGCATCCTGACACTAAGATGGTTGGATGGCACCTTGTACGCCTCCTACAGCCAAGATGGTGCCAAATGTATTGCTCTGCTTTCCATTGGACCACATCAATGAGACCAAGATGGGGTCTTGTCATCTGGGCAGCCCAGGACCTCCATACACACTACCCAGGCTTGCCACTTTGGTGCTGCGGAAGGCAGCAGTTATGAGTTACCAGTCTCTGCAGCCACAGCATGCACTGTGATTCTCCAACTGTTTGACTTCACTCCTGGAGCCACACTCCAATGTTTCTTGTGGCAGAATGATGTCAGCAACTCCATACTCCCTTCTCCAAGCTCCACCCCCTTGAGAGAACTTCAGAGCCTTCAAGGGTCTGGCCTAAACAGAGACACTCCTCCTGCATTCCACTGATTCTCAAAAGTACTAGGTTGGTGATGTGCAGTGGGAACTTTCCTCATAAGGGATCTTCTCTGTCCTCTTGATCATATAGGTCATCCTTTTATGGATCTTTTCCATTTCTACAGTATCCTTTTTGAAGTGAGGTGATGAGAACCATACCTAGTGTAGTCCCACCATAAAAGGTAAAGGTACCCCTGCCCGTACAGGCCAGTCGTGTCCGACTCTAGGGTTGTGCGCCCATCTCACTTAAGAGGCCGGGGGCCAGCGCTGTCCGCAGACACTTCCGGGTCACGTGGCCAGCGTGACAAGCTGCATCTGGCGAGCCAGTGCAGCACACGGAAACGCTGTTTACCTTCCCGCTAGTAAGCAGTCCCTATTTATCTACTTGTACCCGGGGGTGCTTTCGAACTGCTAGGTTGGCAGGCGCTGGGACCAGGGAACGGGAGCGCACCCCGCCGCGGGGATACGAACCGCCGACCTGATGATCGGCAAATCCTAGGCGCTGAGGTTTTACCCACAGCGCCACCTGCGTCCCACTAGTCCCACCATAGATTTGTATAAAGGCATTATAACAACAGTTTTATTTTCAATTCCTTTCCTAATGATCTCTAGCATGGGATTTGCTTATTTTACAGCTGCCCAAAGCTCTTAAGTTCTTCCCACACTTGCCCCATATAAAGTGATGGCCAAGGAAAGTCCTAATGGACAATCTGAACTACAGACTGATTACAGTGGTACTTCTAGATGCAAACAGGATCCGTTCCAGAGCCCTGTTCACATCTTGAAGCAAACGTAACCCATGTCCACATGTCTGTGCGTGGGTGGGTCATGTTTTGGTGCTTCTGCGCATGATGTCACTTTGAGCATCTGCGCATGCGCAAGTGGCAAAACCCAGAAGTAACACGCTCCGTTACTTCCGGGTTGCCACAGAGCGCAACTCGAACGTGTTCATCCCGAAGCACATTCAACCATGTACTATCGTGGCTTCTCCCAAAGAATCCTGGAAACTGCTAGACAATATTTGTATCATTCACAAAATTACAGTTCCGATAATTCCTCAAGGAGAGTAATTTATTATCCAACCAGTACTTAAATCTGCATTGTAGATATTCTCAGAGTCTGGAAATTGGGCTAGATAATTTTTTCAACCCTCCTCATGACTCAACAGCCCCATCATTTTAATCAGAAGAAACTTAAACTCATGGCAAACAAGGCTATTATGAGTACAAACTGACATGTGGCCATCCTGAAGTCATGAGATTAACAAAGGAAGCTCTAACACTAATTGAACTGGAGAAGAAAGAGGAAGGAGTAGAGCCTGAGAGAAAAACAACTAACATGTAATTAGTCAAGAAGGAATCAGTGAGGGAGGAAAGCTTGCTGTTCTATCTATCGCCCCTGCTTGTTTGGGTAACTTATTAAAAGCATTGTGGCTTTATTTTGACATTTTACAGGTTAATGAAAAACACTGGGGCAGGATGAGCACAAGAGGGATTTTACAAGTGACTAAAGAAAACGTGAAATTATTACCACAGGCCCTGCAGGTCCTGAACAGCCCATGGAGCCGGCATCTCCCTACAACAGGATAAAATGTTTAAATTAGACACTACCTTCCTAAACGACAACTTCTTCAGTCTTATGAAGAATGTAGAAAGCTGCATTATACAGAGTCAGAACATTGGTCCATCTAGCTGAATATTGTCTACACTGACTGGCAGAGGCTCTCTAGGATTCCAAGCAGGGAATATTTCCCAGCCCTTCCTGGAGGTGCCAGGGATTGAGCCTGGGACCTTCTGTGTGCAATGCAGGTGTTCTGCCACTGAGTTACAGGCCTTCCCTCTGTAGCTTGAGCCAGCACAACCAATAGTGGGAGTTATAGTCCAGCAACATCTGGAGGGTCACAACATTCTGTAGAGGGTGGACCCTTAGCCTGATATTTTTATAGTTAGCAAAAGCAAAACACATCATGCAGAATAAGAGTGACTATGCCTATACACATGAATCAATTTTTGCTAGTGCATAGTTTTGATGCCTTTAATATAGATCCTCTCTGATACATTATAAATTAAGTTGCATTTTGATACAGGTTGATACATTTTTATGTTTTGTATATGTTTTGTTTCTCTCATGAGTTTAAAAAATATGAATGCACATCGTTTAGAGATATTTATTTACTCATTATCTTACTTAAAATGTGGAATGGTGATGATTAGTAGTTACTGGATTGTGAATAGGAAGTTTGTATTGTTTGCTTATGTTGCCTTTTGGTGGGATTCAAAAACTAGCTAGAGATTTATGAAGGGATACATAGATAAAATTAAAATAATATAATATAATATGTTTAGAGTAAACACAGTTCTTATCGCTATTAAGTATCTTGGCAGAGAGGCAGGTTAGAAAGCTTGAAAACAAATTAAAAACAAAAGAAACCCAAACATCATCAAGGCATTGCAAGAACCAACTCAGTCAGGGCTGCAGACTGCTGCAAAATTAAGCAATGTTCTTGCCAATGGAAAACCACTAACACTAAGGCTTGTACAACAGAAAGCCATGGTTGTGTAGTGGTTAGAGCACTGGTCTAGGACCTGGGAAAGCATGGTTCTAATCCCCACTCAGTCATAAAGCTCAATGGGTGACTTTGGGCCAGCCCCAAACTCTTAGTCTAACCTACCTCACAGGGTTGTTGTGAGAATAAAATAGAGAGGGGGAAAGCATGGATATCACCTTGAGTTCCTTGAAGGCAAAGTGGGATATAAATTAAATCAAATAAAAAAATTAACCAGGCAAATGAGCGACAGTGATATCAGTACATATTGCTTAGAATTAAAAGGGGCTGCAAAAAAAAAGCATCATGCTTAGAATAGAGGACTAAAGGAGCAGAGCAGGAACCACTCACCTTTGGCCCAGGGAGACCCTGAAAACCATGAAGACCTTTAGGGCCCATCAAACCCTGTAAGACAAACCTCTATAATGTCATGTAATAATATTTGGAGGTGATGTTAATTATTGATGATAATGACACTGAAGCGAACCTTTTTGAACCCGAGAGTCACACTATCATCTGGACAAAAGCCCAGATCACTATCAGATTCAGGGATCTTGACAAAATGCATTTGCTTTGCTAAAGATTTAGGGAACCATGAGAAGTTGTCCATCCCTGCTGTGAAGATAGATTAAATAGCCAAAGTGATATAGACAAATTGCTTACCTGGAGCCCAACAGGCCCAGAAGGTCCGGATTCTCCTTTGACCCCCTGAAAAATGACATAAAATGAAAAATGACATACAATGAAGGATACAAACAACTCTCAGCACCCTTAACACACTACAATTCCCAGAATTCCCTTTTGGGGGAGCCATGACTGTTTCATGTGTTACGATGCTGCAATAATACAGACATGGGGCAGGGGCATGTTTCTATGGGCTGTTTTTAATCATCACCTTTGAAATGGAATGATAACTACCTCTCCTTCAAATCTGAACCAGTGAGGGCAGTGAAGGTACTGTGTGAGTGTCTGGAGCTGGTTGGAGGATGGATGGTGGCTAACAGAGTGAGGTTGAATCCTGATAAGATAGAAGCATTGTTTTAGGAGGACAGAGGGTGGGCAGCTTGAGAGTCAGACTGGGAGACACCATCGCAGCTGTCCATGGAGGCACAGGTCAATTCTGTACCCAGGGCAGCTGTCTGCCAGCTCCACCTGGTACGCCAACTGAGACCTTACCTGCCTGCAGACTGTCTCACCAGAGTGGTGCATGCTCTAGTTATCTCCTGCTTGGACAACTGCAATGTGCTCTACGTGGGGCTACCTTAAAGGTGACCCGGAAACTACAACTAATCCAGAATGCGGCAGCTAGACTGGTGACTGGGAGTGGTAGCTGGGATCATATAACTGTCAGTTTCCATTTCTTGGTACAGAAAGTATTGATCTGATGTGTAGAGATCTTTCATATTCTAATTAATTCAAGAGGGTTCTGGAAGCTTCTCTGTGTGAAAGAAACAAGCAGAAGGTTCATGATGTTTGGGTTATTCCTTCAGAGAAGCTGAGCACAGCTGGCTTAAACTGGTCCTCCTCTTAGGGTCTGCTGCTAGTTCTCTTACTGTTATAGGGAACCAGGCAGAAGGCCTTCTTGTTAGTGGCGCCCTCCTTGTGGAACACCATCCCATCAGATGTCAAGGAAATAAACAACAATCTCACCTTTAGAAGACATCTGATGGCAGCCCTGTATCAGGAAGTTTTTAATGTTTTGATGTTTTAGTATGTTCTGATAATATATGCTGTGAGCTGCCCAGAGTGGCTGGGGAAACCCAGCCAGATGAGCAGGGTATAAATAATAAAATTGTTGTTGTTGTTGTTGTTCCACAGTTCTTCTGAAGGCTGCTAACCTGCTCTTCAATTTTATCTTAATGAGGAGGTGGAGATTGTGGAAATATATATGCACAGTTTATAAAAGAGGGCAGGGAAATTTTTAATGTTTGAGGTCTTATTGTGTTTTTAATATTTTGTTGCGAGTTGCCCAGAGTGGCCGGGGCAACTTGGTCAGATGTGTGGTATACAGATAATAAAATGATGTTGATGGTGATGATGATGATTACAATATATGTCTTACAATATATAAACAAACACATAAATGGGTGGAAAACAAACAAACAAAATCTAAAATCCAAACGTATTTTTAAGTGGCAGGATTAAAGATCCCACCCACTCAAGGTCACAGATAAGAGTCGAAGGCCTGCCGAAAAGGAAATGCTTTTGCCTGGTACCTGTGTAAACTGCTCTGAGATTTATTTTTTATTTTATTTTGTGAACACCAATATAAAAATATTTTTTTATAGAAATCAATCAAATATGTGTTTATTGTGGGTGGGGTCTCAATCGCTACACTCACCTTTGCCCCCTTTTCTCCTTTTTCGCCAGGAGGGCCGGGATCTCCCAGAAAACCCTGAAAGAGGCACATACAGCTGATTTTATTTGTCCTGACCAACTTCAAAGGCTCCATAGTGACACATATACAAAAACGATAAAATTATTGAGGCACCCTCCATTATCTCTCTGGATACTGGATGCCAGAGTTCATTCACACACACATGGGATGCACATTGCTCGGATCCTCAACAGTTAGGCCTGATCTACACATGCAGAAGGATGAGGCAGTGGGGATTAAAAGTGGCTGTACGACTTCAGCCTTCTTGTAATATTGGGATCGCATCCTGTGGTTCCCAGCAGCTGATATTCAGAAGTATTACTGCCTCTCACCATCAAGGAAGAGCATAGTCTTCATGACTAGTAGTCATTTATAGCCTTATCCTCCAGAAATCTGTCCAACCCTCTTTTAAAGCTATCCAAGATGGTGGCCATCACTGCCTCCTGAGTTCCATGGTTTAACTATGCACTGTGTGGAGGACTTTCTTTTGTCTGCCCTGAAACCTCCAACGTTCTGTTTCATTGGATGTTCATGAATTCTAGTGTTATGAGAGAAGGATGGAAGCTCTTCTCTGTCCACTTTCTCCATGTCATACATAATTCTGTAAACTTATCATCTTACACACCTTTTCTGTAAACAAAAAAAGTCCCAAATGCTGCTGCAATCTTTCCTCATAGGGGAGTTACTGTGGAAGGTAAGAATCAGGTGCAGTCAAACACAACATTGCTGAGTAGACATGAAGGTTGTCTCAGTCCTCCAGCTGGAACTTCTTGCGTTTCAGGACTGAGATGAAACTTCCTATGTGTAACTTGATATGGGCGTGGCCTCTCAAGAAGTAGAAAGAACCACAGGCTGGCTACGATCTTGTCTCTCTTGTCTCTATTGATGCCATCTTAACAACAGCACTACTAAGATGTACCCTTGGCTCCAGGCCAAGAGAAGAAATGGGGGGCTTTCTCCCATAAGGAGATAGTCACCACATTTAAACTATGTTCTAACCTTTTAAGTCTGCCTTCTGGGAACCTTTGTGTGAACAGATGATTACTTGTGAGTAAATGTTTTATTCTTTACAGAAGACTGCGTATTTAAATATTTGCAGAGACTCTTAACGAGTCTGAGCAAGCTATCTGCTGTGCGTGTGTTTAAAAAAGGGGGGGAATGTTAACTCTGCCGATTTTGTTGAACTTGAAAACACAAGTTGGGATAGGATATCTTAGACAATATATACCCCCCGCATTCCTAAACATTCCCACAGTTACTTCACCCCCTTGGTCGTTTTCCAGCTCCACAATATCCTTTTGGAGATGAGGTGGACAGAACTGTACACAGAGAGTATTCTTTTTGACACAGTGCAAAGTTAAAACTATGGCATTTGCGCCTAAAAGAGGTAGTGTTGGTCACCAACTTGGATGGCTTCAAAAGAGGATTAGACATACAGACACATGGAGGACAAGGCTTTTGTTGGTTCTGTTTTCCCTCTAGCGTTTGAGGCAGTCTGCCTTTGAATTCCAAATTATTGGAAGAGAGCTGTTGCAGTCTGGTCCTGCTAGCAGGAAGCCTCCCACTGATGCATCTGGTCAGCCACTGTGAGAACAGAGTACTTGGCTACATGGGCCTTTGGCCTGACCCAGCAGGGCTCTTCTTAAGTTCTTAGACTACAGGTGAGTAGGATTGGGAAACTGTTCTTGAATGATCCCCTACACAAATCACCAGTCTATGAGCCAGCTGCCCTGACTGCTCTGAGCATTATCTGGGCTGCTGCTTGGATGACTTGCACTTGACATGGTTCATAACTGCCTGCCACTGGTGAACCTGATCTCCACAAGTGTTTGCAGCACTGTGTTGAAAAATATGAATCTTATTTAGATCACAAGATGGCTGTTGCACATGGTTAATAAGCTAATCAGTAAACAGGAGAGGGAAACAAGTAGTCTCCACCCCCCAGATGCTTGCAGAAACAACAAACTGGAGCTCAGTACATTAGGAATGCTCCAATGATGAAATCTCAGCTTAATGAACTGAAATAGTGACCAGCTTCAGTTCTCCACTAGCAGCCTCTCTAGTCCTCCCTTTGCATGAGCCAGGAAGCTGTAGCAAAATGTAGCTTCCTGTTACATTTGTGGGACAGGAGCTACCCTGTCCTCCTGGGTTAGACCCTGTCCAGTGCTCTGCTTTTTGATTTGTTCTGTGATGGAAGAATGCTTCAGGGGAGGGTTGTTCTTTAACAACTGCAAGGCAGTCAGAACTACCACTGCTATCAACTGTAATTTTAAGAACCTGTAGTTGAGCTTGCTTTTTTCCTCCTTCCTCCCATTCCCTTTTTTTTTATTATTGTATGTCCTGCCTTTTTGGATTTGTGAGCCCAAGGTGAGTCCATCACCATCCATGTCTCTTGGTCCTACATACACAGACCCTCTTAGTGTCCCTATTTTCCAGGAGCAGTCCCTGATTTAGAGAAGCCATCCCAGTTTCTGATTTGATCCCAGAATGTCCCACTTTTCCTCAGGATGTCCCTATTTTCATCGGAGAAATGTTGGAGGGTATGCACACATTGTGAAGCAGAACTTTGGGCCTCCCTCTTAAGAGCCCTCCCTCACAAATACCCCTGGTCACAAGCTCCCAGCATCTGTAAGCAGCTAAGTAGAACTGCTGTTAGCTGCTAACTCTGTGGACATGGAGTGGTTCTGGCTTTACCAAACCCTTTCTTGTACCACAGTTTAAATCATGATTTGGTTGCCCAGATGCAGCTTATGGGACTGGCAGCTCCTGAACAAATTAATAGCAAGTGACTTTGGTAGTAAAACAAGAGATATTATTGGGTTCTTCCAACAAGCCTGTAGTTCCAACTCACCTCATCTCCTCTGTCTCCAGCAGGCCCCCAGTCTCCCCTAAATCCTTGTGGACCCTGCAGGGAAAGGGGAAAGTCAGACACATATAACTAAGCACAGAAAGTTTGGGAACTAGGCTTGGTTCCAGGAGGTACCATTGACAGGGCTGGCTCTTGTTTCTTTTTGCTGGGTGCCTGAGCATGATGATCTCAGTACACCCATCTCCTTCTTGCTGCTGCTGCTTGCTCATTTAACCTCTTCTTCTGGGTAAAGTGCACACAGCAGGAGAGTCAAAGACAAGAGATGGATGTAATGTCAAATTTCCACACTGATCATTACATGCACACTGGAGAGGGGAGGTAAATAAGCAGTGGTTACAAGCCAGGAACGTAGGGGCTCTGAGAATCATCAGTAGCCCTAGTTCAAGGTGGTAGATCTTGCTCCCAGATAACACTAAACTCTGATGGCAGCCCTGGCTGCTGAATAATAATAATAATTTTTATTTATACCCCGCCCTCCCCAGCCAAGGCCGGGCTCAGGGAGGTTATGACCCACTTGCAGATTTTATGTTAGGATGTTAGTGCCAGGGTAAACAAGGTACTAACTTATCTCCAATCTTCCTTTCAGTGTCAGCACTAAGCAAAGCCATTTTTTAGTGTGGGGGTGGGGAAAGTTGACAGTGCTTTATTAAATCTGGGCTCCTACCTGTTCACCTGGGATGCCAGGCTGTCCGGACTTTTGATCTGTGCCGGGAAGTCCATCTGAACCAGGAAACCCAGCATGACCTGGAAGGCCTGGTGGCCCTGGTTCACCCTTGAGAAAGAGGCAGCTTATCATTAAAACCATAATGAAGGACGATATGCATGAAGTCCTACTTTGCATCCCCTAGTTCAGGAGTTGCCAATGTGCCACCTGGGACACCTTTAGCTGTCTTCCCCCAAAGCCTCTGAGCTACTCCATTCACTGCACCCTTGGCCATGCAGTGTGGAGGGTAGTTAGCTTTTTTCCTCCATTGAAAAGTGCATACAGCTAGAGAAAGAAATTGGGAAAATTGCACTCTTTCCCACTTTCTCTTTCAGCTCTATGTGCTTTTTTGAGACTCAGGTTAACTCTACTGGATACAATTTTCCTTGAAAAAGCAGCATTCATGTGTGTGGGTGTGCATGCATCTTCACTGTTTCTCTGTGGGGACCGATCCAGGGAAAGCAGGAGAGTAAGTGACTAGATGGGGTGGTGCTCTGCGCTATACTAGGAGATGGGGAAACAGTGTGGGTCTTACCGGGTATCCAATCCATCCTTTTACACCTAACTCCCCTGGATGTCCAGGAGGTCCCTGCAGATAAAAGCTCAACATAAATACAGTCATCGCAAAGGTAGAACCCTCTCCCCTCACCCACCGCCCCCCAAAACAAGGGTCACAATTCTGCATTGGGGGAATAATATATCCCAAAGATATTGGATATTCCAACTGCCATGATCCTGGTGTCAAGCTCCCCTTCTTCAGGGGATGAGGTTGGGTAAGGAGGGGAACTGCAGAGATGATCAGCCCCAGACACACTTCTGCAAGAGGAGTCTCCAATGCCAGTGCCTCTCTGACCTGACAACAGGGCTGTCTTACCCATAGGCACTAGGGGTGCAGGGCACCCAGGCGCTGGGCTCTCAGGGGCACCAGGCCAAGAGTCCAGGGCCAAGATTTGGAGTCCGGGGATTGGGAAGAGCTGACAGCCATTGCCGAGTGGAACAGAGCCCGTTGGAGCTCTTCTGTTGCAGGCGAGCAAGGTGCTGAGGCAGCCGGCTAGCTCCGTCCTCTTGCGTGCCTGGGTGCACGCTGCTAACACGAGGCACCCTGCTTTGCTCAGTCACTGCTGCCGCTGCCTCGGGCACGACTGTTGTTGTGCTGGGCTCTGCTTGCCCACCCTCTTCCCAGGCGCCCGGCCCTGGCCTTTTTCTGCTGCTGTTGCCGCCTCGGGCTCCTCTGTTGCTGATGAGGCGGCTGGCCAGGCCAGCTCTGCCGTGTGTGCCTCACTGGCCCCACCCATATGCTTAAGACAGCCCTGCCTGACAATGTTGCACTGCTGACCTTCAAGTCGGAGGACCTACATGAGGGAAGCCCCAGAGAATCCCTGCTCAGAGTAAATGATCTATGGAGCAGGACTGGGCTTTTTTTTATTTGAAGAGACATTTTCCAACGAAGGAGGAGCTAGCAGTTAGGATGCACCTGCTGCTCCCATACAGGGCTAAGTCTCAGGCTGATTTCTGCTGAAACAATATCTGTCCTGGCTCCCACATATAGACTCAGTAGATCCTTGGCTCAATTGTTATTAAGGTTTTATTCTAGAATTCACTGCTTCGGTTCTCAATATTTTTGGTATATGCTGTGATATTTAGTTTTAAATAATTTCTTTTCTTTGGGAGATGGGGTTTACATTGTTTTGCCAGTGAATTTTTATGCACACTTTCCCCTGCTATATACATGTTTACACACATTGTTTGGTTGGGGAAATGCAAATTTCTAAGTGCCGTTGCATTTCAGTTCACATATAGCTTTGGAATGTGTGAATTTAATATGGACCAAACATAATTTCTCTCCCACTGCTACTTACAGGCAATCCTGGCTTTCCTGGGTGACCAGGTAGTCCAGGAGGTCCGGGCTGGCTCTAGATGGTATTCAATAAATAGAAAGCAACACAGTTACCCACCAAACTGCTGAGAATGAACCTGGTGAAACTTAGGGCCCATTCACACACACTACAATCAGACATTTATTTTCTCTCTCCACTTCTTCCCCTGCCCACCACAACTCCACTTCAGGCAAGCGTGTGAACAGGAAACACACAAAATCCCAAGTAAGCATGTTGTGATCTGGGGTCAGATGCTTCAGGGCATTTCCCTGTGGGTCAGGTAGTGACATCCAATTCCACATGCCACCTGGTGGCAAGAAGAGGGAGTTACAGGCCAGCTTACTAGTATCCTATTGACCAGGGGTCAGCAAACTTTTTTCCACAGGGGCTGGTCCACAGTTCCTCAGACCCTGTGGGGGGCCAAACTATATTTTTTTGGGGGGGAATCCCCCCCAACTCTCCCCTCCCTTCTCCACAACACCAGAAAAGCCCTGGTGCCTGCTTATCTGTGCCTTGCGAGCGGCAGGGGCTGGTGGTAGCGGCGGCAGAGGGACGATGAGCGGCGTGAAAGGGCAAACTCCAGAGAGGGGCTGTTCTGCTTTAAATGGTGCTCAGCCAACTGTGGCTCCTGTGCCTTGCAAGTGACAGGGGCTGGTGGTGACGGAGGGACGATGAGTGGCGCGAAAGAGCTGGCTCTGGAGAGGGGTTGCTTAAAATGGTACTCAGTCAACCGTGGCTCAGCAAAGCCCAGCCCCCTTCCTCCTCTACGCAGGGCGGGGAAAAGCCAGGAGGAGGGAGGAGGCGCTGCCATAGTGTGTGGGGGGGGGCGGGGAAATGGCACAGCCCGAACAATCAGAATCCCCATGCCGATCCACGTGGCGACTCCCGGACCATCCGTGGGCCGGATCCAGAAAGCAATTGGGCTGGATCCGGCCCCCGGGCCTTAGTTTGCCGACCCATGCTATTGACACTGCAAATCAGGTGATGGCAGAGAGCCAGTCCAGTGCTTTGGCCTGCTGTAACATGTAATAGAATCGTAGCATTGTAGAATTGGAACCTGGAAGGGGCCTTGAGGATCACCTAATCCAATGCCCTACAATGCAGGAATATGCAGCTGTCCCTTATGGGGATCAAACCTGTGACCTGTGACCTCAGCACCATGCTTTAAAGCTCCAAGATCTGCTGGGTTCCCTTGATGAGGGCTCATTGATGAGGGAAGTCATCTTTGTAGCTCCAAACTGGCTTTAAGTAAGAAGGTAGGCAGGTAGGGGGCAGACTGAGAGCAAACTGAGCTTGGTGGAGCATCACCCCGTCTGACCTAACAGCAGCAGCTGACACTTCTTGAACAGTTTGGGACCAGGTTATCTGAAGGACTACCTGTGCATGGATGAGTCAGTCCAAACTTTAAGATCTGCACTGGAGGTTCCACTCTTTGGCCCAGTGAGTGGGACCAGTGATATTGTGGTGGTTACCAGGGACAATATCTTGTCTATGTTGGCGTCACACCTTTGAAACTCCCTTCCTAAGGAAATACAATGGTCTGCCATTGGTGGTTTCCAAGGGGAGCTTAAAGCCATTTTTGTTCTATTCTGTGAGCTGTATCACCTCAGTGTAGACTCTGAAACAAATGCACCTAAGTAATGTCCATCAAATTCAGTTGGTCTCCTCCGAGAAGAACTAAGATTGGATACACCCCAGTGTCTGCTGACTTTTAATTTGCTTTAATTTAATTAATTTAATTATCTGCTGCTGCTGCTGCTAAAACATTAGAGGGGTTAGTGGGGTATTGTGTCTTCACGTTGTGTATCTTAAATCTTTGCAAACTGCCTTATGAGGGCAACGTGCCTTGAAAGGTGAGCTAGAACCTTTTATAACAACCACTGGGGGGGGGGATACTTACTGGCCAGCCCGCACGAAGAAGCTGATAAAATGAGGTTTGCTTTAAAAAAAAGAAAAGAAGGGAGAGTGAGGGACAAGGTAACAGAAACACACTGCTAATTTTGTTTTCCAAGAAAAATAAGCTAATAAGATTTTTACAAGGTTAACATCCTCTGGAACTTTTAAACCAGAAAAGACAGATTTCTTTTGAAAGGGAAAGCAGCAAAAATGTTTGCTATTTTACTGAATTTCTGAGATCAGAGAAATTGGAAACTTGATATTACACATCATTCTAAATAGGGGAAGAGGGAAGCGGTTGAGGAGAGAATTGAGGGAAACTGAGCTCAGAAATCTCTTCTAGGAAAATAACCAAAGATCTTTCAACATATGGAAATATTTCTAATAAAAAAAACCGCACAGAGCCGCTCTTGGACAGTTGACAGATGGGCAAACTCAGCTCGGGATCAAGAAGCAGCAGACCCCTTTGGCTCCTTTAAAGTTTATCCCAAATTGATTAATGTGAACAGAAACGGCAAAAAATAAAATTAAAAAACCTTGACAATCTGTCAGGAGGGCTGAGAGACTGGTGAACCATATCCTACCCACTTCCCCTGCCTTCTTCTTCCAGGCCAGTTAAATATCTTTTTCTCTCTCTAAACACACTCATGTACATCAGAAGGAACTATAGATCTGGGAAATGTTTCATTCTAAAGCCATGAAGGTAGAACTATGGGGGTGGCAGCAGGGGAAACATTATCCTTCACTTGAACATTGAGATTCTATTTTCAACAACAACAACAACAACAACAGAGGCAGGAGACAAGGGCTGAGGGATCTTCACTGTAAAGCAGAATTTTTGCATCAAAAGACAATATGGAAAAACAAGGGGAGTGGCAGATTGCTTTCTTTATTTTAAGCAGAAAAGAATGCAAGGATGTTAGAACTTAAGAAGAGCCCTACTGGATCAGGCCCATCTTGTCCAACATTCTGTTCTCACAGTGTCCAGTCCAGGGAAATCTGCAAACAAGACCGGAATGCAATAGCACTTCTTCCCACCGGAGAATCCTAGCAATGGTATCCAGAATCATTGCTGGCTCCATCAGTTGGGGTATAACACAGACATCAGGTTGAGTAGTCAATGAGAGCCTTCTCCATGTGTTTGCCCAACCCTTTTCCAAGCCACCCAAATTAGTGGCCACTGTTGCCTCTTGGTGTGAATTCTATAGTTTACAGGGCTGATGCCACCATGAGCCAGGCAGCCCAAGTGGTAGATGGAGGGTGTGGATTGCACTTCCCCATCCACTGCCTGAAGTGCTAGCCAGGACTGATTGGCTAGACAGTCACTGTTCCTGTCCATCAGCCCACCCATTGCTGTTGCTGCCACTCCCTTTCTATACATTTAAAGCTAATTTTAAATGCATTTGTAGCAGCAGCACAGGCATTCTCTGGGTGAGTCTTCACTCAGACCCACACTGCACCCACTTCCTCATTCCTGCCTCAGAGTTCTAATCTAAGGCAGCCATGATAAAAGCTGAAACAGGGCAATCTCTTAATTCTGGACCGTTTGCACTACATGTTTAAAGCAGCATCATACTGCTTTAAAAGTGTCATGGATCCCCTCTCCCCAAATCTTGGGGAGCTGTAGTTTGTTGAGGGTGCTGCGAAAGAGACTTCTATTCCCCTCATAGAGCTGTGACCCAGAGTGGTTTTAACAATCAGTGCCTCTGTCAGAATGGTTAATGGCTGCTTGCGGAGATAACAGCCCGGGACTCCAGGCTGTCTTTTACATGATTTATTGAGTACCAAAACTAAGTACAGTGCAGAGGTTTCAAAAGCATGTCTGCCTCAATCACTAACAGAACCCGGAAATGCTCCACGCCTGTTCCCCCTCCAGCAGAGAAACCCCGGAAGCCCCCCCTTCTTTTCTTCTCCTTACATGAAAAACTAAGTGATGGAGACTGCTTCTTTCTCTCTCTGGTAGCAGCCTTTGGGTTCCTCCCTCTTCCGTGTCTCCTGACAGCCTCTCCTCCCCCAACTCTGACGAAGTACAGCTACTCAGCACAGGAGGAGGCTCTCTGTAGATTCCTGTCTCTCCCCCCTCCCCTGCAAACCGATCCCTGACAGCCTCTTCCCATGGAACGCTGGGAAATGTAGCTCTGTGAGGAAAATAGGGGTCTTCTAACAGCTCTCTGTGGAAGACAGGAGTGCCTGGTGTGCTCTGGTCCATGGGGTCACGAAGAGTCAGACACGACTAAACCACTAAACCACTAAACCACCACCACAACAGCTCTCTGCTCCCTCAACTAACTACAATTCCTGGTGTGCTTTGAGGGAAGCCATGACTTGTTTAAAGTGGAATGATACTGCTTTAAATGTATAGTGCAGCTGGGGCCCAGGACTAGTTAATCGCGTACACTTATGCTTCTGGCTATGCCCATTGCTGACACTTGGCAGCCCCCCCCCCAAGGGTCACTAATTCTTAACTTACAGTAAATGACAGCCAATCCTCCTTTGAATTCCTCCAGAGAACAACTGCTGGGACCCCAGGGACTCCGGGGTGCCCTGGGTCACCAGTAGGACCTGTTCGTCCAATTCCACCAGGGTATCCCTAAAGGAAATAAAATTGTGCCTTCTTTATTTTGCTTTTGGTAGAACAGCAGAGTATTTGTTTGTTTCAATCTGCCACATGTGAACATAAGAGCAGCCCTGCTGGATCAGGCCAAAGGCCCATCTAGTACAACATCTTGTTCTCAGGATGCCCACAAAATAGGACCCGAACACAATAGTGGCACTCTCCCTTTCTGGGATCCCCAGCAACTGGTATTCAGAGGCAAACTGCCTCCGACAATGGAGTTAGAACATAGCTATCATGGCTACAAGTCACCCATCAACACAATGTTGTAGCACAGTATAGCACTGTTTGTGTATAGTTTACCATGTATCCTTATGTAGATTCACAGTGGTGTCAAAGGTAAGCAGGTGTTGTGGGTGGATAAGGATCAGGCATGATGTTAGCACCCAGCATCTATCAGGGCTCTGGTCCCAAAGCCGTAAGAGTCTATGAGTAGTAACAGCTCATCTTGGCCCATCCTGAATCCAGCATCAGATTCCATACCTAGCTCCCCACTCCAAACCCCAATGATATATCTTTGCTATGGAGTCTGAGGAAGGGACTTCTGACTCCCTAGAGGACTGAGAAAATCCTGAAGAGCACCTGCAGACTAAGGGTTGTAACCAACTAAGCTATGTCCATATATTTCAATGGGGCTGCTCTGAGTAGAATGAGTATTGTATGCAGCCCCAAACATTATTGGTCAGGGGCCAATGGCTGCCTCAAAGGACATTATGGTCCTGAAACCCTTGCTTTTGAACTCTGATCTAGCACCCTTGGTGCTGTCCAGGGTCCTGACCTTATCCCACTGCAAAGCTGGCTTAGGGAACCCATTTGTAATGTCACTTCCTTGCGGTAACAGAGATGCCTCTGGATCAGGTCAGCAGCATTGGGGGTTAATGGAGGCTTGGCAGAGTTCAGTGACATTTGTCATCGGTCTTTGGTTTTGAGTTTATGAGCAGCAGGCAGCAATTTCTCTCAATGTCCCCAATGTAGCATCACTCTGGACTGCTATGAGCAAATAGGTAAAGGTGAAGGGACCCCTGACCATTAGGTCCAGTCATGACCGACTCTGGGGTTGCAGCACTCATCTCGCTTTATTGGCCGAGGGAGCTGGCATACAGCTTCCGGGTCATGTGGCCAGCATGACTAAGCCGCTTCTGGCGAACCAGAGCAGCGCACGGAAACACTGTTTACCTTCCCACCGGAGTGGTACCTATTTATCTACTTGCACTTTGATGTGCTTTTGAACTGCTAGGTGAGCAGGAGCAGGGACCGAGCAACGGGAGCTCACCCCTTCGCGGGGATTCGAACCGCCGACCTTCTGATCGGCAAGTCCTAGGCTCTGTGGTTTAACCCACTGCGCCACCCACATACAAAATTAGATTGTACCAAATCAACAAAGCCTGCCAGAGGAATCTCTTTAAGATGTTTCAAGCCTTGACCACACAGTTTCATAACATGAGGAATTTCAGTTACCGCACAAACTTTTCTTTCTTTCTTTCTTTCTTTCTTTCTTTCTTTCTTTCTTTCTCTCTCTCTCTCTCTCTCTCTCTCTCTCTCTCTCTCGGGCTGTTTCATGGGGAGGCCTTGTGCCTCCTTCAGATGTGGCTAAGAAACAGCTTAGAGCAGAAGCTTGGACCTAGCTCACTTACCATGCTGGTGAGCTCTGCCCCTAAGGGTCCCACTGACTCTTCATGGCCCACACAAAAATGAGTTACTGAGTCACAGGGTGTGCACCCTTGCCCTAAAACTGTGGTTATGTTCAACAACAATAAGGGAGCTTTTCCTTCTCCATGCCTGGTATAAAAATGATGCCTGGCTTAGAAGAAGGAATCTTACATCCAGTTCTAACGGTGGCCAACCAGATGCCCCAATGGGAAGCCTTCAAGTACAACTGCAGTCTTCTGCCACTTGTGATTCCCAACAACTAGTATTCAGAGGCATACGGTCATACCTTGGAAGTCAAATGGAATTCGACTTCCAAAACGTTTGAAAACCAAAGCCCCGTCAGACATCCAGGTTCCAAAAGAACATTCACAAACCGGAACAATCCAAGTTCCAGGGCATTCAGGATCCAAGGTATGACTATACTGCCTTTGAAAGTAGAGGGAGAAATTAGCACCATGGCTAGCAGCCATTGATAGTCTTAGCCTCCATGAATTTTCTGAAGATGCAGCTCTTTACCCTAGCTTTTGCCTTGAGTTCCATTTTTCTTCTTTTAGTATCCAGCTTATTTCTGGGGTTCTCAGTTGTTTTGGACTGATTTTAATACTGTATTAAAAACTTGCCCAGGGCCCTTAGGGTGAAGGACAGACAATTATGGAGGAAGAGGAGGACAAGAGCTTAATTAATTAAGTGGCCCATTGGTAAAAGTTCTTATTGTGCCCAAGTTTCAGATTAGGACATTGGATTGAACAATCTTCCTCAGGGGAGGTTGCCAGCAGAGGTGGATTAATGGAAGCATGACCAGTTTGGGCACACTGGGCACAGAGCCTTGAGGGCACTGCAACTATGATGCAGAAAGTAAGGCAAGAGACAGTGTGGCTCTCAACAGGATTAAGAAAAAAATCCCTGGTATATGACATAGAAAACTATGCATTTTCCAATTCTCTATAAAATGACTTTGTCTTCAGCCTCAGCTGATGAGCTCAAAAGTTTTAATGGAGAGAGCACAATGGTTGTAAATGAGAATTTAAAATAACTCATCTTTTTAATCTATAAACTGACAGTGTTCACCTATTTTCAAGCACTTCCCAGTCATCTTACCTTCTCTCCCTTTGGTCCCATTGCTCCTCGTCTCCCTGGACAGCCCTGCAAAGCAACACAGACACCACCAAGTTATTTAATGTTGGGATTCAACATTAAATGAGGAGAGTTGGCAATCTACAGTCTTAAATGTCTTCTAGATTACTTCTTATTCACAAAGCACACCAGGGGAGCTCCATTCACATCAATGGCCTTGAATGAGGGTGCATCGCAGGTCATCTTAAGCTAAGGTGTGGGAAGGGACCACTCAGTGGTAGATGCTTTTCCAAAGCAGAGGCAAAAATATAGTTCCAATAAACAGCAGGGGAAATCTCCAGTAATATGCCAAAAATGGCTGGTCTTTCTTCAGTGGTGAAGGGAACCCAGCAGTGGAGGCTGATCCGTTAGGGAAAACAGCCCACTGCCCCACTGATGTCAACTCACCCTTGACCAGTCTCCACTCCCCAGGCCACCTACTTGCCTTCTTACCTGTTCAAGGAGTGTCCCTGACTTGCTTCCTCTCAGGGTTGCTCTTGCAGAACTCAGCAGGGAGAGGGGAAAACTAGAATTAGTTGGCTCTGCTGGTTACTGATTCTGGTTCTACCTCCTGTTGGGCTCCCCACCTTCCATTTTATCAGACTCAATGAGAAACAACTCAGGAGTCAGGGAAACAGAAAACACAATGTACATGTTCAGACTTTGATAAAACTCCTCCACGGTCAGACTGACCCATTGACCAAGTATTCCTCCTTCACTTCTCCCAAGGCACTGTACTTGGCACCAAACAAAGAGCCGATAGCTCAACTTGACTTAGAAAGAAGAGCAACACTAGTTATGTTTTCATGATACACCAGGAGTCCCAGAACTGAACATGACTGCATGTGTCAATATCCACATAGAGGCCAATCTGTAGCTACTACTTACCGGCAAACCTGGCGGCCCAGGTAGCCCACGGGGTCCTGGTTTAAGGAGTATTTTTTGCTGCTCCATCAATTGCAAAGAGTGGGTAGGACCAAAGTTCTGAGTGGAAACCCCTTTCAACAGAGTCAAAGTCCTTTGTCTATGGGTATGTCCCTTGACAATGCCAGAGGGAGTCTTCAGTGATTTTGTGGCACCAGTGTGTGCTGCGGAAACTCTGGAAGGGTGAAGTACAACTCCCCTATCCACAAAGATTACACCCTTCACACTGGAGTTAGGAAGAAAGGCTCTAGGTTTGTTTTCAGGCAATTCATTCCCATCCTCAGGGATTTTCAAGAGGGTGAGAGGGCTGCCAAGGTCTATGATGGTGGTTGGGGACTGCTCCCAAGACCCAATATCCCCCTTTGGCTTTCCTTTAGTGTGCTTATCCAGGGCTCTTGTGATATCCACTTTCTTGATACCCAGTTGACTTTCTTTGGAAGGGCTTTGAGAAAGGATACCATTGTCACTAATCACATGAAGATGCTGGAGCTCAGAAGAGGGCCATGAGTTACTGTTGGCAATGGAGCCATCAGTATTTCCTTTCTTCTCTGAGCCAAGCATTCTAGATCTGGTCATTTTCGTGTAAGTGGTGCTTGGGGGCTCTTCTCTGAAAGTGAGAATCCCCATCTCTTCTCCATCCTCCTTTGGTCTTTTGGAAGCCATGTCTGAAGCTGTAGGGCTTCTACTGGGGAATGTACTGGGGTTCTTCTGAAGATCTCTTTGTTCAACCATAGGAGACTTCAAAGCCACATCTGAATCAGCAAGCTCTGAGCCCTATAAATAAGAGAGAAAGCGGCATTCTAGTGATTCATGCTTGTGCAGACTAGAAAGGTAAAAAGGTGCCTTTGTTGTCACTTGGCCGTAGATCAATAATAGAGCATGTACATTGTATGCAGATAGACTGAGACTCACTCACTGGTCTACCCAGATAGGGCTGTAAAAAAACCCCTCTTGTATTAAACCCTGTAGAGCAGTTGCAAGTCTGGGTCTGAACTGGAGGTGATGGACCAGGAGTGAGATTTTGAGGTCAAAGTAGGTAGCTCGATGAGTATGTCAATCAAGTGTGCAGTGGCAGTGAAAAAGGCAAATTCTATGCTGGGGATTATTAGGAAAGGAACTGAAAATAAAACTGCCAATATCATAATACCGTTATACAAATCTATGGTGCATATGCATTTGGACTACTGCGTACAGTGCTGGTTGCCACATCTCCAAAAAGATATTGCAGATTTGAAAAAGGTTCAGAAAAGGGCCACCAAAATGATTGAGGGATAGAGTGACTCCCATATAAAGAAAGGTTGCAGCATTTGGGACTTTTTTAGTTTGGAGAAAAGGTAAGTAAGAGGCAGCTTGATAGAAGTTTATAAAATTATGCACTGTATGGTGAAATTGGATCCGCAACCTGCCTAACTTTTCAACAGGCACCAAAGCACATTGGTCTAAATAGGAGAGGAGGAAGGCATTGGGAGAGATCAAAACTGATAAATTTATGATGATTTCGTGTACTTTTATTCAATTTGTTAACAAAAGTGACTCAGTCTTCTCTCTTGATACCAGGTTCTGCCCTCCCTTACTCTCTCCTCTGATGAATCAGCCACACTAGAGGCAACCAAAACTTTTTTCTTTCATTTATTCTGCTATTGTAAAGAACTGCAGTGTTGATCTAAATGGATTGTTCTGATATTTATTTTTTTGAAAATGACAATCACCAGCATTTTTGAGCAAGTTTCTCCGAATACACACATTTTTTGGTTCGCAGTTTTGACTAATACACACATTCTTGTAAAGCAATTTCCCCTAATATACCGGTAAACAACATTACAGTATGATATTTTCAGGGCTACATACATTCTGATGCACACCTTTACCCTAATATATGCATTTTGTACATATCACTTGGCTGGAAAAGTGCACTGCTAAATGTGGAGAAGTGCAAATCTGAAGGGGATAGCTGAGTTTAGTTTCATGTATTGTTTTAAAAAACACAGATTAGGTTGCTTCACCTTTATATGTGGCCTGAATCAAATTTCTGGCCCACCTGTAGCTATAACAAATCTCCTGCAGCAACTGATCCACACTTTGCATTTCTAGGGTAAAGAATTAGAGTCAAAGGCTGCAATCCTGTGCATGCTTACCTTGGAGTCAATTGTTTTTAAGTGGGTTTTACTTCAGAGTAAAACACGCACAGAATGGGGCTGCAAATCTTTTCAACTGCTACTGAGAAAAGATATCATACCAAGCCAAATCCCAAAAAAGCCTTTTTCTAATTTTAGAAACTGTCTCACAAAGCATTTGGAATGGGTGATTGCTCAAGCTGACTTAACCGTATCAAGTTTGCAACAGGGAGACGGATGACAGGATGATTTTCTCTAAGTAATATGAATATGTGTACAACTAAAAGAGTGCAAATAGACACCCCACACACACATTTTTTTAAAAAAAGTTCAAGAGGAGTTAATTATCCTCTCAGTAACAAAATTTGTCATTATATTCTTGTAACAATGAGCATATGATGATCACTGTTTAACGATAAAGGGCTCATTCTAACTGTTACTCAGAGTAGACTCACTGGAATATTAGTCACACCCATTCATTTCAGTGGGTTGAATCCAATGCTAGTACTATTTAGAGCAGATCCACTGAAATGAGTGGTGATTTCAATGGGTCTACTGTGAGTGGAACTTAGTTGGCAACATCACAATGGCTCTACTAACTAACAAAAAGTTATGGGCAATATGAAGAACTACAAAATAGTAGTACTAAAACAGCAACAGCAACAATAATTCAGGGGATATACTAAGATTCCCACCTACCTTGAAAGTGCTGGAGGCTGATCCAACACCCCACAAGCCCATCCACAGAAAGCCCATGCAGAAGAAGTCCATGGTGCTCTGATCGAGGGCAGGGTGCTCAATGCAATGGACTAGCTCAGCATGGGCATTCAGAGTTTGGGGGTGATGGATGGCCCTGCCCACTTGGCCACAGCTAAGAGTCCATTCCCCTTGTGGGATTTTGCCATACCATCGGGAGAAGAAGCCACAAGGATGGCCTAGGTCCCAAGATGCCACAACTGCTGATTTGTATCAACATTCCAAGGGAAAAGGGAGGATGGCAAGGATATTTCCTTCCCCTCTCCTCCTCCTCCTCCTTGCACCAGGACTCTCTGGCATCACTTTGTTCTTCCTGGCAATTTAGTGACTATGTTAGGAGTTTCCAGAAGCCAAGATCTCAGGATGAGTATGCATGCCGCTTTAACTGAATTCATGGCACTCACCAAAACTTTGGCCAAACAAGTTGCTGCTGGAGGAGAAGTCATAATAGACTCATAGAACTGGAAGGTACCCAAGGAACGTCTAGTACAACCCCCTGCAATGCAGGAATCTCAGCTAAAGAATCCATGACTGATGGCCATCCAACCTCTACTTAAAAATCTGTAAGGAAAGAGAGTCCACCACCTCTTGTGGAAGTCTGTTCCACTCCTGAACAGTTTTTACTGACAGAATCCCCCCCCCAACAATGTTTAGTTGGAATCTCCTTTATTGTAACTTGAAGCCATTGGTTTGAGTCCTACCATCCAGAGCAGGAGAAAACAAGCATGCTCCCTCCTCCATGTGACAGCCCTTACAATATTTGAAGATGGCTATCATATATAGCCATCAATACTTTGGCCACCTCATGAGAAGAGAAGACTCCCTGGAAAAGACCCTGATGTTGGGAAAGGTTGAGGGCACAAGAAGAAGGGGACGACAGAGGACGAGATGGTTGGACAGTGTTCCCGAAGCTACAAACATGAGTCTGACCAAACTGCAGGAGGCAGTGGAAGACAGGAGTGCCCGGCGTGCTCTGGTCCATGGGGTCACGAAAAGTCGGACTAAACAACAACAACATCATATCTCCTCTCAGTCTCCTCTTTCCCAGGCTAAACATACTCAGCTCCTTCAAGCGCTTCTCATAAGGCTGTTTCCAAACCCTTGATCATCTTGGTTGCCTTCCTCTGCACACTTTCCAGCTTGTCAACATCCTTCTTAAATTGTGGGGCCCAGAATTGGACACAGTATTCCACCAAGTTTGTAATTCCATCAAGAAAAGAAATGAGATTGGTCTGGCATGATCTTTTTAGGAAACCCATGTTGGGTCTTAGTAATCACAGCATCTTTTTCTAAATGCTCACAGACCGCCTGTGGAATGATCTGTTCTAGGACCTTCCCTGGTATCAATGTCAAGCTCACTGGTCAGACGTTTGCCTGTCTCCAGTCTGTAGGGACCTCACCTGTTCTCCAAGAATTCTCAAAGACCATAGACATGGGCTCTGAAATTACATCCACAAGATCCTTTAATACCCTTTGCTGCAGCTCATCATATCCTGGAGATCTGAATTCATTTTAAGTAGCTAGGTGTTCCATTACTAGCTCTTTTCCTATCTTGGGCTGCAGCTCCCTCCTTACATCATTTATTCTGTATCACCAGGTTGGGCATCGCTTTTCTTTGGGGTGAAGACAGAAATACAGTGACAATGGGGAAGAAAGGTGTATACATGGCAGAATCAGAGGAGGCTGCTGCATTAGAGCAAAAGGTTGGGGAATAGGAGTTTCCTAACAATTCCCTTTTACAAATTATAGGATAAGGAGAATATAGAAAAATAGTTTGTGCTGAGTCAGACCGCTGGACCATGCAGTTCAGTACTGTCTACACTGACTGGCAGCAGCTCTCCAGGATTTCAGACAAGGAGCCTTTCTAAGTCCTTCCTGGAGATGCTGGGGATTGAACCTGGGACCTTTTGCATGCAAGGCAGATACTCTGCCACTGAGCCATGACCTTCCCCACTTCCCAGGATTCTTCAGGGTGAGCCATGGTATAAGAGTACTTTAAATGTATGGTGAAGTTGTGGCTTAAATTCTACTCATTGAAATGGATGAAGTTAACCTTTATATTGTTGTTATTGTTGTTGTTAACATTTATTTCCCACCTTCGTCAAGGAGCTCTAAGAGCTGTACACAGGTCTCCTCACCATGTTATCCTCACAACAATCCTGTGAGGTAGTTTAGACTAAGAGTGTGTGATTGGCCGAAGGCCACCCAGTGAGCTTGATGGCTGTGTGGGGAATCGGATCTTGATCTCCCAGGTTCTGGTCCAACACTCTTAACCACTGCACCACACTGACTCACATCATCTCCATCAATTTAACGGGCCAAGCAGGTCTTACACTGGATTCTACCCCCAGGTTTTGACACCAAACCTGTCACTACTGTGACATCTGTGCTACCAACAAAGGGAGGTGTGTGTGAACATGCACACACGTGTTGAACAAGTACACACTACCCATGGAATGAATTTCCTCAAGCTTTGTTGCGGTGACCCACCTCAGAGAGTGCCCTGTATCTCATAGCTCTCAGCACAGATGCTTCCATTCTGAGGCAAGTGTGTTGTTCTCCACAAGAGCTCCTTGTGAGGTAATTAGAGAGGAGCCTTCTCTACAGAACCACAGACAAAGATCCACTGGCCAAGGCAACACCCAGAGGCATATAAATAGCCACAAGGAAAGTTGAGGCTGGCCCGTTTTCTGGAAGGTTCTATATAAAGAGCTGGCAGGCAAAACCACCCCAAAAATACTCCAGGCCCCAAAAGGGGCAAGCGAGCTTACCTGAAGTATAACAAAAAACAAAGTAACAGACTTACAGGAGAGGAAATTTCACCAAGTGCATCATAACTGGTGACCACTGATCGCCGCAACCACCACCACACACCTGAATTTGTCTAACCTCTGCTGGCTTCTG